CAAACGAAATCATACCTCGGCCAACTTCGATGTACCGAATATAGATTTTCACGTTAAATATCGAGTGCACTGCATATATGATGCTTCGGCAACTCACGAATCGCCAAAACAAGTGAAATGCTAAATCCACGAGTGTGCCGACAAGTCCACTGCTTCATTGAGATAGCATACAAAAAAATAATATATTCAGTTGCATTTGATATTAAAACGTCGAGTGAAATTTCAATTAATCCTTTCCAATCGTAAAGCCAACCCTGAAGGTAAGTAATCAAAAGAAAATTTGCCCATTGCACGCAAACGGAATTGAGAGAAAAATGAATGGTAATTTTCGTAGCTTTGATCGATTTCGAGATGGAATAACATGAAATAGCCGATTCTAGTGGCTATTAACATATTTGCAACATTGTAAGTATATGGATTCCTTGAGAATTCAAAATTAGAAACTGATCATTTGAATTTGAAATGAAGAAAAACACACGAATTGCACACGTAATTTCGACCATTTCGCTAAAATTTCTCGTACTTTTACAGCGATGAAATCTAACTCGGATTGAAAACGAAGGAAGGAATTGTGCTAAAGGACTTGGATAATACGTCAGACAGAACAAAAAAAAACAAATCGTAGAAAATGATATTTAATTGAATGATAGTGAAGTCATTTAGTCTTACCATTTATCGTCAAATGTCCGACGTAATGGATACATGATGATAGCACAGTTTCGTTATTCAAACTGAATAAATAGGCGAACACGTGCATTCCCTTACAAATTACAAAAACGAGCTGATTACTTTGTTTACAATATTCCCATTGGATGCCGTTCGCACACACGCCGTCTGATTCACCGAACAATTGTGCCGTCTCAATGACATCAACAATACTGTTGATCCCATTGTGTTGATCATCGTATCGGATGCGAAGCAAACTAATTACACCATTGATTTCACATGCAACGATATACGATCGATGACGATTATTTTTATCCGTAAACGTAAACCATTCGATGGCATTGGTTTGTTTGAGATTTAATTTCTTCTGGAATTTCAATTGCAACGTATCCGTTCCGATGTCATAGAATGCAATGGTTCCATTAGCGGTGACAAAACAAAAATCCAGTAATTTCCTTTCGACACCCACCCCCGTATGGTTCCATGCGATTGCGGTTATTTTTATGCTATACACTGCATCTTCAAATGTTTCAAATGAATTGAACGCAAATTTCATGTTCTTTTGACACAGTATCATCCATTCTTTGGCTATATTATGAACAACAAAACACCATGACATCTTGCCCGTGTGCTTTCGTCGAATTTCACAGCCACCAAAATTCGTTAGATAGGCCAAATAATGTTTGCCAGCCAACTGTGATTGTAACGGTGACCATCGTGCGTGTGACATAGCCACACGTTCACCGCTCACCTTTAGCTCTTCTGTCATTAAATGATAATCCACCAGCAAACGATCCTGTTGTGGTTTTGTCGATTTATTGAAAATATTCGCTGCATTCTTTGGCACACCATGGCTCGGCATAAATTTACTCAGATCGTCCAGTATTGATTGTTCCACAAAAATCCGTTCATCACTGTGATGAGTATAAATCAACTCCAGAATGTATGCCTTCGATCGACTCACCGTACAATACAATTCACTTTCGATGGCTCGGTGCAAACCGAATGGAACAAATTGATCGGTACGATAAGCAAATTTTTCAGCCACCTCCATATTCACCATTGAGAAAACACTTTTGACAGAGAAAAATAAATGGTTAAACAAACGGAAAAATGGAACTGATTTACGCATCAGCCAAATGGATTTGTTTATTTACACTTCATATTTGTTATGTGAGGTTATGGTCAATGTGACAGTTGCCCGCTAAATCTGACAGCACAGTTGCTCTCTATCACTCTCTCATTGGCTCTCTCTCTATTTACAACAGCAGCTGCATTTTGTTCAGTTAAATCGATGCCGGCTCGTCACACTCTCGCTCTTTCTCTCTCTACGAGATTACTGTTTACTGTGTGCAACTTTTGTGTGAGAATAATGAGGCAGGGTTGGTCAAATGTCAAGGTGTGCGCCGCAAATACATGCACTTTCCATGTGTTCGTATGTGTGCGTGGAAGAGAGCGCGAGAATTGATATGAGCAAACGGATGAAAAGTGTTGAATTCATCTTCGATTTTATTTTTCTTTTCGGTCGATTTTGAATTCGTTCTTCCTTAGTGGGTTGTTGTTGGTGTTGTTGTCAAGGACAATATCAAAGAGTATGATTGGAAATGAGTGTTTCTAACGCGAGGGGGGATGGGGGAGGCGGTTCAATCCATTTTAAATGCTCAATTGGTTTTTATGGTCATACATGTTTTTATCCATATATTTTATGAAATGCAAATCAGATGCCTTAAACGGTTGACAAAGACCAACCAACTCGGTGACCTTCCTTTAACCATCATCTGAAATTAATAACTATGATGACACAAACTTATGGTTTTTATTTTATCCAAAAATTGCAAGCTATTTTCGGAATCAATGCTTCTTTATTTTTTCTATGGAGATTTTCGTTTGCATGACGATGAGCGACAAGTTTTTTTTCCTTTTAATTATTTTAAATGAAAGTGCGAATCAGACACATCCACATTTCCATCGCAGTAAATGGACAGCAAGAGAGAGAGAGAGAGAGAGAGAGAGAGAGAGAGAGAGAGAGAGTGAGAGAGAAAGAAAGAAATGGAGCTGTAAAGAGTGAAAGAGTCCAGTGTCTGTGTGTACGAATGTATTGCATACGTAATACAATAGCGTCTGTCGATACATACAGCACATGCTTACGCACGCTCGTTTCCAAATCCATTTGTGTGTGAAATGTTTCATTTCTTTTTTTTTTCCTACACAGTCTTCTCTACAACTACTACTACTTCTTCGTTTCCTTTATCTCCCATAGCCAGCGCTCTCTTGCCAATTTTTGTGCGAGAGAGAGAGAGAGAGAGAGAGAGAAAGAGAGCTGTGTGTGCTGTGTTGCTAGTGGTTATACAATGAATATGTTTGTGAGCGCATTGGAGCGGTATGGCTCTGCTGAGCGGTGTGTGGTTCGATATGAGCATGTATGCGTGAACCGACTGATTTGTACAATAAAACTCGTGAGTAAGTGACAAACGAAAATCAGTACCTAGTCGATCATTGGTGCGAATATTACACATAAATTATAAAACAAAAATTGAATTTAAAAAAAAAAATTCGCCTCCCCAAAATCAAAACGAAAAATATCTTCGCAAAATCAAATCTATCAAATCACTTTGCCAAGCAGATCAACAACACTGGAGTCAAATCCAATTTCCATATCGGTTTTTTTTTGTGTGTAATTCATTGGCCAGCAACAAGGAAATTCCCCTCGCATCCAAATCGGATTACAAAAAAATAATAATAAGCAGTAAGGATTGACAACATTTTTCAAACTAATTTAAGCATTTTTTTAAAAAAACTAATTAAAATTGTTGGAAATTTTTTAAATTTAATTTTTATTCGAAACGAATCAACGGTGCGATTGATTTAACGTTGAACGTGTGCGAATCGTTGAGTCTTTTTAGCGGTGTTTTTTTTCTCTCTTTCCCTCTCTGTGCTTCGTTTCTCTATTCATGTTCGGTGTCAATGAAATTGTTGTTGTGTTTCTTCGATTTCTTGAGCTCGTCTACATCCTCTCTCACTCTCATATCGGTTTATATAGATATAGTATAATTCGTAACTGTACTTTGACTTATGAGACGACGGACGGTTCATCTTTGTCATAAGTTGATTCATTCAAATGGTTTTTTGTGTGCCGTTGTTATTGTTGTTGTTCCTGAGATTTCATGTGTGTCCGAAAGTTTGACAAACGACAAAGATAAAAAAAAAATATCGTTCAATTAAAGAGTACAACGCTCTCTTGTCCGGATCGGAGTGTTAATGCCGAAACGGACGAATTAAATGGCCATAAATGGTTTCTATTATCAAAAAAGTGTTGTTCATCGAATGCGGTTCATCATTTAATGATAATGGTCGTTAATAGTCGAAATAATGATAACAACAACAAATGCAGAGAAAAAAGTTTCGAAGCACGCGGCGCCGTCAATTCTCTCTGACAATAATAATTTTTCTGTAGTTGTAGTTGTTGTTGTTGCTACGGATTTTTTGTCTCTTTCTCCAGCTACGGAAATAAAGGATGTGAATTAAAAGCGGTTGAAATTCGTTCAAGCCGCTGCTAACTGTTGGTTCGGTAACACAAGTATTATAGTGCGCGAAAAAAAGAGATGTCGACCAACAAAAATTAAATCATTTTAACGAAATTCAATGTTGATTTTGCAGTTTTTTTTCTGTGATTTCATTGCCAATTTCACTGTTTATCAGAAGAACGTTGATGTGACATTTTTATCGTGCGAACGATCAATACTAACAACAACAACGAAAAAAAAACCAACTAGAGTGAAAGAAAAAAATAATATTGATTTCAAGTGAAGTGATAATGTTGTGGTATGTCGTCATCGCATAAAGTACCACGCCAATTCATACAGTAATGCGACTGGTGTACATACACAGGAACGATTTCGCTTTGACATTATTAGCGATTCTTGATTGTGAAAATGTACGACCATTGACAAACAATTTGTATCTTGATTTTACCGAATGAAATGATGATGTGATGATTTTGTTTGTTTATCAGAGGATTGGCACAATCAACACACATTCCGTTTTTTTTCCTCTGTTGTTGGTCAGTTTGCTGCGTCCCCTCTCATTGAACGGCCGTTATTATTATCAAATAAATTCGTATCTTTTTCGCCATTACAATCATCACACGGGGCCGAATGCGAACAGAGATATGAATGTGCAATTTATACTAGCGATGAGATATTGAATGCATTTCTCTCTCACTTTATCTCTTTTTCTTCTTCTTCTTCCTCTCTCTCTCTCTCTCTCTCTCTCTCTCTCGTCAAATGAATGCGAGTGTGAGTGTATTTGAGTTGATCCGGTTGAGTTTCGTTCGGTTGAAGAGCGGAGGCTGGTGTCGAAATTGACTACCTTTTCCGCCAATGCACATTGTGATGGCATGGAAACTCACGCTTTCAATCAAATGTTCCAATTTCGTGGACGTATTCAACTTGAGTTGTGCAACATTGACAATCAAATTGGTCGTGCACACACAGTTATATGCAAACCATTCATCATTGTGCATCTTCTTTTTTTTCGGATTAAGCAATTGAATTGTCCACCATTTCGTCTCTTTATAATGCTTTGATTCAATGTCCGTTAATATTTACTTAAGAACCATCATCATTCCGTTGCAATAAACATGTGGTGATGTTGTCGAGAGCATTTCTCGGCACCCGCATGCAAATGCATAAAACGGAGACAAAATGTCTGGCTTGAAATCATTCGGTGCCCATATCATCAATTGGCGGCACCAGCAAATAGTTTCGGTTGACATTCATTTGATTAAGACAACTGCCGTAGAACACACAGTGCGATTATGTGCCTTCTCTCTCTCTCTCTCTCTCTCTCTCTCTCTCTCTCTCTCTCTCTCACTCTCTCTCTCTCTCTCTCTCTCTCTCTCTCTCTCTGTGTGTGTGTGTGTGTGTGTGTACGAGAAGCGAAAATGATATTCTAAGCACATTTAACCGACCGCAAACTGTTCGTTACGCATCATAGACTGAATTGTGTGTGTCGCGCATTCGCAGAATATAATAATAATGAATGGAAGAGAAAATAAAAAATTGGCGATGATGCACAATCCAAACGAATTTCGTGTGCAAGACCAATGTCAACGCAATCGACGTAACTTTATCCGTTGCAACACATTTCGCCGCTATGATTTCGCATTATTTCTCTCTCGCTCTGTCGTCAGACTGGCATTGCGCCGATAAGCACACACTGCATCCAAAGCGTGTACATTTCACCTGAAACCATGAATGAATCCGTTGAGCTCGTTGTCATTGCCGTCACCGCCGTCACCACCATCACCGAGACAGTGTCTCTCTCAAAAATGAAGATGCGGAAAAAGTAAACAACCAATGGAAATATGTATAAATAATTTATTATATATAAAATTCGGCTCGTTCGTATTTAAACATTCCATTTTATTACATGATGAACGTATCGAATTCGTTGTTAACTTGATTTTGATTTTTTTCTCCTTCTTTCGGCTCAAATGATAACAAAATACAAATCGTTTCTCTTGTGCTTTTGCGAAAGTAAGCTGTGAATGTGAAATAAAAATAAAGAGGGAATAAAATGTGGTGTGTATGTGCTCGTTTATACACAATTTTTGTTGTTGTTGTTGTAAAAGTTTGATTATATCACACTTTCCACATGATTTCGCTTATGCCCCGCATATTATAAACGCGCCTGCTTTCACACAGCAGCTTTTTTTCTTTCTTCTATTTTATTGCGTTTTATTCACATTTATCGTTACTCTTTGATTTCATTGTGGGTTGTCGTTATCATTTTCGCATCAAAGTGCCTGGTTCTTGACTCAACATAAATCCATCATTTCGGTACGCAAAATATCCAAATCGAGTAGAAATGATTCTCTTTTTTTTTCTGCAAATTACTCGGAACACAAATTCGAGAGAATCATATTACATTTTATGACTGTTCTTTGATTCACCCACACTTTCTTCAGTATTTGGTTGTTTGTTGTTGTTGTTTTCGTGTGTTGCTGTCGTCAGTTGTGATTATTATAATATAATAAATAATTATTATACGAAAAACCATGAATGCATTTGCTCGGCAAGAATCTCATATATGTACAATTTTACTGCTAATTATAATTACTTGGCAACTCATATTCTTTGGCTGATGGATGTATAGCGGCTTGATGTTGTTGCTTTTGTTTTCTTTCATTCTGCAGAGGTATGCAATTATGAAATCTATGTTTGATGGGTTTGCACGTGTATTTGAATCGGTTTGACATAAGTGCACCTTCTAAAATACTGATTGAGCATTTGCACTCTCTAGTCTCTAATCGTTTTAGTTTCCCACCTCAAATCTTGCTGTAATTGCCATTAAAGTTAATGGACAAATAATGCCATTTTATTTGCACAGAATATGCCGAGTGAGAGAGAGAGAGAGAGAAAGCGTAATCGACAGGGAGAAAATTTCTATTTATATGTTTCTTATTGATTCGACCCGACTAATTGCATACAAGAAAATGCATCACTTTTTTCTGCTTCTTCGGTGCAAAATTATTTGCAGGTGTATTTGCATTTGCATTATTTTAGTAACGTCATCAAGTTTAGTGATTTAATACATGATGTGTACACATCGACTAGAACGAATGATATCAGACACTCACACACAGCAAGTGTATCAATATGATAAAGTAACAATTAACAGCATGTGCTTGACTATATATAATACCCACACTCGCACACGTGTGTGTTCCACATTTCATCTTCAAATTGTCGTTAGATTGTCATCGTTCTGGGCGTTTGAACAAGTGCTGTGCGAACGTCAGCAAAATGTTGCTGCTCAAGTGCAGCATCTTGTCACAACTTTTTCTTCTCTGCAACAACAGTATTTTGCAATGCAAATCGATTCCTTGGTTATTTCTGTTGCTATTGTTGTTGTTGTTATTGATGTTGAGATTCAATGTCACAGGGCAAAAAAAAATCGAATCGGATTATATTTGAAAAACTGGTTGAAAATCTGTGATTGTGTGCACTACTGGGGGGGGGGGGGGGGGGGTAACAATACTCTTTTGCTATCAACCGTGAGTTCGACCGTCTCACGATTTTAATTACAATCAATTAAATTGAACAACAAATACTTTATCCGTTTAATTTGACACCGAAGTGCGCGACACAACACACACACACACTCGAATCGGGTACGTAGAACATTGCCACAGCAGAAAGATAACTTGGAATGTCAGCAGGAAGTGTGTTAAGTCCACTTTGATCTCGACCAGGTCTCTGTTCAAATTAACAAATTATTCAACTCGGGCAACTTAAGAGGACAGATTCGGTTGCTATTGTTTATACGATTACTAAATTGTCTTCCTTATTCATTCGTACGTAATTGAGAAGGAGAAGAAGAAGAAGAAGAAGAACAAAAACAATCGTCACTTTGTGACGAATGAACGAATGGTGTGGAGATCTGTCAAGTAAAACGCCAATTGCATTTCCACACACACATTTACACTTTTTGTGCGAAACACACAAAAAACTGCTGACTAATGCTCAATCAATATGATGTTTTCACTTTATTGCATTTATTAAATAGACCGGAATCGGAAAAAGCAAACACTTTACCATTCGAATATGCAAAAAAAAAACAGACGTTTCAATTTTCTTTCAAATCGAAGCCAAAGCAGCGACTTTGGCCCGATTTACTGGCTGGCTCCAGTAAATAAATGCATTTATTTTGCTAATGAATGCCAACAATGAATTTGTTTAGACTGGAATGAAAGAGAGAGAGAGAACTTAATGAGTAAATAATTTGATGTTATGTGACGTCTTGAAAATTGAATTCCAGGATTTAATTTGCGGTCGAAATGATATTAATGAACACCTTTTCCCCCGAAATTGCACTCAGCCAATGCACTCAATGCTATGGCAATGACATACACCAGAAAAGTAAAACAAATCCTAAGGAGAGAAAAAAAACGATGCCATCTGAATTATGTGTGCGATATGCAATCAATGCCAATGAAGAAATCCATTGCACTTGATCAACCCGAAAAACAAGAACCAAACAACTTGTCATCAAAAACGACAACAACAAAAAAACATTCCAACAATGTTGGACTTTTCGGGTGTGCGTCCGTTTGTGTGGTAATGTTAAAGAGAAATTACAGCAACGTGCACACGTCATTCGACCGAAAATCAACACCAAAACGAATGAACACGCTCACACACATGCATCGATGGGTCTGCAGTCGGCCGATCAAGAGCCAAGGGAAATAAGTGCAATGATATTTTAATTGTATAAAATGAATTAAGCAAATCTAGCCCATTTGTCAAGGTGGCCAGTCAGTCGGTCGGTCGTTGTGTACTTGTTTTGTGTTTTTATCGTTCATTAATAATATTTCGGTTATTCGCATTCTGCTGGCACAGCAACACACGCATGCACACATTCACTCACTGAACGGGAATGTGGTGCATATTTTCGGCAGCAACAGCACCACATACAACTGCACTGAGATTCGTATTTTGTAAGCTTAACTTTTAAGCGATGGCCTGATATCACTTTCGTCGGATGTTATGCCGTTGTCTCCGAGAGTGTGTGTATGTGCCTGGAATGTTCCATCGGCGTAGGCTTGTTTGGGCCTGTTTGAGCAATACATTGTTTGGTTTGGTTCGGTTTTCACCGTATGTTTTTCTCTTTCTTTCTTTCTTTCTTTCTTTCTTTCTTTCCCTCGACCTTTTTCACAATTTGTATAAATTTCCGAATTGGTACAAACGCACACGCGGAGAAAGGTTTACAACCAAATTCAAAACCATCAAAAATGTTAATGTTTTCATTTAATTTGATTTTGAGTGTCTTCTTCGTTTTTTTCATAAAATGGAAAGTGGATGTCGGTCAGCAGCGCATAATATAATCTAAATATACACATGATATTCATCATTCTCATCGCAATCACGCTGATGATTACGTAAATAAAATAACTTGATAAAAATGAATTCCGTGAATCGATCTTACACACTCACGCGACTGCATCATCATCATCGTCATCATCGTCGTACGATCCAAGCACGCGTCGGTTTTGCCTCCAAAAACAATGTAGAAAGTGTGTTTTGTTGATGTTTTGTGACGGCTATTCGTTTACAAATCAAAATACACAACCAAAATAGAATTCAATGCATTACAAATGCAAATGCGGCCTGCAGTTCACCATTTCTCTGACGGCATCAAGTTGCATATTTATCGATCATACTTTCGATTTTCGTTTGAATCAAGTTCGATACAAACATATGGACGAGTGTACATAAAAAGCATGAAAAAATTGGAGAAAAACAAATAGGTTACTGCATCCTTTCAATGTTATTCATTACTGTTTCGCAGTCACCTCAAAACGGAGACATAGAAAAGTAGAACGATGCTACTTTCTTCAAAAATATGAATTGGCGGGCGTATAAGGTGACGGGTTGCGCGTGATAATTGACAAATCAATTATAGTGGAACCAGTGGATTTGTTTTATTTGCGCTGCTTGTGTCCGCTTTTGTTTACACATTCAATAGGGGGCAAACACTTTTGATGGAACACAACAATTGTTTGGCAAATTTGGTTTGACATGCAATTATGACATAATTTATTCCGATGTATTTGACCCATTGCATTCATTCCGATCAATGGCCGGATTTGTGCCAGCGAACGAGCGTCATTTGGTGAAAAATCGATTTCCACATGTGCCACGTGAATTGAAAGTTAGCCATATCCAATATGTTTACGTGTGGAAAGCTATCAACGTCAGTTTTTCCGTTTTTATTTATCCACCATTACGATTTCTTTAATTTCAATCCACGCCGCCGGCTGCCGACAATCAATCGATTGAAAGAATTTTCGGACATCAAACTGACCTATGAACAGGTCTGTTTCCAAGCCAAAATAGTTTTTAAGGCTAAACATATGATACGATTAATCGATAATCACCGTTTCATTCCTTCCGATGAAAAAAAAACGAGCTCCTATCACAACAATCGATGGCTTGGGTCACGACTTTATTAACGCTCGTACTCAATCATTAATGATGTTGATTGTTATCATGGATAATTGAGCCATTCAGTCTTTGTTTTTGTGGTGGGTTCACCCATGCTTATGTGTGGCATTGCATGCATTACACACTGGTGCCAGAATCCATCAAATTCGATGAAATCGATACGGTTCCTTTTTTTCCATCGTCATCGTCGTTGGTCTTCTCCTCGTCCTCTTGACCTTATGCATAGTTTTGTTTACGTTTTTTTTTTTTGTATTTTTGAATAAAAGCATCTAATGACTGTGCTAATCGCTTTTATATTTCTATTGTTTATTTACAGTTTATTGTTTACAACAACGATAACAACAATAGGAAATACCGAGTAGGCCACACATCGACTAAGACACAACACGCACCAAATCAATCGCAAACATTGCACAAACACACACACACAGTTAACCAATAATTAGGAAATATTAATCAAAGTAGATATATACGAAACCGAAAGTAAAACCATAATAGCAACAACACAAATATGGAAGTGACGCCAAATTATTCGTATGTTTTCAATTTCGAAAATGAGTTTATACATCAAGATACGCGCAAATGGATGATCAAGAATTGGACATGGGTATTTTACTACTGTGGTGTTTATATGCTTATCATTTTTGGTGGACAATTTTGGATGCAAAATAGGCCTAGGTGAGTTTAAATTTTTGTTTGATTTCACTGTTAAACCGTAGACTAGATGCCAAAGTTTGATATTCAAACAAAAGCGACAAGGATAAAAATGGCAATTTGAGTTATTCAAGCGAAAAAAAAATAAAAATCACTCCATTGTGACGCACCATGCGGTAAAAATTCATCTCACGCAACGCTTTACATATCTTAAATACGATTAATTGATTTGGTAAACAAACGCAAATGAAAATCGTATCCTCTTCTTGAAACGGAAACCACTGTTGTGGTGGTGTATCGATAAAAGCGAGCTGTATTGGATGGGTTCGATTGATCATCTGTGATGTTTTACGTTGCAAAATGAATATTCTGCAATTATATAAACAGACATTATGGGCTTATATGGCACAAAATCATGGGGAAACAAACGCTTACCAACAGAAAAGAAACAAACACACAGTTACACTGAGCACGACACACGTGTGGCGCAGAAGAAGAGAAAAAAAAATGGACAAAAATATTTGACAGGAAAGTACTTTAATGCGCTGTCGTTAATAAAAACCAGTTTTGTTAAACGTATTACAAATCTTAATGTGGTTGTTGTTGCCTCAATCTGTGGCATGATGTGATGATGATCGTGTTTGGTTTTTATTCTTCTGGCAACGTTGCCTGTTGTCGTTCTTTTTTCATCGGCATTTCCTATATTATGTGTGTATGTCAACAACAATTGATGGATGTGATGAGCAAACTATGATCAGTCGGAACTACTACAACTGAATCACAAAAAGAAAAGATTCGCCACTTACTCATTCACTCTCTTTCTCTCTATTCGACTGTGTGTTTGTGATTTTTGTATCTCACACATTCTTTTTCGTCACATTTTATTCAAGTTTCTCTCTCACAAATAACGTTGACTGCTCTCTTTTTTTTCTCCGTTCGTTCGTTTCGCGTCTTGTCCATTCGTTGCGAGCGAAATGGGTGCGAGTACATACACAATTTGTGTAAAATCATACGATTTTTTGACATTGCTCAAAATCGAACTTGTAATATGATCATGTGTTTTTGTTCCCGACGACCAACAATTCAATCGAAAGCAAAGCAAAAAAAAAATGCACCGAAAATGTACCCAAATCAAATTCATAGACAATTCGTGTGTATGAAACATAGAACTAAAAAACAAATGATTAAGATTCCAAACGAATTGGGTTTTGTTTTCGGTTGTATTTGTTTGCAAAATGTGTGATTTGCATGCAGTCAACGTATCGAACGCTCTCAACAGGTAGCCAGTTGGCTCAAAGTAAATATTGAGCACAAATAGATAAACGAAATTGATAACACAGCCCAAGTGCTGCTTCTTGAAGAAGGAGAATAAAAAATGAAAACCTCAGTCTTTGCCTAATAAATCACGAATATTCCAAACTGGCAGAACGTGCCTAAGAACAGGAAAAAGGACAAAGAATACACATATACACCAAAGAGAATCAGATGATCATAGCATGTTACTATTAGCATCATATGTGCAACGGGGAACAAATATTGTTTGTCTTCCTCCTTTCTCTCTCTCTCTCTCTCTCTCTCTCTCTTTCTCTCGCTCTATCTCTCTCTCCCTCTCTCAATCGCGCACTCGCTCGCACGATATCTTACGAGTATCACGTTTCAAAGAACAACAACAGCGCACGCGTCTGCATTTGATATGATAATTATTCCGTAATCGACCAAAATCCCATTATCATTTATAAAAAAAAAATTTGTTTCATTTCGTTTGTTGCCGCTGCTGTTTACTGTTCAACAAGAACCGTCGGATTTTCATTGCATAAACATATATAAATCACGCAATGAACCGCACGAAAATGATTAATTATCATTTGGTGCAAATCTAATGAATGTTTCTTTTCTTTCGGCGGTACGTGTGACTTGACGAAAAAAAAAACAAACAAATGGGGATTCAAATGCATCGAAAATGAAATGTGTGCTTTCTTTTGTGTTTTTCGATTGACAAACATATGAAATCGAATGGTAAAAGCATAAAAAACGATCGTTCGGGTTTTACTGATGGAATTGGGCAAAACGGTCGAAGACCAAAACAAAATAACCAGATTCGAAACCTGATTTTTCATCCACATTCCATTTCGGACAAATTCCGAAAAAAATGATAGAACTTCCAAATTAGAAAAAACAAATTGATGAGATCTATAGCCACACGAAAATCCATCTTTATAAACATAGCGAATTAATTCTTGTCTGCGTCGAGAACTTGACTTCGAACAACAGCAACAACGTATCAGCCACTAAACACGATTTTGGAAGTTCAACACGCAAATGAATTTGCAAAATTACGTTGTTGTTGCTGTTTTCTCGCATTTTGTTCACCTGTTGATTATTATTGATCGTGTTTTATCCGGGAATTTTATGTTATATTTTGTGTGTGTGTCCCTGCCTGAGGTTAAGAACAGACGAAAAAAAGAGGTTTTGAAACAAAAATCAGATTTCGATGATATGAGCAACGACGAAGGCGAACAAAAAAAAATGAATATATTAATTGAGCAGCGTCATCGTGCTTCAATTAAATAATAACTCATTTTTCTTTAATTTTACGTGGTACAATCACGCGTTATCGAATCGCGTGTAATCATTATCAATCCGGCGAAAAGAAATGCTAACGAAAAAACAACAACAGATATTGTCGACGTTATCGTTTGAATGATTGTTTTTTTTTCTTTTTTTATTTAAAACGATTACTTAAGCGGCCAGATGTTTCATCGTGTGCCGCCTTTCAAATGAAATTATGAAGTGTCATCAGCACTTCAACGAATTTATAGAACATCGAAAAAAATAAATAAAAGAATTGTCATTTCGCCAAGAATAGTTATTTTGCGTAATTGACCCTGTGTGTCAACACTTTGACACATTGGATTATCGATGGGCGCACATATTTGTAATCAAAATGGGTTTAAAAGTACCATAAAAATACTGAGTATGTATCGGCCTGGAACCATATCAGCACTATGCATTTGAATGTGCGCTGATCAAGCTGAGTGTCGCATGTAATTGCCGATCGTAAAACAATAGGAAATTAAACGGAAAAATAACCGCCCAACACTACTCTCTCTCTCTCTCTCTGTCTTTGTTCCTCGAAATTTGTAGACATGCGATTAAATTGCATCAATCATCATGCTTAATGAATATAATATACAAAATGTAATTGAAGGAATGATTTACTTCATGATAGAATTCATAGTTACAAAATGTTCATAGAATTTGTGTTAAGTTTTATTTGTTAATAAAATGAAAATGACAGCGCAATATTCCACTTCTCATCCAGAAACCAATTAGACTCTTTTGCATTAGCCAACACAAGATGTTTTTACCTTATTTCGGGAATTTTGTTCCAGTGATATTTTTAGAATTAAAATCGTAACCACAAACTAACGTTTATTTTGTTTTTATCTATTTTTGTTTATTTTCATGTTCATCTTCATGGTAATATGTTTGATATGTTGATGACTGACGCTTACGCAGATTCGAATTACGTGGTCTTCTGGTGATATGGAATTCAGCGTTGGCCATATTTAGTATTGTTGGCGCTAGCCGAACTGCACCTGAATTAATACACGTTCTACGTCACTATGGGCTATTCCATTCAGTTTGTGATCCAAGGTTAGTATATCTAGATGACACATTCTATTTTCTTTCATTTTTTTTCTTCGTTTTCTTCATGACGTAAAACGGAATTGTAAAACCTCAACACGATGTTGTTATCATCGTAGAGATCGATACACATACACACACACACACACACACTCACCCACACTGGATTTAGTGTGGTATCGTTAGTTGTTTTATTTTTAGCCGTGCTCGCGTCTTCAGCATCTTTAACTTTTATTGGTAACAAAACCAATAAAAACCGGTCGATTGGCGCAATCAAATTCGACGGGTTCGGTTGAAATTTCCTTGAGACGAGATTTTTTCCGATCATATCGTCATTGTTGTTGCTAGAAGTTTCAATAACAGTCATGGCAAAAAAATGTAGCATAAAAATAGACTTGAAGGAGGTTCACTGAACTATTCCAACTAATTTATGTCATATACATTGTGTGCGTGCGCGTACTTGCGGTGTTGCAATTTCGTCGACTGCGTCACAGATTTAAAACTGGACTTGGACATTGGAAATCGTGTATTTTTTTCATATCTCTCTTTTTTTGTCCCTTCCTATTTCAAACAGCTACATCGAACAAGATCGAGTGTGTGGTTTTTGGTCGTGGCTATTTGTGCTATCAAAGTTACCTGAACTGGGCGACACACTGTTTATTGTGCTGCGAAAACAACCGTTGATCTTTTTACATTGGTACCATCACATCACTGTGCTCATTTACTCATGGTTCTCGTACACTGAATACACATCGGCCGCCCGTTGGTTCATTGTTATGAATTATTGCGTACATTCCGTTATGTATTCGTATTATGCGCTACGTGCAATGGGCTATAAGCCACCACGATTCATTCCAATGGTGATTACATCAATGCAATTGACACAAATGATTGTCGGCTGTACAATCAATCTGTGGGCCTATGATTATTTACAAACGATGAATCCATCATCCTGTAACATTTCACCGATCAATATCAAATTGTCCATTTCCATGTACTTCAGTTATTTTGTATTGTTTGCACGTTTCTTCTATGTGACATATTTATCACCAAATGCCCGAAAAGGAAAGCAAGCGTTCAGCGGCAAAGATCGATCCGTTCATCCGGTTGCATCATCCGATGCACATTTATCGAAATTATCCAGAGCCTCAATGACAAATGGTACCACCAACCGAACGGCTGCCACCATTACCGGAAAACCCGATAAATTTAAGGAACAATAGAAGAACATACATACAGACAGACACATTCTCTTACAAGCGAATTAAAACTGCGAATCATTTACTAGAGAACAAAAAGCCGATCAATAAAACGCATGCAAAAAATTGGTGAAAAAATAAAAACTTGATAAAAATCATTAGATTTAAGATGTATTCAACAACATAAATAAGAACATAGAACACTTTTTTGTATAAAAAACAAATTATTGCGAATTGAAAGTCATTGATGCTGTCAAACACAAATTGTTTATTTCATTGAATGAACACAAGGAAATTGATGCCCCATGCGTCTCTTTTTGTACTGTTGGACATGTTGATACATTTTGCGTAGAACAAAACACAGTTTTTCGTTACGAAAATTCTCATTGTGAGAAGAGAAACCGAATATTCAGACCGAATGTCCTTTATATATACGTTATTTATTAAGTATCGCACGCGCCTTGTGTTATCGCCAAAAAAAAACACTAAACACTTTAAAGAGAAAACAAGAAAAAAAAAACTTTGCGCATAGAAAGAAACAAGTATACACTACGCTCTCCCCTGATGTGTTGGAGAAGAGAAGAAAAACCCCTCACAAAATGTATCCCCATCAAATTTTGCAAATAATAAAATACGATTGATTTTCTTTTTCTCTATTTCACGTCAACAATCTTTTTTTTTTTTTTTTGGAAATTTCTTCTTCATCTGATTTTTTTTTCGTTTGTGAAAAAAAAAATTGTGTCTATGAATGCAAGCAATGAAATGACGCGAAAACGAAATGTTCACATACACACAACAAATAAACACACAAACACATTTATAGTTTACAATAAGTGAGAGAGGGAAACCAATAAGTAATCTACCAATTTAAAATATGTAACATTAAATTATTTTTTAAACTAGAAGAAAGAAAAATATTAAAAAAATAAAGAGAAAAGGGGTAAACAAAAACAAAAACGTTTGAACTAAATAAAATGAGTTGATTTTTTAGATTTTTTTTTTTTCGTTAAATTTATTTTTCTAGGGGAGTTTTCTTTCCAGGCATTTCCAAATGGTATGTAAAACATCTATCTTTGAATGACATTCACCTTCGAGGAAAATAACCAACAGGTGCTAATCTTATTGAATTCACTGTAATTTTCCAAAAAATCTAATCTAATTGAGCACCATTAGAAATGATAAAAACAACACACTTGGGTTTTTTTTTATCTGTCACTTGAATTCCGGGAAAAAAACATCCAGCCATATACAATGGTATCAAACATTTGTTTTCACCCTTTAAAAAATAATTTCATTCAGACACTTGACCGAATTGCTTTTTCGCTGTTATTGGACCCAACAATTAAGATATTCGATAATGTTCATTGGATCATTGTCATAAATTCTTCAAAGCAGATAAAAACAATTATCTATTTAAATAAACTGATGTTCATTTGAATAAATGAATGTGTATTGTATTGCGCGTAGTGTGTTGGTGAGGTGAGCTCATACGGTAGTAGCATTTAACTACACTCAGTAGTAGATTGGCGCTATAATTAGATCGTGACATAAAAACATATGCATATTTATATGTGTTGTAAAATTTTTTGTGTCAATCGGATCATTGCACTCCGGATATTTTCTGCACTTATTGTAAAAATTACAAACAATTGAAATGATTCCTCTTCTGTCAATCTTATGCTGACATCCCATTCGCAGTTTCGTTTGTAGGAAAATTGAAATAGACGGAAAGGAAAACATGTGCGATACGAAATGCGTACCCGTAGTACTCATTCATGTCCAATTGCACATATCGACCGTATATAAAGAATTGATCCGCTGAATCCCAATGAATCTGTGGCTCAGTTTGAATCTAATTTCTTCATTTATTGACCGAATAAAGTGAAAATCAATTCAAAATTAACCGAATTAAAGTCACTTTCTTCATTCGAATGAACTAATGGCCGCTCACTATATGTTGACAGTCGGCGCATCTGTTTCCATATGACTCCGTGGCGCAATGGTAGCGCGTCTGACTCCAGATCAGAAGGTTGCGTGTTCAATTCACGTCGGGGTCATTTCTGATTTTTTTTTTCTAAATAAAAACAATCAAAAATTCCCTCCGAACATTTTTTTCAATAGGTTCTCTTCAATATTTGTTATGAAATTTTCTTGGTTGATTATTTCCAAGTTAAAGCACAGGGTAATCGAGGAAAAAAAAAGAAAAAAAAGATTGATTTAGAATTGGAACCTATCCATTTAAATGCATAATAACTATTGAGAAGTATTCATGTAAAAAACAAGTCATTTTTAATTAGTTCTTTTAATAAAAAAAAAACACAATTGACCCCGACGTGATTTGAACACGCAACCTTCCGATCTGGAGTCGGACGCGCTACCGTTGCGCCACGGAGTCATATAGAAACATGACGCTACTGTCAACATATACTGAATGACCGTTATTGGACTCGAATGAAGCCAATTTGGCTTTAATTCAGTTAAATTCGAATAGATTTTCACTTTAATCAGTAAAAGAATGAAGAAATAAGACACAGACTAATCCACCGATTCATTGAGATTCAGATGATCAAATTTCAATATATGTGTGATGTGTGATGTGAGTTGAACGTAAACGAGTATGCATCTTGCATTGCACATGCTTTCGATTCAGTCTAATTTGCCTGCGAATGGAATTTGAGCATCATTTGATTGACAGAAGGGAGATCATTTCAATTGTGGAATTGCATTTACGGTTTTAACTAATCAAAATCGCATATCTAATGAAATTTTGAGGTGTAAAACTTGAATCATGGGTGCTAAATGCGAGGGGCTTATTTTTTTTTATCACGAGTCAGTACTTGTTCGTACAAATTCATACAAATTGACGCATGAGTTCTACCACACAAGCCTCTCGGTTAAATACGTCAATCGATCATCAACAAGTGATAAGGAATACAACCAAAAATACATGCTTTTCGCCGTATTTACTTATCCCCGTAATCGTATTATTTGAAATGCATACATGCATATTCATTCACATCAACGATAAGATAGAAGTATAAAAGTGAAAAAAAAAACCATGCTAGAAGTTTTTATCATGTGCCGGTATAAATGTGCATTGATTTGCGATAGTTTGTATTATTTTTAACTATTGATTGCGAAATCATTCATTTAGATTTATTTCCAGCATCAATCAATCACCTTGTCCAAAATTAAAACTATTTTGCTGTGTAACCAGTGTGCACACTGCAACTGATGCTAAATTTAGTCTCAATTTGCCTCAATCTGTGAAATGATGGTAAAGCAAAGTGATTATAAGTAAATTAACATGTGGCGCCATCTGAATGTGTGATGTACAATGTGATTAGCGATGACAGTTAGGTTCGCATATAGTCTTTTTCCAATCGCATTTACTTGTTTGTACGTAATTTCATATTTTCGCACTAAAAAACCAGCGACAGCGAATCATTCAGTGTCAGTCGTTCGGTGTTTAATATTAAAAAGAGAAGAATATTTTGACTTTGTCATAATAATTGTTTACTTAATTCGTAGCGATTGATAACGTCAACCGGAATTCGGTGTTTTAACGTGTGAAATATTGATTTGAGGTCAGCGTCAATTGATTCCGTAACGATGGCAGAAATTTCAGGCTTATCAAATTCCGAAGTTAACGAATTGTGTAAACCGGCCGATCCGGCAACAAAGGTTCGTTCGATCATTTTAAATCCTCTCGATTTTTGCTGATGTCACCACATTTTCTCAATTTTGTTCTCAATGTAATGAAATTTTTGTGTGTAGGATTTTCTGTTTCAACAAACGATGTATCGCATTAAAGATCCGCGCGCATCATTGCCTTTCTATACCGGTGTGCTGGGTATGACATTACTACAAAAATTGGACTTTCCCGAAGCAAAATTTTCGCTGTATTTCTTGGGTTACGAAAATGTAGCCGATGTTCCAACTGCCAACAATGCTGAACGCACAAAATGGGCCATGTCACGCAAAGCAACCGTTGAACTGACACAGTAAGTCAATTCTGAATAAGAATTTATTCGACGAAAAGAAAGCGTTTGTTGTTTTGATTGAGCTGGAGAACAAAATAGATGGGTTGTATTTATGTTTTATTCAATTATTCACACAGTAACTGGGGCACTGAATCGAATCCAGATCAGAAATATCACGATGGCAATTCGGATCCACGCGGTTTTGGTCACATCGGAATTATGGTGCCGGACGTTGATGCGGCTTGTGAACGCTTCGAAACACTTGGTGTGACATTTGTGAAGCGCCCGAACGAGGGCCGAATGAAGGGATTGGCTTTCATCAAGGACCCAGATGGTTATTGGATTGAAATTTTTAACGCAAACACCGTTTGTGCTTAATGCAAAACCATGTGAGAATAGATAACAATGGATGTGAACAAAACCGCCGCCGTCTATGAATTCAATTCGATACGCGCCATTTGATTTGATCACCGATATTTTTTTAACCAAAAACTTGATAATAATTAACGAGAATGAAATCGAATGGAAAACTAATAAATACAGATTTTTATGTCATTTTTACACACACACACACAGTAACATACAATCGAAACATATTTTGTTAATTTTTATACACAAACTCACACATTTGTAATGCAGCTAGCAGCCATTTTGGCACAGCGGCTTTAAATTATTATCAACACCTATGATCAAGGGTGAAACGAAAAACATCCTAAAAAAACCTAAAAATTTCCTCAAAAACCCAAAAAAAAACATCCTAAAAAACAGATTACAGTTACAGTATATTTTACTGAGTTGTCTCATTGCCATTGAAATATATAATTAAACATACAGTTACTCACAAAATTGTTCAATGTGTCCAAAACGCATATTTTCTATATCGCATGAGACAGATATGGCGATATTATCGTGTGATACTTGCTTACGTGCGTCTCATATTCATCATATTTCGTCAAAAAAGAAACATTCTGCTAAATCTATTCGTAATGCTCAATTTTATGTTACAAAATATCGCTGATAACATTTGATACTGTCGTTTTTACAATCTAAGAAATTTCCGTTCATTTCGTCTATTCCACAGTTCTCTGTTGAGTCACACTTTAATCATTTCCTTCTTCAATTCTACAGCATCAAAAAAACATTTTCGTTAGTTTTATCAGAAAATGATTTCATTTTAGTTATCAACAACAAACAATTTCGAAGAAAACAACGAAAATCATTTCGATTGGTATAAAATTTAAAAAATTGATTGGAAATGATTTTCGTTGTTTTCTTCGAAATTGTTGTTCATTTTTAGGTTTTTTAAGAATGTTTTTTGTACTATTTTTCGGACGAAATTAGGGTCTTTTAGGTCGATTTTTGTATTTTGTCAGGACGATTTTTGTGATATTTAGGATGATTTTCATAATTTATAGGACGATTTTTGGTTTTTTTTAGGACGTTTTTCGTTTCACCCCGATATCAACACAACTTTTTCCAAACCAACAAACGGGAGAAGAAAAAAAGCGAAGAGAAAATTGTTAAGTTTCTTGTGATTTTTTAATTTTTCTTCGGAAATTGTGAAATAAAAACTGTTTGGCATTTTTTTTTAAACTAGAATAAACCTGTAATAGATAAAGCTTAACGATATTTATTATTGATGTTTTGTTTGGTTGGAGTACGGAAAACTGATCCAATTGTAGAACGTAGGTGGATTACCAGAGGTTGCAGCCGGTTCATAAAATTGGTTCGAAGCCTGCTTGAGCAGCGGCCATGTTTGCTCGTAGTCGTATAGAAATTTTTGCCTGAAAGCCGAGAAAATTCAAAACAGACAAACGGATTGTTGTCATCTAAACATGAACTCGACGAATTTAAAATCATTCACAATGGAGAAGTGAAATGGATGGTAAGTTAAGTTGGATATGATGTAAAAATACAGTCAAACAATCTGTTATTTCTAGTAGAGTTGGGTGAATGGGTCTTACCTCTTACCATATTTCACCGTGGTGAATGTATTTGCGGGACACACAGTCCGTTTCATCTACCAAAAGTCTAACAGAAACTCCGAATAAAATACACATGGACTTATGGGCTTAAAACGGTTTTTTTTTATTCATAACATAATTATTGTTCTACGCTTTCGATGAAAATGTGAAGAAATGCGTCGAAGTTTTTGAAACGTTCAATCGCAATTCTTCACATTTTACCGTTTTGAATAAAGTAATACTCACAAAAAAATAATAATAATTTCATTCTTAAAGCAAATGTTTATTTTCTACGGAGGAAAAAAACAAATAAAATTTTAACCGTCAATATTGTGCAGCCAAAATGGAAAAGAAGAAAGAAATAAAACGTATATCGCCAGTAAAATGGAATAATTTCATATATCGGACTAAATAAAGCTAATAAAAGTAATTGCTGTGTGTGTGTATCTGTGTCTTGTTGTGAAGGAAAAACTATCGACAATTTGATACCAAGAGTTGTTGCATTTCCTTTGTTTGGTTGTTGTTTGAAGAAGCTTCGGTTACATGTTAATTTACGCCATTTTCATTTATTTTGTGCGCATTTTTCTTTCATTATACCCTTTTTAACAAATTGACAAACGATTGCTGGCTCTATTCGGTTTGTTTGTAACTTTTGTAATATTATAGGTTCGAACAAATGCATTTACATATTAATGCTACAATATTTTTTTTGTTGCATTTTTCGTCTCTCACTCGTTCACATGTTGCGTATTCATAAGTGTAGGGGAAATTAACATAAACCTACGAAAAAAATGAAAATAAATTCTCACCTAATGCCTGTACTATCCTACTGTATGATTACACAATACACTTTTCCTAAGCTTAGCATTAACTGAAATTTTAGGTTATTGTTGATCTTTGCTATAGCATAAATTCACATTCGTTATTCATTGAATGCACGATAACTGAAGGTTGTGCCAAAAAATAATTGTTGCTTTCTCGGTTTCAATTCGATTTGTTCTATATTATTCAGTTCAGTGGTTTTGGGGCGAGTGTAACAAAATGGTGAATATAAATAATCACATTGCATTTTTTTCAGTTTTTTTTTTTAGAAAAGTAACAAACGTGTTGCACTAGAATTGATTTGTTTTCTAGACATTGTTTGCGAAATCAATCCCATGATTGACCACATGAAAAACTCCAATTGTTTTGGGGGGAAGGGCGGAAGTAATAGTGCTCAAAACAAAAATTCCTTTTTCATCAAGAAAAATTAATTCAATCTATCAAACGTTTTTATTCATTTTCAGATCCTTGAATTAATGTTTTCAAAGAGTTATTTCAGCAGGATCTCTAATAAGGCGATTTTTCCTTCTTTAAAGGAATCTCATTACAGATCAAGTGGTTTTCAAATTCTTGATCAAATGGTTTTCAAGCATTTCAAACCATTATTCACAGCGATTGAATGAACTATGAGTCCCGTACGCGCCTTGTATTGTCTATGGTATACCAAAGAATCACGGAGCTTCAAATATTCATACGGGATTCAATTCATTGGATTGTTGTGCCTTCACCTTGTGCCTTTTCACCATCAAATTCCTAATTCTTAACTAGACCTCAGCCCCCAAAACACACACGAAGAAAAAACTAAATTAGTTGGTACCCTTAGAAACATAGAAAATATTGTGCAAAAACGATGGCCGAAAAAAAAGATCATCACCTAATACAAAGCTGGATAACTATATTCAAATCAATTCCATCAAAGATAAAAGGCGTTAAATAGTATACGAACATTGCATTTGCTATGAGAATTTTCTTCTATTTTCTTGATTTAGCTCTGATTATCTCCTTCTTTTTGTCATTACGCAATATGATGTAAATGCTGCGCGGTGTCATTAAACAAAACCATGATATATTTTATGTTTGTTTCTTTCATTTCGTTTCTATTCATTTCTTTTGCTCTTTTGTTGTTTTGTTTATGATATTATTACAATTGCTTCATGTGTATGTATGGTTATAATTTGTGTTTTTTTTTACAAAGAAAGGAAGAGAAAAATAAAATTGATACTAAGTTATTATATGCATAGCAGTGTTATATGTATATTGGTTCTCATAATTATCGTCTTAGTGTATATCATTGCGTCTATCTCGAAGATGATCTCTGTATGTGTGTGTGTGTACGTTATTCAAGTATACATGTTCTAATATTTCAATTTAAGATTAATTACACATATATATATTCATTCTAAAAAAAAAGACGGAGAAGAAAAAAATCAAAATACCACCATACATTTTAGACTCTTGTCTATGGATACAATTTGAATTATACGTATATAGATGAATTGCGGTTATGATTATGAATATGCACGTTCAAATTATATACACGTTTTTCTTTTCTATCTCTCTCTCTCTCTCTCTCTCTCTCTCTCTCTCTCTCTTTCTCTCTCTCTCTCTCTCTGATGAGTTTAGAGTGTAAACTGTCGTTTGTTCATATCGGCTGGTCACAATAGAGTAGATGTTTGTCGAGAGTGGTAGTTAGGAAAAAGATGAACATAAAAATTGATCGTTTTTTCTTTGCTCTTGATAGGCTCAAGTTTAAATCAACCGAAAATTACAACTAAACTCAAACTATTGAACTTTTCAAGCGGGACACTCCTTTAAAATGAAAAACAAATAGACGACAACGGAAATCAACAGATCCCGAAACATTATCGTAAAATCAATTTTCGTTATTCTATTAATCTTAATGGATGTGTATGAAATGTGTATAAATGAATACCGCAAACAAATGAACATATGTCTATTCATAAGAAACATGTAAAATTGTTTTCATCGAATTGCTGTCCGATAGTTTTATCTGTAAATATTCAAATCCGATGGATGGAGAGAGATAGAGATTTGATGACGACGACGACGATGATAATGATGATGACAACAATCAATCGGACGACTCATTTTTTTCTAATTTTTGTCTTTGATCTCAGCATCGGCAAATATGGCTCGTACATTTTCTTTTCTTTTTCTTTCCAATACAAATACATTTTACAAAAAAAGGCCAGCATGACAAAGTTAAAACACTTTACACGCATATTATGACAGGCTAGACTAAAAAAACGATATTGGTCATTTCAATTGATTCATTCTCGAGAAGAAAAAAACAAAAACGAAATGAAGAAATATTGTTTAAACTCTGTAAACTTAGGCAACGGGAATTCCCTTTTCACAAATATCTACTGCCAAGATATACAAATGCATTTTTCTTGGGGTAAAATTGTTATAGCATTAAGTCGCTCTGATGATATAATTTCTAATTGTTTGTTTTTTTTTGTTATTTTTTTTTTCTTTTCATTGTGTTTCTCATTCTTCTTCTATTCGAAGCGCCAATTCAAAATGCAAAGTGGCGCGGCCATGTCTCTCTTCTAACTCCTAGTTTTCCGATTGTGTGAATTTCTCTCCTCGTTGTTCGTGCATTGAATTCAGTCGATCACGCAACAATTGGTTTTCCTTTCGTAATTTCTCACGTTCAATATCACGTTCATTCAATTTGGGCTGTGGCAAATACAACAAATAAATCCATGTAAAATCAATTTTGAAAGGGAAATTCAAGAGAAGAAAATCGCGATGAAAAAGGAAGTCGTGCCTTACCAATAATTGTGAAATGTGTAGATTCAATGATGCCACATAGGCTGATATGAGGTGGCAGGGTATTGATGGTACGGCATGCTGTTGACCAATTGGGCTCAATTCGATGGGCAATGAACAAAGATTTTCGCACGTGGTCGATCTCAATTTGTTGGCGCCATTATTCAATTTTGCCTTTGCATCGCCGCTGTTCAAATTCAGTTCGGCCAATGGTTGTGCCAACGTATCGTATGCATAATTCACTTCCGTGTTCTCAGCATCCGCCGTTGGTTTGTTTGTCGTCGTCATCTTCGATGCATTGGTGCTGGAAATTTGTTCGCTATTCGATGCACTATCATGGTTGCCCTTTGATTGGCCATCGATGCCCGGTGATTTGATTGGTGCCGTTGACGGATCATACACTGAGTCTATCGACTCGTCGACGTCGTTGTTGGCTTCGGATGGTGGTGGCGGTGGTGGGAGTGGAGCAGCGGCCGATTGCCGTCGTGGATCGGTTTTGACTTTGATTGATGGCGACTTTGTGATTGCGGGCAATCGAATTTCATCGATTTCACAGTAACCATCGTCGTCTGGTAAAATATTTGCCGCTTCAATCGATGTCATACTTTCGCATAATTCGGCTAGTTTATTATTGTTAATCACAGTTGATGTTGTTGATGACGATTGGCTGCTATTATTGCTGATACTTGTTGTGCTATTACTTTGTGTCGTCGGTTTGCTTTGCGGCTGCTGCTGTTGCTGTTGTTGCTGCTGCTCCAGGCACTGTTTTTCAGCGGTTTTAAAGCAATCATCACACAGAGACGCTGATTTTACCAACATATCCGTTGGTTTGATTTGCGGAATTTTTACATACTCATTCAATGCTTCGGTCAGCGATTGAACTTGAGCAAATGCAGCTAATAAAATGTCCGATGGCTCCTGCAGATATTTACAATACTGAATGTTAAAAATAATATTCACATTTATTTATGGTTCTGTCATGTTTTTGCTATTTTTCGAATGAATTGAAGCATGAATTTGGGACATTGAATATTTTCTTACCTTGGGAGCCTCTGGTTGGCCAGCTATGTCTGCAATCGCTGAAAAATGCTCATTCGGTACTCTAAATATATCACAAACAATTTTTTGCTTTTCGGCTAAAGTGAGTCGTATCGATTCGTCCAGGCGTCTCAGTCGTTCTACAGAAAATTTCAGGAGAAAAAAAAAATTGGAATTCAAGTCACGCTGGATCTATTCTTGGATGAAACTCTTTTTTTCGCTTTCAAAATGAAATCCCTTTCGAAAAATTCCGAAGCGTTTCGTCATGAAATGGGATCAAATGGGTAGACTTGCACTTACCATTTGGTGTTAGAACAGGCTCAGCCGTTAGAGCTGGACTAATGCTGACATGAACTTCACTTGGTGCCACCAACGATGATTGTTGTGTCAGTGTTCGTGTGTTATTCGAATTATTGGAATATACTTCAGATTTTCGATTGGATTTGTCGCACACATCCTCTTCGGCCAATTTGACTGATGCTCGGGCACCGCTTCCATTCACATTGATGTAATCATGTTCACCTGCAAAATGCAAATTCATTTCATTTTTTTTTAGTTTTCCATTCAAATTTGCAGTGTTATTAGGGTGAAATGGTTGCTTGACATTTGATGTAATTCAAGAGTGTTTGATTGAATACTTACTGAATGCATCGGCGTCGTTGCTCGTGCTGTTGTGACGAGCGACTGCATCTTTCTGTCCATCTGCAGCAAATTGATTGTGTGCAACATTTTCGGCCGCACTTGCATTTGATGTGGATGTATTCAGGCCACTGCTATTCGACGTACCACTTGTGACAAATTCATGATCTGTTGTCTCTTTTGCGGTTGCACTTGACGGTATCGTAACGCTGGCCGGATCTTCCATCGGAGTCATGTCATGATTTTGACTCTTTGTTCGTTGTTTATACGCTTCGGCAGCAGCTGATATGTGATTGAACCACCTGCATTGATGTTATTTTCATCGTCGAATGAACAAAACAGAATTAATTTTGTAAAAGGAAAATTCCAGCAATGAGAACAACCAAAAATTTACAAAGTACATACGTTTTGCACTCTAAAGCGCTGGGAGCGGTTAATTCTAACATTTGCGTTACATTCGTATTGATTAAATAAAAGGAATTCTTTTCCACAGCCGATTGACGAACTAGAATCAGGTTGATCTTTGTTATTGGATTAAAACGAATCTCATTTTTGCTTTCGCCTCCAGTCGATCCAGGGCTCACCAAATGTTTAAGCATATATTTATCGTCCTGAAAATGCATCAACAACATTTCGATTTCAATTATTTTTTATTTTTCTGTTTCGGGGAAGATTCAAACTTGATCGACAAGCGAATCAATTTACCTTTTTATGCAGTAAAACGACCATTGTTTCAAACAGAAGACCATGAAGCTGTTCTTGTGGTTGCTTTTTGTGTGTTAGAGTACCTTCATAGATTAGCTTGTGTTGTGTTAGGTCCAAATGCTGAAAAAAGTACATTTATTTTCCACCATTAAAATCCGAATTTGAACAGAAGCGATTTTTTCTTTCGTTCTCAATTAAAATTGGTTCGGTTTTCCACTCACTTTGAATTCGTTATTTGGTTCCTTTTCAAACAGAGACTTGTCCAGGCGTTTTTGAATGGTTTGTAGGGTGTGTGTATCTTCAGCCTCGCGTACAGCTTGATTGACGTGATCGAGAATGCGTCTGGACAATTCTCTGGACCGTTGTATGGCCTCTTTTTCGTTATCGGCCGGTGATGTGCTCTTGGAAATTTTGGCTAAACTTTCAAACAGCAGCGGATATTTGGTCAACCGTTGCAATACGGTTGGCAATAAATCCTTCAATTGTAAACGTCGGCAGGCTTTGTGCGATTCAGCTTTGGTCAACAACCTCTGGAGATTTTCATCTTTGCGGCGCTTCTCTTTAAGCGCTTCGAGAGCGATTTTTTGGCGTGCACAAAACTGAGCCGCATGCTCACGCAACTGATCACCTGCATTACCATCGAACATTGACAACAGTAAATCACCGATTTCACCCACCAATGGACCGTGTTCGCTGCGCCGTTGTTTCAACTGTTGTTCGAATGTGCTGTGCAAATCCTTTAGCACGAGCAACGATGGTGGAAACAACAAGGTGAAATGTTCTTGTGTTAGCGCCGATGACTCTTGTAGCGGTCGCATAAATACACCTTCGAGCAATTTAAGTGTCCGCACATGGTTTCGTTCGGTTTGATAGATTTCTACGTAAAAAAAAATCGAGGAAAAAAAATTAATTTCAATTTTTTGTTGTTGAAAAAAATCAATGTTATAACAATGTTGATAAATCAAAAGCAAACCGATGAAAAAACGGCTTCTTCCAACAACACCACACTTACCATTAATAATTTCTTGTCGTCGCTTTTCCGCATCGGAAAGCGTATGTAAAATATCGGCGCTAACATGTGAGCTCCAGTCGGCTTCGGGCGGATCGCCGGCCTCATCTTCACTGTCAACCCATTGACGCGGTGCAGATACAACGCCCTGTTGATGGCCACCGATCGGTGTGCCAACCGCTTCCAATGATGGACTGTTACTGCCAAGACTGTAAAATGAATGGTTCATCAGTGTTAATCTCATTGAATCGCATCGAATTCAAAAATTTGCAAAAATGACAAACGAAAAATTACCTGGATGAGAGACTAGAACTCGAGCTTGCTGTGAAATTGGTATTGTTTATGCCCAAATCGACATGTTGATCCTCACTGTTATGAGAACAAAAGGGGGAATTTAGAAAATGCACACAATTTAATTAGCATAAAAATATCCGGTTGAGACAAGAGCAAAATATTTCCGAAGAAAAGAGAGAAAACCACCTTTTATACCGCTCTGTGTGAACAGCCATTCGAGAAAATCGACTGAATTCTTCTTAATCCGTAATTGTCGCGCGAATTATCATTTGCACTAATATATAATCACCACCTCAATTTAACGTTCAACTTGACGAAAATGATTTTTTGTTTGTTTTTTTTTTTCATTCAGTTTTCACAGTATTTCCTTGCCATTCAATTGTCTCGTTTTTTCTTTGTATCATAATTCAGTTTGCAATCATTTCGTACGGCTCCCTTGAGACAAATTCTACGTTTGTTTGAAGAATGAGAGAAAAAAAAACGAGACACCGTCAACCAAAGTCATTCCACGTTTCACGTTTCAGCAATTTTTTGGTCGGTGTGTGTGTGTGTTTCTTCTTGTCCTTTTCTGTTCGTATTTATTTTCGGAACCAAAGCTCACAAATTAATTTGTTTCACGACGAATGATGGCGATACGGCAATGATGTGAAGACAAGACAAAAACACACTAGAAAATTGGTTCGCGCGCGCATTGTCTCTCGAAATGTATATAAAAATACTTGCACCACTATATTTAATATGACCACTGCGACGAAAAAAAAAAATGGGCAAACTAGAATTAGAGACAGGCGAAAAAAAACGAGAACTGTTTATAGTCGCGATGATGGTTTCCCCATTTTAATCACTTATATGTAGTATAACAACGAGCTTAACCATTCAAAATCACACCACCGAATATTTTTGTCGCATTTAAGGGGCTGATGGCCCGTTATGTGTATGTTTTATTTTGCTTCTTGTTTATGTTGTGGCTATATTCGTTCGATGGACACGACGGCGACGATAGCACAATCGCCGTTCGACAGAGCAAAAAAAAAACAACCCAGCCGTACGCGCAAAAATGTGTATCTATGGCTTTATATTTTAACATGGGATTGCGGTAGTCTTGGATTTTGTTGATTTTGCTGGGCGTGTTGTATGTGTGGAAAGGAACAAATATGCAAGCTATTCTCTATTGTTGATTCGAAGTCAAACCGATAAACTCGCAAGAAAATTGAAATGACCAACAGCAACAGACAAGCCAACAACAACAACGAAAACAGCGCGCGAATACACACACACACACACAGTCTCTGTCTACATCGAGAATATGGTGGAGATAATGAAAAGCAACTGACACACAGCGAATAATGTGAATTTGATAAGATATGGCATGAATTGAACATTGGATTGGCGGTGAGCATTTTCTTAGATTTCGGAATTGAATGAGCCGAATTTCCGGTTTCTGGCCCAATCAATATGACCGTGCAGGTTGACCTCGAGTTCAAGCATATATGTTTTCTTCTCTCTTCTTTTTCACTTTGGAAAATAGCGTCCGTTGTTTTTACGGGGATCGTTTGAAAATTTTCAAACAATATTGTCGGTTTCGCCGAAAAAAAAAACGAGCTGGAATGTGCTTTCAGAGTGTATGTGACAGTGCAGTCAATTTCTTTGCCATTGTTTGCACCGAAATGAGAAAATATCCCTGCAATTTCCAACGCATCCCAGTGCAATGTTGAAGTGTTTGTATGCGAGATAGAGAGAGAGAGAGAGAGAGAGAGAGAGAGAGAGAGAGAGAGAGAGCATAAAAGCTGAAGTGACATAAGTGCGCCATTAAATCACATTTTGTGGTCGCTTTGTATGCACATCAAGTGCACACTTTTGGTAAAAGTGCGGTGAACAAAAGAAAACTACTATGCGAAGTGTGAAATGCGTTGAAAATTGTTCAACTCGAAATGAATGTGATGGTGTGTGCTTGCTGTAAACAAAAGTTGTTAGTCGTTGGTTTTTTTTCTCTGTTCAATCCTCGAAACCTAGCAACTAAATCGAAATCTTCAGAGATAAGAGACAGTTTGTTGTGAGTTGATAGGAAATTGTCACGTTTGTCGTTGTTTTGTGGCGAATTGGTTTTGAGTGAAAATGAAGGTAACTCACGAATCAATCTTCTTTCAAGATTTAAAACAGCGATTGGATGTGCGGCATCTTGCATGGAAAAACATTGAACAAGTAGTAATGGAGGTTTTTAGAACAGGTAATGCACACACGATAGCTCAGCACTGCGGAATCCGATGTGACAATAATGTGCGGTGTTTGTGTGTGTGTGTGTGCCCAATGTTGTCAAACGATGAAAAATGCTTTGTTATTTGGCTAGATAAATATGACAGTCGTAATCATGATGAATGGCAGCTAAATGAAACAACCGACACACATTCACTCACTCATTTATTCGCTTTCTCTTTTGCTATCCTTGCAACAATTCGTATATAACACTTTTGAGCTGTGCGAATTCCAAGCACCAAAACATTGCCTACAAATATGTAACCATACAAGAATGTCGTCTGCATGAAATGTAAGCATGCTTCCACGTTTGTAATAACAACTGACTCATGACGATTAGGAAATGAAGTGTGGGCTGCTTGTTGCGCAATGAATCATGTGCACACAAATTCAAATAGTCCTTCATTTATTTAGAGTACGGATCAAAGAGTAAAAATAAACAGGCAATAAAACCGAGAAGGGGGGAAGGGAAAATGAAGCGAAGCAAAGAAAATAAAAGGTAATTTCAATTGTTTATTAGATCTAATTCTGTCATTAAACGCGGATTCTCCGCAAACAGTGAGCCAAGAACGGGCATACATCTGTGTCAGTGAGCATGAAACTGGATGGTTCGTTGGTTGGCGTTCAAATCGATATCTTCCTTCGATGATGAAATGTCGGAAATATTCCATTGTGCCGCGCACAAAATGTCCAATTCAGAAATAATTCGCGTAAATTTCCACGCTCTTGTTTCTTTTTCCATTTTCTCACTCTCTATCTCGGTGTTAATTGAACGTGAGCAGAGACAACCCAGCCAATCGACATGCAACCCAATCGATCTTCGAACGTCGCCTCACCATTGTGCGGCACTCATTCATATCAATTTTATGGACAATGGACGAACACACCCAAAACATTTGATGCAATTAAATTCAAAAAATAATTGCGATATTTCGATTGCAGAACCACATAAAACACACACACACACACACACACACACACTGAACAACACCATACTTCAGAGAACGAACGAGCGCGCGCGAGACGGAATCGAGAACAAAAACAACAAATTGCAGATGGAAAATTTGTGGTAATTGTTTTAGTTCTAAATTTGAAATGAAAATCAAGCGCAAAACCGTTATTGCACGTTCACATGCACACGCACATCCATCACCCACAATGTGACGACGACGACGGCAACGGCAACGGTGGCAGTAGCGGCGGCGATAATGAGTGAAATCCAATTGCGATGTTAACATTTAAATATATTTTCCTTTCTTGGCCGATAGAAGCGTGGAACGTTGATGTGGCGGCTTTTTGTCTCTCCGTTGCTTACAGTCTCGAGATTCAAAATCGATGGAATACAACAGGGGAAAGAAAAACGAACACCCGATCGAAATATATAAGTCGGAATAGCCCTTAAATTGTTTAGAGCGAACAATTTTATAATCGGCCGATTTCCACGCACACACACACACATCTTGTCTACAGACTCACTCTCAATGCGCGCAGTCAATGTGGCATTTTATTTTGCAATCAAACTACGAAATATCGATCTCTGGCTTCGTTCTCGTCGAAATGTTCTTGTTTTTCTTTTCGGGGCATTCATAACATTTTTCTCTCATTTTCTTTGATTTTGTTCATCATCTCTGTATCTTATTACAATTAGAGTTGTTGTTTTTGTTCGTATTTGTTCGCATATGAAAATCAGATGTGGAAATTTAAAACAAAAAACCAATGAAACGATGCTTTTAAATCGATACAATTGCGTCTTCTTGATTGCGAAATTATAGTATGCGATCGAAAAGTTACAAATTGAGCAACGAGCAACACCAGCCAAATTTGAATAGTCAACAGCGAATGAAACTCCATAAATCGCATTATGACATGATGCCACACAGTTGTTTGAATATCCAAAAACCAAACCGAACAAAACAAAAACCGATTACCGAATGAGTCGAAATGATACTGTATGGGCTTTTGATCGATGCTGCAATTTCACTCATTTTGCATTAAATGCATGTCAAAATCTCTCTCACTCTCGCGCGCGCGCTTGCTCGTGTCAGATGCGATGAATGGTGTACAACCATCGAAATCAATCGGTTTATGATTTGTGGCTAATTTGAATAATTGATATTTGTTTCGTTGCAAAATCATTATTAGAGTATATGATGAGATGTGATAGAGAGGGGGAGAGAAAGAGAGGAAACACGGCGGATATTTGGCTGTTGCTTGTGAAGGGGGAGATTTTTGCGCAACAAAAATCAAGCAAAAAAATTCACAAACACACACACACACACATATGGCAAAAACATTCCAACTGATCGTCATTTACAACAACATCAATTCACACCACCAATAAAAATGCTAACGGACGACGTGGGTGAACCATAATAAAATGCTGAATATGTCGATTTTCCACAAAATTAAATACCAAAGGGGATATGGCCAGTCGATTTATTTTTTTCTTTCCTGCTCCTTCTCTCCATCGATTCACTTGTACACTGAGCACGAGAACGAAAGAGAACGATTTCGGCACATTGGGCATCTGGCGCACGAGCCTGAAAACCAGAGCCCATGTTTTCAATATGAATTTACTTGCTGGCAGTGTGAAAAATCGGATTCTTGCTCAAAATTTCGTATATATATCAAGGAGTATATCGAGCGCAGCTGCTATATCATTGCACACAAACTTATTGTGTGAGATTTTGATTCCAAACTAAGAACTTTTCACTTAATTAGCTAGTTTCCATTTTATAAACTAACCACGGTTCATAGCTTTAACTCAACAACAATCAGACCCAATTACATTGCGGAAAAACTTAAAGGCAACTCGGAAGCAAAGAGGTAGAAATAAAATGAATTTTCTTTGGAAGAATAATAAGTGAAAATCAAAATAAATCGTAGTCAACACCACCACCGATTAGATACTCTCAATGTTTTGAATTTACTAGCACCATTACTTTTTTTTGTCGTGATTTACACCTTTTTTTCCTCTACATACGTAGCAGTCCAGCCACACAATGGAATGTGAAATGGAGAATAATCGAAACTGAAAAAAATGCGCGTAATTGATGGTCAAACAATTGATTGAGACAGCTTGAGCTCGATAGAGAAAAATAAAACACGTGTAATGATTTCGCGGTGCGTTGTTGTTTCCGCAAGCTTTGTCTATGCGAAATTCATTTGATTGACTGACTAATTTTGTTGCGCTGATGATGAACCCGAGCCGATAACAGCCGATCCGTTGGTTGAATGTGTTTTTGTTTTCTCACTGTCGTTTCGTTTGACTCAAGTCGTTTTTTTTCCGTCGTGTTAGTTTCATGATGCAGTGTGTATACGGGGTACGCACATTGACCAACCAAGTATTAAATTTGATGTTTTGTCTGATTTTTCTAACCATAGGATTATAACCGTTGTATGTGTCTGTATGTATGTAATTGTGTGAGAGTGTGATGTGTGTTCTTGAGTTTGGTTCTCCCTCAACTCTTGCTCCGTTTGCTTTTGTTGCCTTCATATCATTTTACCGCGTGGTGTTTTTGCTCTCTCCTATTCGTGGCATATGCGCAAGCTGGCATTATTCTGCTCCTTCATGATTCTCGACATATTCCACGATTTATGTAGCACGATTATTCGTTTATTATCTTTGTTGAAGGACCATTGGTTGGCCGCTACCGTCATTGCTGTGTTCGACGTCGTCGTTGTTGGCGCTTTTGCACAAACATCCCATTGTTTGCAACTTTTAAATGGTTATTTTTTATCGCCAGCGTCAGTCGCGGCAATTCACACTCACCGTGCGCATTTCGAATCCTATTCGCACCTGATTTCTCTTTCACCCTCGCTATCAAATCTCACTCTCTCTCTCTCTCTCTCTCACACACACACACACACACACACATTTTCTTTCGAACACTTTCTTTCACAACCATTCCCAATTTCGTGTTGTTTCCAGTTTACACGTGCAACTTTGTACGCGCAAAAAAACCAACTGAATATATCTCGAAGACTTCGGATATTGCCCTTTATAACACACAATGTGCACCTAACCCTCCAGCGAATTGCTACCTTATGCTAACTAGTTTCGACGAACTAGTGAATCAAAAAAAACGCTCACAAACCCTCGTTTCTATAAAACTGACCAACCAAGCGACCGAACGGAGTACTTTCATACGAATTGGAAATCATAACAGTAACATTTAGCTTATGTAAGTATCTGTCGATGACGGTGGCCGCGATCGCATCTATCTACAGTAACTTAATTCAATTTATTGCTTGTGTTTGCGAATTTTCATTTTCATGATAGAGAATGCGAATGCATTTCCAATGCGACAACATAATATCGTATATTTTATAGCGAATGGTCTGTTTGTTTCACCCAGAGGATATGTGAGACGGGTTTTCTCTCTTCATTTTGCTCTTATTTTTTGTGTGTGTTTTTTCTTAGTTTTTCTTGTCTATTTTTGCTTTTAATTTATTTGTTTTTTCAGTTCAGTAAAACCATAATTGAATTTCACCCTCAACCACAATAATGGACTGCACAACTTGCACTTACTTGGATTTCGATGATAAACTCGGATCGGATATCTTTCGGCGATTGTTTCGATGGTTTCGTTTGTGGGATAGTCGCTCTTTATACGATTCAGAGCGATTCACTGATACGGGCGCTGATTTCGATTTTGTGCTATAAAAGTGAAATGGACGAAAAACAATTTAAATCACAGCACAGTTTAATGACACGAGTACGTATTCTTTCGATAGATTTCACACCGAAAACACGGTGTAATCGGAAGAACAAATACCAAAAAAAAGAAAACAAGAAAAATGGGAAGAAAAATGCAGCAATCAAACTACCTGTCGCGATTATCGTGGTCAGCGTCTGTGTGGATGCCGCTTGTATCGTTATCAATGGAATGCGATGTATTCAATTCATTTGTGGTGGGATGATGGCTACTTTGTGTGGTCGAATTTAGCGAATTATTCGCATCTGATCGACGATCAGATGGCTGACGCACCACTGATGCCTGTGAAGGACGATCTGCAGAAAGAGAAAAAACCACCGGATTAATTTTTATTTGCATTTAAAAGAGAAACACCTGTTGAGAGAAGAAAAAAAAATTAATTCTAATTTTTCGGGGACAACTCATTCGAAATGCATTTGCGAAATTGGATAAAAATGTTAATCGGATAGGAACCTTTTTTCTTATTTTTAGTTTTTGTCTTTTTAGCGGTGGTTGTACTTGAAATGTTGTATCCTTTATCAGGTATGTTTAATGAGTGCCGCATTTGAAAGTCAACTTGATCTTCGGAACACGATTGAAAATCATCATCATCACTCAGTAATTTATCCGATTGAAATGATGGTGAGGTTTGTAAATCATCGTTTTTACTCTCAACAACAACACCATCTACATCTTCTTCATCTTTTTTATCCGCATCTGGATTGGATTTGCGTCGTATTTTGCCCGTGTCACCAAGCGATTTCCGACGCAATCGATCGAAATCATCGGATGTGAGCTTTTTCGTTGATCCACTAATGAACGATTTGTAGCGCAGCAATGCATTCAAATTTAATGTGGTATTTCGCCGTGTTGTTTTCACTTTGGCCGGTGTTGTGACCGGTTCGAGAATCGGTGTTGATGACACTTTTCGTTGCATACTTAACGCAGGATTTAATAAATTTTTACTCGAATTTTGCTTTTCAATCTTAATTTCGGGCACCACTTTGTTTCGCGATGAACTTTTTGTGACACGATTTTTCTTGTACTTTTGATCAACGCGTAGCATTTTATTTTTATCCTTTGCACTGTCATCGTCATCGCTGCACAGCAATGATAATCGACGGCCCGATTGAGATCGTAGTACATAACCACTGCCATCAGCAGCCGCAGCGGCGATATCACGGATGCGATTCGATGTGGCTGTTATTGGCTTCGTTATGCTAACATTCAATTCATTGGTATCTTGATTACTGTTGATGGCTGCCTCATTTTTCGATACTGATTTCTTCGATCGAATGCGGTTTCGTATACTTGCCACTCGAGATCGATCCGTCGTCTCATGATTTGGCTGGCTGCGTGGACGAAACCACATCTTTTCACTTATATGTAGATATTTCTTGGTGTTTCACTCAATTTTTTTCAATTAACATCATCATTCAAATTTGGGTCACCGGAAATCACTTGTCCATCAAATTATTTATGTACACATCGGTTTTGTGTTCACTTTATTCTTCTAATTTTTTTTTCTCTCTTTTGTCTTATTTCGTCTATTCAGTGTCAATGAGAATTTTGTTTTCACATTCAAATCAGCAGAAGCAACAACAGCAAAGAAAACTACAAATTGGATCGAATCGAAATGAAAATGTGCATGGAAATGGATGTGCTAATTTATTTCTCGGCGAAATTATTGCCGCAATGTGGATTATTTTAATTTTGAAACACCGTTTAAATATTGGCTTTGGGCTTGGTGTATGTCTGTGTTCGTGTGTGCTGCAAAAAAACATCCACGTTGAATTTGAAAATTTTTTATGCATAAATTTGCAACACAGACGAAGAAGAAAAAAGAAACACACACACACACAAAATATGGTCTGAGCTATGGTCTGAGTGTGAGAGAAGAATTTTTCGAAATCATCGATGAGAACAAGTTTTTTTCTCTTCTTTTGCCCGAAACGTAATACATTTTATTCGTCGTTTGAAATCAGCCAATGAACGAAATGTTCAGTACAGAAAAAAAGAACATTCGAAATACCGTCCTTGGATCTGAAACGTTCTCAAACGAACAAATATCAATAAAAAACATGTGTTTAAAGAGAGAGAAAAAAACAACTGAGCTAGGCTAATTTCAATAACGCAGCCGCAACTTTATGTCGCAAACGCCATACAGCGCCGCGTTCATTGCACACACACACACACACACACACACACACCCATCCAACACACTTGAAATAAACTAAAGAGTTCACGTGAGGGCACGCCATTTTTTTTTCTCTCGTTTCACTGAAGTGTCGACCTTTGTTTTTCCAAAATAAAGTGAAGGAAATTTGCGTACAAACTATGTCTACACTTATCTGAATTCAACAACAACAACATTCGCTCGACACCAACAACATTAACATCAGCCGCTTGACTACGAAACCAAAGAACAAATCAACTCCGAAAATATATCTCAACAATTTGCCTTGCGGATGATTCATTTGAGCGAATTTATCGATATGCACCGAATCAACGCAAAAATTGATATGGTCCGAATCAGAAAATAAAGTATGGCTCATAGCATCACATCGTGTGTGTGCGTATGCGTTGTGTGTTTGTTATCGTATTTTTTGTTTATCTTGTGCCATATAATAATTAGACCTAGCTAATGCTGTGCATTGTTTCAATAACAATAAATAAATGACTAGACCATTACCAGCTGATCTTTTGTTAGAAGATGACGTCAATCAAAAACCATTGGTCAATTGGACAGCACAACCGATCAAAGCCCATAATATTGTGCAATAAATATTTGTTGATTTGGAATTTCAACCATTTATAGAGTTCGAATTAAAATAGCTAATCGACGAGAATAGCGATCGAAAGCCCTTTGAGGGTTGATTGCAATATCTGTTCAAGTGAGACCAATAAATCGCTGTTGATATCCCATTGTTACGTCAAATGAATTTCACTTGTTGAAAGTATTCGCGACAACTCTCAATTGAAGCTTATAAATTAATCCTTTCGTTTAAGCGGCAAACAGCTTCGATTGAAGTAATTTTTCGAAAAAGTTCATGTTTCGAATAAAAAAAATTCACTTCAAGACGAAAAGTTAATGAATTCGTTGCCCTCAATACGAATTTTTTTGCTCTTTTTCCTCAACGAAAACGCAACTTTTTTTAGGCAACTAAGAGTGTCATACTATCGGTCACGATACCGCCGACGCTTCTTCTCGCTCTCGATCCATCAAAAACAACAACAAACAAAGAATAGAACAATGATGTGTTTTTGAATATGGATTAAGGCATTTGAAACCAGTGAAATTGGCAGTTGTTTGAGAACAGACGAAAACAAACACGTTCCATTTAGCAGCCGTGTTTAAAATTCAACGCAATATTTTCGCCCGATATCTCAGATCATTTATTTGCATTCACACTCGTCAATGAATTTGAGTGTTTTCGCGAGAGCCAACACACACACACAAGTGGGTGATTTTATGTGTATGATATGAGAGGGCTCGAGTATGGACAGAAAACCACTTCCTTCAAATATTGAGAAAAAAGAGAGATAAAATTTGGTCGTTCGGTCGGTCGGTCGGTGACAAAATGTCTGCATGATGTAAATGTACAAAACGTTGATTGGTTATCGAACGTTCACACAAAACCATGTTATTTTTGAAGTCAACAGATTGTTGTCGATGATCGATTACGCAAATCGACGTCATGCAATGCGATAGAGATTGAGACAAAATAGCAACGGTGATCAATAATGAGCAAACAAAATATGGCAAATGATCGTTGAGAGAAAACAGAAATTCTTTTTGGGTAAATTAGATCAGTTATTGTTGGCATGTTAATTCTATCTCTTGTATGTAGCTACTTTTTCCCATGCGTTCATATTTAAAATTGCAGTTCGCTGCTCTTTTCACTCGATATCGATGAAAGTCACACACATATCTTTTGCAATCGAGCAGAGTGTGTCCGAAAAAGTGCCGTTGAAGCAATATTCTGAGCTAACGCACAACTAAATTACTATTATTACAATTACATTTCGACGATGTTGTGGGAATAAATGTATAGGTTTATATAGACGACAGTTTTGAGTAGGTGTGTATTTGCAAATTTATTTGTATGTGTGTTTTATTTTGTCATGATTGGAAATACATTTTATTTCTTCACATAAAAGCGCACAACTCTCTAAGCGCTTTGATCTGTTGCTATGCTTATGTGCAATCAAATTTAATGTACTGGTCAACCATTTTTCTCGAAATTTGACAATGTTCTTTCTCTCCCTCCTCCCCTCTCGTTTATTTTTTGATAATTAATCATCTTTAGATAAATAGGACGAGAAATTGAGCGAAAGATTGTGAGTTTTGAACGCAAGCGAGAGGAAAACACATGGTTTTGATGTGACTCAGTAGTCAATACCAATGGCATGAGACATGCATCTTGAAATAGTTGAATGAAAAAAAATTATTATTTATACAATGGCTTTTTCTCACACGCTGGGCGGTTCGAAAAAGAACAGCGCGCAACACAGCCAAAACAAAAATCCCAACCGAAAAATCTGTTTAGATATTTTTTCAACGGTCAACGTCACAGCTAAATAAACATGAAACATCTTCAGATCACAACGGTTTGTGTGCACTTTTCGTTTGCAACAATGTGTGAAATAATAAGCACATCCACTTCGTATACACTAACTTAACTGGAAAATTCAGCCATTTCAATGAACAAAACACAAAAACAGCAACAGCATGAAATGATCGCCGAATTTTCCACCAATGTTCATCAGCACAAACATTTGCATATCTTTTGAAATGAAAACTTGATGCATTTTTTAGCATTTACCCTCGTCGAATTCGGTTTTATTTGCTATTCAGCTATTTTTCTTTTTCTGTTGGTATCTTGTGTTCAAAGTTTTCGTTTTGTTTTCATAAATAAATAATAAACTGCATAAAGCGTCTGATCGTACGAACATAGCATTTATTCACAGTGTGTTTGTAGGTGTGTGTGTGTGATTCTTTTTTCGTCTTTCTTGACACAAAATACATTTCACATTTACGTAATTGATTTATCCTTATTGATTCATCACAATCGCTTTTTTCGCGTAGTCACTGCCTGTGTTCATTTTGTTGCCTTTGACGCGCTTTTCGCTGATTATTTGTGATGTATATATTGGATTTGTTGTGTTTCGTCGTTAAAAATAGCAATAATTATGGGAAGAAAAAGGAAGTCACACCAAGCCGAAATGGCTGAAATTCTTTTTAGCTTTTTTGTGTATTTTCTTTCGGCTTTGCCGTTTCTGTGTTTGCACGGTTCATCTCTTGCTTTTTCATTCTTCATCCGAGGAGAACACTGTCACTGTTTTTTTTTTCATTTGTGTGGTGGTTTTTTTTCTTCATTCTTTTACTTTCGTTCGCCTGTAGTTCCTTGTTGTATGTTTCGTGTGTTGACTTTGTTTCTTCTCTTTTCGCTAGTTGTGATCGAATGTGTTTCGCGCGCACACACAAAACCGTCACTATCGCACTAGATACGAGATGAAGCGGACTGAGTGTGGTTGTTGTCGCAGTTAATTGTATGCGCCACAGTTTGGCAGTGCGCTCTTCTTCTCTCTCACTCTGTCTCGCTCTCTCGAAAAATAAAATCAATGACATTCCACACATCGAGAGACATACTCTCATGTATATGTAGATCGTTGCGTAAATTGAAGGCCAATTTTGTACTTAAAACTCTTTGGCATGACAGTCAACAAGACACTAAACTGTTTGGCGATCAAGAATACGACGAACCGAAAATTTAAGTGACAAATGAAATGAAAATGAGAGAATAACAGCAACAAGAAGAAGAAAAAAAAGAAGAAGAAGGGAATAAACGAGACAAAGACGGCCGGTCGAGATTGCACAGAAATGAGAACGAGACACACGAATAGCTCGCGAGAGCGAATAGCTGAGAGTGTGAAGAAGAAAAAAAACATACCAACAAAATTGAAATAAAAATGTGCAAATGAGGCAACAAGCGGGCGGGCTAGCGAACGAACGTGGGGAAAGAACGAGATATAAAGCACACAAATCTGTATGTATGTATACGAACATCAGCATAGTGTACAATACCGAATAAAAAAGGAAAGACGAAATAAAAAAAACATACATTCATCTCACACACAATACACGAGATATGTGTTGATAACAACAACAACAACAACAACAATAATAATAACAACAATCACAAAATGATCACATTAACAAGCAACTTGCGACAAAGATCCGAATGAATGGCCGAAGTTACGAGCAGCAGTCAAATGAGCAGAGCAGAACAGTGAATAAGAGCGCGTAAGAGCATGCTGTTCGCACTTATCGATCATACAAACGAACAAATGAAAGAGTAAGCGACAGTGATCAAAGCCAAAAAAAAAAACGAGAGAACCGATCACTCGTCATGTATCAAGCGAGCGCATGTTGCTGACGAACAACACGACGGTGACGACGACGACGACCACGAGAGAGAGAAAAAACATTGACAACTACTAAACTAAATAAACATGTTCGCATCGCCTCACCAAAACTAAAACATCCATAATAAATCAAACAAAATGTTTTCGCGTGAAAATCGCGTGAATCGCTTCTATTTCGACAGAGAATCTATTGGATCATGTATTGAAATGGTGAAAATGTATCGAGTGTGCGATTCTAGATATTTGCAAATGAAATGTGTCGCTGTATCTTGTGTCTTGGACGCCTAATATTTGTCTTAAATCACCATTGTCGCCGCCGATGCCACAGCCGTTGTCGTCATCGTCGTCACAAAGCCCCTTGTGAGCGCCAATACATTCTCTAGCTCTCTCTCTCTCTCTCTCTCTCTCTCTCTCTCAATCTTTCAATGAACGATGCACACAATTCGCATCTGACTAACGTCCAACACGTTGTTTTGATGTTTTTAATAGAAAAAAGTACACACACACAAACACCGTCGAAGCCGAAGTCGAATCAAAATAAAACTCAAAACAACTGACTAAAAACAGCCAACTGAACTCAAATACATTAATTGCACATCTTATTTTTTGTTGCTCTTGTCGCACACTGTTCTTGTGTCGACGCGATTTATATTTCAATTACACGAAAAAGATACATAAAATAACAAATCCAAACTGAACATTTAAAAACAAAATGGTGTGCTATTTTTGAGAGAAATGTTCAGATTATTTTATCCTATGACGCGAGACACGATAAAAACAAATGATGAAAATGAACGGGAAACTTTCAATGGCTATATTCAATTTGGAATGCTTTTTTTCTCTCTTTTTTTCTTACTTTACAGACAAATGTCACACACGCACAAATTTTAATGATAAACGCTATGTAATGTTCAAAAGGCAATTAATTGTTGACACGCAATCGAACCGAAACATCTTAATAATCGAAGCGAAGAAAAAAATATTGCCAATTTGAATAAAATATTCGATAGGAATGCTCGTGTGTGCGCGCGTCAGCTCACACTTGAGCAAGCAATCACGGAACGCGCATGCGGAACATCTTTTTCGAACTGCTTTTTTATTGTTGTTATTCTTCTTTGTCTCTGTTCCAGCCAGATGTGTGACAAAACTGGGCACATAAAATGTAATTTGGTGGTGTTGTTTTTTTATTGTGTTCGTCATAATGCCTGATAACGTGCGATAATTGATAAAAGCCACCGCGGTATTAAAATGTTTGCGCTTATGATAAGACTGATGCGATCAAAGGAGAAATATTTGCAATCGATTGTAGTAGATTGTTATCTCAATCGACAAGAATTACGTCACATCGGCCAAAAAATCCAAAGATTTCACTGAATTTATGGAAATGAATAATTCGATCGATTTCGTATTCAAACCACGCCACTATCCGCAGTATTCGGTAATTCGCCAATCACGTGTGTTGGACAATGAATTTTTTAGGAATTTCAAACACCGTTCCAATTCCAAGTGTCACCAAGCCGAAACGGATACACATTCTCACTAATGGATTTGGTTTTATGGAAAGCGATCGCGCGCGCTCTTATTCAAATAATACACTCTCTCTCTCGCTCTCTCGTCGCTCCTCGCACAAGCACACATTGCCGACAAATTTCTATGCTAAACCAAAATGAGATTAGATATCAACAACTATGGCTTGACAATCGCTGTCGATATTTCAATTGTTTTAAAATAATGAAGAAAAAAACACAACTGATATACATATTTTGCGCTCTTGTTCGAAACATTACAGTTTCCATTTCATGTAATTTCATCTTGCGGTTGATTTTGTTGCTGTTCTCCCATGTCATATATATGTATACATATATATTGAAATGGTATGACATTCCCTGTACAACACATGCCATTGAAATGCAAACCACCAGCAAATGTGACTATAATAGTTTCGTTGAAAGTTACTTAGATTCAACTCATTATTTTTTTTTTCTACTCTTTCTTTTGTTGCTGTTTTCAATTCGTTTCAATCTCAAAATTAAAACGATTTCATATTTCTGCGATCGTTTCTAAACACATCACTCCATTTTACGTGGAAACTGTTTTGTGACACATCATGCGGCAACTACAAATGCAGCTTCAATGAATAAATAAACAAATCCTTTCAGTACTGAAACACTGATGAAAACAACTTTGTCACCCTTTCAACGACCTTTACAGCACTACAAAAGTAGAAGAAAACATGTTCGTCCAAAAGTTCTATGTTGACTGGATGTCGGACTACACAAATGGATACGCAATCATAAGTTATACGTAATGAAAGATATGAAGTACTTACACGAAAATGACGTAATCATTGAATTCTGAAACGATTTTCTAAGAAATGTTTATGATGCTAGTTCAACTTGATGAAAAGAGAAGGAAGATTATTAGGGGCCAACTTGTCATCGCGAGTCAGACAATATGCACATAATTCCGATGTAGACTCGTAAAAATTTATAGAAATTCTCAAACTATTCGCTACGAGTCGTGGCACCGATTTTTTTTTTGCAGATCTACAAGTCAGTTGTGAGTAACTGACACGTCAAAATTATATCAATTCCATTTTCAATAGATTGTTTCTATGTGATTTGCAGATCCACTAAAAAGATTCGTGAAAAGCTCGAGAGTACTCATATAGATTCGAGCAAGATTGGTGCGGTTGGCTGTAATACTAACACGCTTGCGATAACTCGCATGACACATAAGCACATACCTTTAGTGCAAAAGCATTTATTGCTCTCCCTAACGCAAACGCCATCTATTCGGTGTGAACATGAAAACAAACAAAGTGACTCCAGCTGCCAACCGATATATGAATCGGTGGAAATGAAGGCAGTGTATAAAAAATATGCCGAACAAAACGAACCACAGCGTTTCGTCTATATAGAGATGTTGTTGTATTATAACTCTGTATGGATCAATTTGTTTGTTTTCATGTTCAAATTGAACAGATGGCGCTCACGTTAGGTGAGGCAATAAATGTTTTTGCACTAACCGTATGCATAAGCATATAGAGTTTATACCTTATCGCACCAACCAAATATTTTTCCTTTGAAAAGCTTTTTTTTGATATTTTATCAACCGAAGAAGGAATTTTAAAGTAGAAAGTTCGTAAAAACTGAGTCACTAATAAAGTTTGTTTTTAATCGATCGGGTCCAATGTTTATACTTGCATTTTCAACAACAAAATTATGATCAAAAAACACTGTGCCGGTATCAACGATTCCAATTAATTATTAGTTAATCACACACTTTAGCGATTGTTTCACTTTGCTTAAAATCTGATTCCAAGAAAATACTGGACGAAAAATTCTGAGAAAAAATCGTCTAAAACAGGTGAAATTTCACGCGGTTATATGCGAAAATGTTAGTTGCGAAATGCATGTGATTTTACCTCCTGAACTCCAGATGGGCAACTTTAATAAACGTTTGATGCTCGGGTTGCGGCGAACCGTTTGTTGTATGGTGACTGATGGCGGCGGCATTGCAGCGGTTGCGGCCAATTCATTCGAATGATCCATGACAAAGCCACCCCGTTTCACACACTGAACGACACACACTAGTGTGCCACAGCACAAATGTTTATGTTTGTAAAAATGAGGAAAATCCTCGTTTCAAAATCACACGAAAAAAAAGCAACAAAATACTCTTTGGTTCGGCGATTTCACGTCATTTCATCGTTCTTGTTCTTTTTACTCATAAAATACACTGGATGTTTTAATATTTCTGTTTTGAAAAATAAAAACCGTAAAATTTGTTTTGTTTATCCCGAATTATTCGACCACCACTAGATCAGCAATAACAACATCCACAAAAAAAATAGTTTTGCGTATGTTTGGAAATTGTTTCTCATTTTTTTTTGTCCATCTGTTCATCAATTTCCTCAGTTCTCACGCAACATACATTATCGTTCGGTTGTCGCACAAAAATTGATTTCAATTACGATTGAGAATTGGTTGTACGCGATCAACAGTAAGCGCGAGAGAAAAAATGCTGTTGCGAATTCATAAGTTTTCCAGCGCACTCACACACACACACCATACTGCAGCAACAATAACAACAACAAAAACAGAAGGAATAGGAAAAAAATTTGCTAAGAAATGAGAGAAGAAGCCAACAGCTATCATCGTTGTTGTCGTAGAGTCAAACACGACGACGACGTTGTACGTCGTCAATGACAGAGAATTTAATTCATTAATTCGCCTGTAAGCGATTCGCTGAAATTGACGAATAGTAATTAAAAATACTGTATTCGAGATTGAGGTTCGAAGTAGCTAATGCATTTAGGTTGTTTTGCTTATTCGAAAAGCACTAGCTATTGGAAAGGTCATATGAGCGGCGGCACCATACCATGGCACGGCACAGGCAAAAACACACACACACGAACGCATACATACACATATTGCACACTCTCTGCGTTCGCACTCACATTCAGAAATTGAGCTGCTTGTTGGATGGTTGTCATCTCCAACACCGCCACCGCCGCCATGCGATCATATGCCATGGAATTGAAATGCAAAATTCACATGAAACGTGCGAGCAAATGAGATAGCAATGGGCAAAAAGCGAATGTGTATATTTATGGCAGACGAAATAAAATGAAGGCAGTGAATTAGTTTTCAGGCAAAGCAGTTACCGGCCATGCGAGAGAGAGAGAGAGAGAGTCAAGCCCCGTGTGCAGAAGAGATGGAAAGCAACGTCGAAAAAGATTGACTCAATTGCAAAGAAGTGTTTTTCGTTTTACATTTCTTCGGTGCTTTTTTCTTGTTGCTCGATGTCTAAATGTGATTTTGCACGTGAACGTCGTTAAAAACGGAAACGAAATCTTTTTCGAATGGAAAGAATGCTGTGGTAGTGATGCTTCTGCTACTTTCCGATGAACACACACGGCCACTTGGAAATTGGCTAATTGAATTCCACTTCAAGACGACTTAATGCTCGAGATAAACGGGCAACCCAGAGCAACAGGCCACCACCAACCAATAAAGAATGAAGAGAGATGAGAGAAAAGAAAACACCTCACACACTCACTCTCTCCATCAATTCATGAAATGTTGCTTCGATTTTACTAGCGTGGCGCCACATTTTATATTGTTTGCATCATCATGCTAGGAGCACGCGATCGATTGAGTGTGAAACCAAATTGGTGAAAACCATTTTCCTTCCGTCGTATATAAATATTCTGAGAGCGTTTTGCTGCCGTTTTTTTTTTTCGTGATCGAAGTCCGAGTGCAAAATTAAATCAAATGGCAGTTCAGATCAATCGGCCAGAAAAAGAAAGAAAAAAACAATCTATGGTCAACGGAGACAGCCAATGAAATCACCGAAATTGGCCCAGCCATTTAGCAGGCGGACGGGTGGCCTGGCTGAGAGTAACATATCAATTGCAAGGCAACTGTTTGCTCACGCTCAATTGATTCAAGTGCGTGTAATACGTAATGTGATATATCTTTTTCTGTGAGCAATTCAAACGTGTGATTGTTCTTTGAAATTAATTATTCTGTAAGTCACATGCACAATTAAGCGAAAACGGATCGAACGACGAAAATGAAAAGACACACACACGAATGCGCGCACGCGCACGCACAAACTCACAAACGAAATGTGATTCCGTTGAATGCTGAATGAAATATACTCATTAATATTTAACGAATGTTGGTCGCCTCAAACAGAAAAAAAACATTAAAATTGCATACAGTAAAATTAAAAAAAGACGACTAAATGGTTAGTAGCAGTAGCAGCAAGTCAGTACTGTTTTTTTTTCTCGTAGTAATAGGCACACGTTAATTTGGCGCGCCAAACACAAAAAAAAATAATTGTGTATATGTGACAGAGTTATGAAAATTTAACATTGCGTAGACAATTTATGATAGCCATGCGCAAATATTGCCGAAGCATTTCTCAGCACATCAAAATTCAGAAAACAGACACACCGAGAGATTCAACACTCAAGCTCACGGTCAAATTCCGTGTATGTTTCAACTAATAAAACAAAAATATGAATCGAATCGTCTATGACTATGAACGAAAACAAAAATGAAATAAAATAATTTCAACGTTTTTAAGGGCAAATGATCATGAAAAAAAAGAATAGAAGAAACAGCAAACGGAGGAGTAACGTATACTGTCACATTAAATCAGTTTGCTCGATTAGTTGGCATATTTACTTGTCTGTCGGTTCTGGTGAAATGGTTGTTGTTTTATTTTTCACTCTTGCTCATTGAAAAGGACAATCGAAAATGGAAGACATATGTGTACACTGTACAGTACAGTGAACGAAAAATAAGAAACGAATCGAAAAACCCACGGAAAATGAGCATTGGGACGGTGTTGCAAAGTGAAATGTGAATTCATTGGGCACACCAGTTGTGCCCATGTTAAATTTAACATTTTCGTGTGATTTGCGATTTGATTTCGGCTCGAGCACGTCAACTGAATGAATGTCGTTTGCATTGCCGCATTCGGATGACAGCGTCGATTCGTATTATGGTGATGTTTTTTTTTCGTCTTCTCTCTCACTTTGGTATACGTGTTAAACCCATATACCACATATCATGTTACCAAGTTCAGCCACTTTTTTTTCTGCTTCTCTCTTGGTCGCAATGACAAAGAAACAACAAGCATTTTACAAGTGTCGCATCGCTAACAATGGGGTGGCGAGAGAGACAGAGCAAGAAATAGAGAGAGAGAGAGAGAGAGAGAGAGAGAAATGCTGAACATTTTGCGCAATCAGGCCTTACAATTATTATCACCATAACCAAGTGTGTGTGTGTGCGCGCTCGACCGTTCACGCTCCTCTCAATTAATTAGGTTGCTCAAGCGCCAAACGATCTCATACACACTTGCATTCAAATCGGATACATCTCCCGTATTATTTCACATAAATGAGAGTTCTATTCATTTAAATAGCATTTTTGCCTTTGTTCTTGTTTCACCAGAATGAAATCATAGAGTTTTCTATGATCGATGATCTAATTGAGATGAGCAAAAGAAGAGCGAAAAAAAAACACACACACACACAGTTAGAATTTAGAAAATGCTAACTTTAGCTGTGCGGCGCGTACCAGAAACATCGATTTCATTCTCAAATGGCTTGGGCAAACGAAAACGAACATCAACATCGGTTGGACTGTGAGAGAGAGAGAGAGAGAGAGATGCTTGAGATTTCAGACTTGAGATTTCGTTAAGTGTATGGTAGACAAAAAGTCGCGACACACTCTTATTGCCACAAATTGCAGGCGAACGCGATGTCGGACGATGAATGATTAAATGATTAGAACATTATTGAAGACAAGAGAAACCACACAAATGAGAAAATCACGCAAAAAAATTATTGATCTTGGAACTAATAAAGGCTAATTTTACGAAAATTGAAATCAATTTCAACATGAATCGAATGCTAATTGCTCAATAAATCCGATCGCAATTCAAAAATTTCCTAATGCACACACATGTGGTCATGAAATGAAGAACGAAAACACACACACACACTGAGTACTGTTTGAATTTTTCACAGCAACGCGGCACTTGATTAGCCGCATATTTTGTGTTGCTGTTTTAATTTTCTCTTCAATTTTTGCGCAAGCAGCGCACTTGCAAAATAACAAACGGACCAAAACATATTGCGTTTGAGTCTTGAATGTACAGGCATGCACACACACACACACACTCACTGTGTGTGTGAAACAGTTTGTTCTTGATAGTTGGAATTGATAGTATTTAACTGTTTGATTTGAGCTTATAATTAGCGCTACTTGTTGGCACTCCATAGATTGGCACTGACGGTGTATGTTTTTTTGTTGTTGTTGCTATTTGCATCAATTTGCTTTACGGAATGGACATGTAGATATATATTTAAATGGCTTTATTATTTTGTTCACATTTCGCCATGTAGAAAAATCGGTCAAATTGATAGTTGGGCATCGATCGGTGGGTCATACACAACACCAATAATTAAAACCAATTTTTTTGTTTCGTCGAGTTTCAAAAAAAAAAAACAGAGTACAAAACGAACGTACGAACAAGAGGAGAAAGCGGAGAAAAAAGTGAAATAAATCGTCATTTTGAAGGTGCACACACATTTACGGGCAATTGCACAAACACATGCCCACGTGCACGCAACGAAATACGCACATCTGTTATTTTTCGCATGAATAGGTTGCGAATTGCAACACACTCTGTCTTCCACTACCTATTGGCTATGGCCAATGTCAACAACTGTCAAATTAATGAACTGACAAATGCTGCTCTTGATTTTTGCACACGTTTCGGTCAATTTTGTGTGAGTGTGTGCCTTGTGTCACATTACGACGAACCGAACACACAACATTGCAATTCGTTCTTTTTCCCCTCTCTCTCTTTCTCTCGCTCTCTCTCTCTCTCTCTCTCTCTCTCTCTCTCTCTCTCGTATCAAATTTTCTTTCTTGATCCGGTTGTGAGTTGTTGAAGAAAAATAAATCAAATCCAATCTTTTTTTGAACTGCCTTGAAAATCTGAGCAGATTTTGAATTATCAACGCTGAAATAATTCTTGATTTGCACACGCTTGTACTTTGAAGAAACGCAGAAAAAATAATTTCGTTGTAACTGCCCAAAAAACATATGCGATCATTCATCGCCCAAAAATGTCCGGGACGATTAGATTAAATTGTTGTTTTTTCTCTGCGTTCTAGCTGTTAATTCGTCTAAAATTACGTTCTCTTTTGATTCATACAATATTTTATCACACAAAGAACAATTGCTTTATAAAATAATCAGAACAGTAGGCGAATTTTGCGCAATTGTTTCATAAAGGAATTTCAATGTCACACACTAAATGAATTTCACACACTAGAATTTCTAACTCACTTCCTTTTTCAAAACACACAAATTTTGTTCAACGTTGCTCGATTTTTTCTTTTTCGTTGTTGTTGTTACTGTTGTTGTTGGCTTTGAATAATTGAAACGTGTGTGAATCGATCACGGATTGAGAGGCAAACAAAAATGAAAACAATCAAAAACACAACACACTTCATACAGTCCCAAATTGATACAATGCGATGAGAGTAAGAGCGAGCGTAGCAAAACAGCACAGTCAAAAGTAAAACAACCGAAGCATCCAGCTTTTTCATATCTCGGGTTTGTGTATTGTGTGTCGCAGGCACGCGTTCACCGTGCACGACAAGCGAAAAAGGCACCAACAGCAACAACAACAAGAGCAACATTTCTTCATCTCTCAGTATCAATGTTTCTCGCTGTTGTCGCTCGAGTATATTTGCTCTTGTTCTCTCTGTAAATTGTGTGGAGAGTGAGAGCGACAGAGACAGACCGAAGGTAAGACAGAGATATCGAGTGAGAAGTGCCGTTGAAATGTTGGACAAAATGTAAAACAATGCGAGACAAGCAAAGAATGATGAAATGAAAACCACAAAACGCAGGGCCAATTCCATGTGTGCGTTATTAGTACTTTCTCTCTCGACAAGGGGAAGGAACCAAAAGGAAAGAAAAAAACTAAACGACACAAAAATAGATAGTAGATACACACGCAGCCGTTTTGAAGCGACTTGAAGTGCTCGCAAGAAAAATGTAGAAAATGTTTTAAAACGCAAACACACGACAGCAACAACAACAAACAGCCATAACAGCAGCAACAGCAACACCAACAATAACTGTCGACGAAAAATCAAGGTTCCCTTCTGTGCTCACACATACGAAATGTGTGGCAGAAGACGAAAAACACAAACTATAACATGATGTAGAAGCACCAATGGAAACTTCATGTACATCATGCACAAAAATTAAGTCCTCTTTCGCTCGTCTGTATACACAAATTTCCATTTGTTTGAAAAATCGCACCGTTTACAGGCAGCGTAAAGCAAACAGCCGAACATATGCACATCATTCGCCTGCTGCTTCGTGAAGAAGAAAATAGGTTTTGTTGTGTAATTTCGGAGTTTTTTTTTTTGGGGGGGGGGGGAGGAAGGCGAGAAGAAGAGAGTGGAAAGAAGTGGCGAGATGAAAATTGTTCAAATACTGTTCCGAAAAATCGGCACATATGGAATTTCAAATACCCGATTGACTTTTCAAAAACGTAAACGATCTTCCTCGCACATGCAAACGCACCACACACTTAGATACGTACACAGAAATTGTGTTTCACACTTATCGACGAAAACTCCAAACGTAGAAAAAAAAGCAACCAACCAAAACGGATGTATCTTTTTCGACAAAATGTTTTATATACGCGCGCACGGTTAAACGAAGCACTGATCAACATTTGACGCCTTATGTGCCAGCAGCTCTGGACTATGACTACAACTGAGAGAGTTTAGCATGAAAAACTAGTGTAGTACTTCAGTATCAGTTGGCGGCTGGTCGTTGTTGTTGTTGCTGCTGCTGCTGCTGTGGTTGTTATTATTTTATTTTCATACATTTTGCGCTCTGTTTCGAGGATACAGAAAAGTGTGTGAGTGTTTTTCGCTGAAATGAGTGCGACAAGCGTCTACATCTCTGTCGCTCTCTCGCGTGTTTGACTGTTATGACGATGATGACGACGATCGTTTTATGCGAGAAACATTTGCTGTTGTTGTTTCTTTTCTACCCTCTGCTTTGTTTCCATCTGTCATAACTGCCTGCCGAGCATATTTATTAGAAAAATAACATTCAAACCGGAAAATATTCAAAAGGCAAAAATGTGGTTCGCATTCATTTCATCTGGCGACCCCTTTTAACTCAATCGTCATAGAGCCGAAGACATACAATTCAATCTTTTGATCACAAAAACGCGAGAAAAACACATTTTGGTGACAACATTGAGAGCAACGTGCATTTGTGCGATTTTAACCAAATTCATTTTTGTTGTTATTTTTGCGGACTATTGATCCACGTTGATTATCTTCTCAACAGTCAATATCGCATACATCTAGTATGTAAATGACATAATATATTGAGTCAAACCTGCTCAAGCTAAAAACATCGATGAAGTAATGCATTTCGATTTCTTATATTCATTCTTTTTGCCTTTTTTTTTGTTCTACGCTTGAATCATCTGTGATGAATCCAGTTCTGTATTGAATGAGTTGTCCAATTTGGTTAACACATTTTCGGTGAATGTGTGATATTATAGAAATTGAAATGACGGAATTTTATGCACTCACCAACTTGCAGGAGATCATCTGCACCGCATTCATCCTCTTGCCGTCTCGTTCGTTCCGCTGAAACAAGAAATAAACAAGAAAAATTAGATCATTGTTTCTCGAATTGAATCAATCATACGGGATTACTCAGTCCACAGCAATCAATTTATATTTACATGATTTATTTTATTTTTTTTCAAACAATTCTCGGATTAATAAAACAAAATCAATCATGTGTGCAACCGAAACGAAACAAAATGATCTGCAAAACAAAAATAAAGGAAAATCTCTGGTCACCTGGATTGAAATAGTGTGCGGGTCGTATTTTTTCAATGAATTTACTCATTTTGTCATTTTTGGTTGGTACCGGCCCCGGGCAACTTTCCTCCAATACACGCGAGCATGCCCGATGAATATTCAATTCGCAGTTTGTACAGTGGTAGCCTTGTGGGCTAACGCCCCAAATGATATTTTGACAGTGATTACAATGTGCCACCTCATAATACTGTTTAAGGACTAAATGATGGCCGCGCACCATAATTTTTCGATTTTTTCCAATCAATCGACTTTTAAAGCTTTTTTCACGGCTAACAAAATGATGAACACGTTCAATCGGCCCGCCAGGTGTTGAACGTGTGATCAAAAAGACGCGATGCAATACGGTCGACAGTGCCGATGACAATGCCATTTTCTTGGGGCATTCATTGGACGATTCTTTATCGAGATCGTCGAGAAGTTGTTGCAACTTTGGCAATAGCGTTTCTTCGACGATTCGTTGCTCTTTCACTTTATCGCCTTTGGCTTCGAGTAGCTGCTGATCACTGGGGCCAAACATTGTACCCAAGCCAGCGGTTCGTTTCATTTGAAATTCAGCCAACTGTTGTACGATACACTCTTTGGCTCGGTGTCGACTTTTCCAGAAGATTTTCCGCAAAATTTCCCCTTTATCGTGCTCATTCTGTAGTACATCGTCTACTTCACGGGCCAGCGATTCGTCAACACCTTGCCACATTAGCGGCGCACGTGGAACTAAGAACGTTGAATGAATTTCATACGACCATTTTCGCATATCCTTGACGGTGCCCTCTTTGTACAAGCCCGTTATCAAATAGAATAACAATTGCGATGGATTCGAATTCGATAGGACAAAATTCAAAAACACCGCCAAATATGGTGTATTCTCCGGCTCAAGCAGTTGCTGTAGTGATTTGAACGGACCGTGATCATCTATTTTCAGAAAGAAAACGAGAGAGAGAGAAAGAGAGAGAGAAACAAATTAGTTTTCAACGAAATGGAAATGGGATTTAAAAAAGGATCTCATTGGCAATTTACCGCTAATCGAATCCTGATCATCCACCAATTCATCGTCTTCCATGGAAATGATTTGACGCTGCAGAATGTTCGCTTGTGCCGCGGATATGTTACTACAATTGGCACCGTACGATGCAGCCGACGATGTGGATGTATTGAAAATGCTATCATTTGCCATAAATTCATCGTGTTCACTCAAATTATGTGAATTCGGATTGTTTTGTACGGTGGCCGATTCATTTGAACATGATTGCGTTGTATTCGATGCTTGTTGAAAATAATTACGTTTCGGCACCATTGGATGCTTTGAATCGGATGCAGTTGATTTCGTTTTGATTTTATATGGCGGCGGAGGTGTACCTGGTGGCGTCGTTTCGTCATCTGTTTTGTTTTAGTTGCCGATTTTTTCCGTTTGGTTTTGATCAAAAGAACGAGACAGACACAGAGAGAATGATCAAAATTATTAGTTTGATGAATATTTGTGTGGTTGCACATAAATCAAATTGTTTTTTTTTTTGTTCGATTTGTTCAGCTTACCAAACGTGTCCGAATCACGGGAATGTAAATGCTGTTCTGGCGATGATACAACGCGACGATGCGGTGACGTGTTGTTCAGTTGATTAATTTGATGCGGAGTCAAGCCAAGAGCCTACAAAATCAATTTTTTAAATGGATTAGTTGAAAGTGGATCGCATTGCAAAATGCAACAAAACAATGACAAGAAGAAAATTGGTGGGAGAAATTTGTGTCGGGAGGCTTTTCTTCATCAAAGCTGAATCAAATTGACATTGGGAACTTTTTTGTTTTTATTTTCTAAAGAAAAAATAAGATGGAAGAAGAATCGACAACGACGACGACGACTCACAAAAGCATATTTTCGAATGAATAAAACAACAGAAGCAATGAAAACTAAAATGAAATAAAATGGAAGTACAATGATGAAATGGAGTTAGCACAACACCGACATAAGCAACGAACACAACCGGGCAAACAAACTTGATGAAAAATTGCAAAACCAAATATTTATTATTAATTATTATATTTGGTGAAACGAAAACAAAACAAAACAAGCAGGAGAACATTGAAGCAATGCTCAAATGAAATATACTCGAAAAATAAATAAATACAGGCACAAAAACCCTACGCACACGTAATACGTCAAGCAATAATCATAATTGATTGTATAGTTTTAAGTGCGGCTGTTGCTGCTGCAGCAGTTCACACCAAGTCTCAGATAGTGAGGCTTATTTGCGAAAAGCGCATATCACATGCATGCGAGTAATATGAGCACTTGTTGGAGCACGCCCGAGGCTGCACTCAAATGATATTTATTCACTCGTGCTCGCTTTCTCGCTGAACTCACTACCTTAAATTCGCTACACATAGTGTCTCTAAAGAGATTAAATCCAATTATACACCTTGGCATTTGCGGTTTGCGCCAATAAACGCCCTACTTTGTACGCATTTGCTTCATCAATGGAAGCATTCTCTTTTCCTGGCATTTTACTTCAGCATCTATTTTTCATGCAAGCGAAAGGAAAGAAAAAAAAAACGTTTCTGCATCCTCTAATTTCACATTCATTGCCTATTCAGAACATCACCATCAACATCATGAATACATTTCAATATGACGCTAAAACGAGCAGTAGCAAAACAATGACGACATCAGTTGTGACTTTCGTCGAAATTCAAAGTGATTGATTTGCTAGCGACGCTGGCTGGCGCGATCTTCTTTCTCGTGCATTCTGCCCACCACATTCTCGGATTATATGAATGATTTTTTTTTACATGGTGAGAAAGAAGATCGCTGCAGACGATGAGAAAGTGTGACAAAATTACATGCACTACAACCGAAGAAAAACAAGCACTACACACTCATTGAATCTAAAAAAAAATATTTAAAGTATTTTCGGTTTTTGTCGCAAACAACAAATATGATATGTGTCTAACAAGCTATTTTTACCCAAATACCAAATTCTAGGAATCATCCACAACGCATTCTGTGATTCATACGAATTACAGCTACTCTCGTCATGACTGATTTTTCATATTACAGTAACGAAAATTTTGACTTTTTTTTTTAAATCATCGAAAATCGTTTCATCGAGTAAAGGCCTTGCTCTCTTTCTCCCTCTTTCTTTGTTTTTCTCTCTCGCGGTGCGTGCTCGGAAAAACTGACCTCACGTGTGTGGCGTGCGGAAGTGAAAGAGAAAAGAAAAAGGCGAGACAAAAATGGAGACAGATGCCCCTTGTCAAACTGTTAATATGTTTTGGTTTTAGTGGTTATTTTTGTATTAATCATGGGCTTGTTAATCAATTAGCATGAATGTTTGTAAATTAGAGAAGTAACGCAATAAATCCTTTGCCAAAATGCGCCGATATTTTCATCTATTTTACAGCGCGCACTATTACGCTTTGATTTTCGAATACGATTCTGGTGAAGGGAAAAATTGAAAGGAAAAATCTTTTTTTTCTCTCAAAATCACACATTGACGATGTGCGCGACGACTAAAAGCGAAATTTCGCAATAAACTTATCTATGGGTGAGATTGAGAGTGGAGTATGTTTTTTCTTCGATTTATATTTTTGAAAAGGCGAGTATGTTTTCTGATGATTCTGTTGGCGTTAAAGTAGAGTATGTTGTAGTACCGTCTAGCCTCCGCGGTCTTCATGGTTTTCGCGCAACTGATAAAAGATAACAACATGGTATCTTCGGCAAAGTTGTAGTACTTGAGGTTTTCTATAACTAAGCTGAAGACAATTATCTCTTATCTCTTATCAGTTGCGCGCAAATCGCGCACATAAAAAAGCAAATTTTATATAGAACTTTTTTTTCTTATCATTTTCGCGCTTTTCGCGGAACTAATAAGAGATAAGAGATAACTGTCTTCAGTGATGTTATAGAAGACCTCGATTGCTACAACTTTGCCGAAGACGCCAAGTTGTTATCTCTTATCAGTTCCGCGGAAACGTGAAAAACCGCGAGGACCCGCTAAATCTTCCTACTTCGGTAAACGAACATACTCGCTTTTAACCATTTTTAAGTCGACAGAAACTTGCTCTTCTCTTTCGTAACAAAGTCAATCAAACATACACTACTCTCAATCTCACCCATAGTTATGGCCTTCACTGTTGCACTAATATTTTGTTTTGGTTTGTTTCAACAAATGTAGATATAAATCTCAAATAATCCCCATCGGAAGCATAAAATCTCATCGTCTCCCCATCATCGCATCCCATAAATTGCATGCAGAATAGTCAGAAAAAGAATAGATTGTGAAATGCGGTGATCAAATAACAAACAAACAAAAATAATTTTCAATAAAATCGTCCAAACCGAAATCCCCCCCGGCAATAAACAAACCCAAAATGACTTTTTAAAATAACACTATCGACTGGTCTGCGTAGTGAATGTAAAATTTTCCGGAAAAATTGTTTGGTTTGTTTATTGGCAATGGGTTCTTACATGTACGCGCGCGCTTTTCGATATTTGGTGCTCTCGTGTGCAAAAGAAACAAAAAAGTTATTGCTCGTGTTTTTTGCTTGTGGTGTGTTTGTGTGTGTATGTAGTATGAGGTGTGTTTGTATGGTTGTGCAAAAAGAGTCTGTGTGTAGGACGAATGATGTCCAATCGAAAATGGAGGCCACGAATATTGATTTGGGTATTCTTTTTTTCTCTCTATAAAGTTGTGTTGCTGTTTTTGGGTTTTTCGAATACTTTTTTTTTGGATTTGTATACCGAAGATCTCACATTACTTACGTGTTGGTGTGTATTTGTTTGTTGTAAACGTTGCCGGATGTTCGGGCGATTCGATAATGGGAATGGTGAAATGTTGTCACGAACAGCCGTTGCCGTTGCAATCAGTGGATAATTCATGCGAGTTTCAAGGCTATTTGACGGTGGCCGTGAATTTCCAACACCACCACCAGTGCCACCGCCGCTGCTGCCGCATTTATTGTTGTTGATTAGATTTTGATTTTCCTCGAGCATGCCGGGCTGTCGTGGCGGAAGTGGTGGCGGTTCATTTGCAATCGAATGTCCAGTGGCTGCGATCAAATCTTGTGTGTCATACTCTCGTTCCATTTGGATAAACAGCTGAGCACTAATCTTTGGATCGGAATTTGCTTTGATTTTGGCTTTATTACGTTTTTTCACTTTGTTTGCGGCCGATGTGGCGGCCGCTACTGAACTGCTGCTGGACAAATTCTTGTTGCATTTGTCATTGTTATTGGTTTTATTGTCGATATCAGCCGATGATGATTTGCCTTTTTTCTTAACACCCACTGCTGCAGCAGTAACCGAACTGCTTGTCAAATCAATCAGATTCTCGCCATCGACACCATCTGGAGCTGTGGCTGGCTGAGAACGACGCGGGAAATTCCGTAACGGCAATGGAGGTGGTTGATTCTTTGATCGATTTTTATCAACAAATCCCGGCCGCAACTCAACCGATTGTTCCGATGTGAATTTATTTTTCACCGATGACAACAGCGCATTATGCGATGAATGATGATGCAGTCCCGATGTTACCGGCGATTGTAAATGATCCGAATTGGCACTGGTGTTTGACGATATTAGACTTGAATTGGCCGCATCTTTTTCGATTGACTTTTTCTTACCGCCCAAACTGAGGGACGACAATGAACGCGGGAAACGTGATAGGAAGGCTGGTGTTAACGATGATTGTTGCGGATTTGATATTGGTGTCGTTGTGGCCAATAAAGCCGGCGACGAAATTGGATTGAAATGCAATAATGTTGGATCCTGAAAAACAGCGAATTCGATTTTTTGTTTGTTTGTTTGGTTTTGGTTTTGGTGTTTGTGTTTTTTTTTATCTAATCCGTCTACATAACAAAAAAATTTGTTCCACGCAAAGTCCATATCGTTTTTTTTTGTATATAAAATTTTGACCTTTCCCGTCCAGTATGTTCATTTAAAATGTGCGTTTGATTTTTGTGTTTTGATATATTTTCAATATGTTGCTTTACTTTGTAATAATATCTTCAATACTTGATGCATTTATTTATAGTACGTGGTTTACTACACTCTACCCATAAGAAAATTGCTATGGAATTTTTATATTTGGTAAATTCCAGAGAAAAAATCGCTAAATTCTACGAAATATACATAAGGAAATCTTTTTTTTTATCTTAATACAATAATCAATCCTTCAAATAGTCGTAGCATTCCAAAACAAGATAGTCATAAAAAAACACATATATTTCAATTGAAAAAAAGAAGAAGATTACACAAAGAAAACGAATCAGCCGAAGCTGGAGATAAAACAGTTCATGACATTAAAACATCGGCTAAGGATCACATCGAATTATATGAAATGCAATACAATTGAGAGAAGAAGAAGACAAAAAACCGAAAATAATTCAACTCTATCTATCGGATGTCTATTAAAATTTCATTGCAACTTGGTGTTTTTTTTTCTTTGGGTTTTCTCCTCTGTTTCAAATTCAATGATTACAATTAAAAGATCAAAACAAAACAAAAACGCTACCAAAATCGAAAAAAAAATCATCGGTTTGATTGACATCAACAGTACTAATCAGTAGAAACAGAAGAAGAAAAAAAAACTTTTACTATAGAATTTCATGAAAAATGTCGTTAATGTTATCTCCTTAATTGGTTCTCGTCCGAAAATATCCGCTGACTGATTTTCGGATCTTGTAAAAAAAATCATGGAAGTCATTGAATGTAACGGCGATTCTTGTTTGTGTGACATTTGAATGAAACTGTGCGAAATTGTATACAGGTGAACGACCCATTTTGTTGTAGTTGTTTGTTGTTACGGAATTATTGTGTGTACCTGATTAGCAATTAAATGATGAAAGTATCCCGACGAATCACAATGATCGAACAACAGAAAAAGCAATGTTAATGTGCGTGTGAATAAATGTATAAATAGTTTCGATATGAATGAGAGAAGAATTTGCGCACACACGCGGTAGTAATTTTTTTTTTCATTTGGATACAATGTGATTTCTTCTCGTGTTAGGTTTGGCGCGCGGGGTGCATTATCGATTTGTTTTGCATATCAAATCGTCAACAATTTAATGTTTGGTATTAAATGGTAAATTAATTGTAATTTAATGGTTTTAAAATGGAAAATTGCCGATTTGGGCTTTTTGTTCTCCGTTTTTTTTTCTGCACTGTTGCAGTTGTTGTTAATCGCGCACGCAATTTGTTGCTGTTGTTGTTTGGTGGGCACGTTAAGTGAATACATAAAATGAGTTTTAGTATGACAATTTTACGTGATTTGATTTCGCCAGTGTGACAAGAATAATACAACAACATACAACAATCAGTTTGAAGTATTCGAAAACTTTTTGTGTATGCGGTGTTTTCTGTTTTATGTGTTATGTGTATGCGTGTATGTGGACGATCACATTTTTTTTTGTCTCTTGCGTTGAACATTAGGAGGTTATACCATAAAGAAATTCGTTAAAATAAATAAAAAATGAAATAATCATTGAAATTGTTTGTCACGCGACAAACGGAAAACAAAGTGAAGGCATCGATTTCGATCACTCACCTCGCCGTGCATTTGACGTAATTGTTCCTGTAACCGTAATATATTCGTTTCGGCCTGTCCAATATCGTTGCGATTACCATTGTTGGATGTCTTGAGATTTTCCAAGTTTTTCTTCTCTTGGTCCAGCATGAGTCGTAGCGTTGTGATTCGCGTAAATTCTAATTCACGTCGTGTATTTGTCTATAAGGTGAGCAAACAACAAAAACAAATTGAATAGCAATGACCAAAAAGCAAATCGTTTACGTTAAATCCGGTTCACGTAATGATTGGGATTCCAATGAAGGTAAAACTGAAGAAAAAAAAATTCGGATAGAAGAGGTACTTACATCGACTGGCAATGGTGCTGTGATGGGGGAGCGCTGTGTTAAAGATGTCGGCGTGCCAACCGATATCGATGATGAGCGTTGCATCTTCGTCTGTACCCGGCTCACAGTCAGTATAACGGGTGACTTATCTAAATAGCAGAGAAAGAATCAAATGAAAATCCCCGTGAGAATCACAGATATTTTCGACATTTTTACGACGTTCAAATCACTCTAAAATCCCTTCAAATTCATTTCGATTACAATAGACGGATTTATTAAAAGCATATTCAGTGTAGTCTGTTTCATTGAAGATAATTTGCAACAAGATCCAATTATGACATGTCACTGTTGCGATTACAAATGGGTTTTTCCCAATTTATCGCTTGGTCGTGAGTTCAAAATTAGCATAGTTCGCTGTGTGTCTTTGGCACAGAGTGAACACAACGAAAATGAGAGAAAAAAAAATCCATTTCGCTTGGGTTTTAAACGAAAGATAATTGAGTCGCACGACAACATGTGGTTTTGTGCCGTGCGTTTGTTTGTCTATGTGACGAATGAATATGAACACGTTGAACTGCAGAGATGTGTGTGCTTCAGCCAATTCTCTGTATCTGTGTGCACGGATGGTGTTGCAAAAGAGAGAGGATCAATCATAAAAAATGGCTGTTCGATATGTATTCCAGAGGCCATTTGAAGGCAGAAAAGAAGGAAGAATAAAATGCGCGCAAAATCAACGTACTTTCCTAATGATGTGCTCTAGTTTTTTTTTTCTTTGTTCAAAACCATTTGACTTGCTGCTGATGGTAGTTCCAAAAACACTAATATCGATCGTGTGATTAGGCAATCAATAACGAAATAGAAAAAGCCCCAACGGTGACTTACTCGTTTTAATATTGTTTGCACAGTGTTAGAAGCAATATTAGCAGTGATATCACTTTATGCGTCGTCTCTTCTGCTCTTTGTTTGTGTTTTTTGCTCTCTCTCTCTCTCTCTCTCTCTCTCACTTTAACTCTCTATTCTTTCTGTGTGCTTCCGTGACGTGTGGTTTTTTTTCGTCGTGGGACCATTATCACAAATCGAATTGTTGTGGATCAGCATTGGCGTCCATTTGAAATCACAAGACATTAATCACATTCTAATCGGTATTATTATGAGCACAACTCACACATAAATACCGCAAAATAATCTAACGGACGATGACGGCGACAACGATGAACAAAAAAAAAAACCTGAATCCACACGAATGAATACTTGAATGAGAAAACACGACAAAGTCACATTGTTTGTGTATGCGATGAACTTCCCATTTTTTGTTCCCTATCACTAACTAGCTTCGTTGGGTCCCCCGTATAAAAATCGTACATGTGAATTTCAATCACATTTCAAACTGAATTCCAACCAGTCTAGTTCGATTCGTTTGCTATCCCAAATTTAATTCGCGCTATCAATTTCCACTTTAACGTTTCGTGTTTTGTTTTAATTTTTTTCTTCAATTAATTGACACTTTTGATAACAGTTCGAAGTTCATATTGAAATTGTTTTTTGTGTTCACACACACACACAGCAGCAGTCGCAGCAGCAGCAATAGTTCAAAATCGTCAAACGACAAACACACAATGCCCTATTTTGGCGTCCAGTGTTTAGTGATACTTTTAATCAGTGTTATCAGTTGTCAGTCGTATCGCTATGTTAATCCATATGTTTGCAGATACACTCCGACCACGGTGAGTGGTACCAAAGCGCCAACCGGACGTATATGCAAAGGCCAACTCCTTTTGGACGAGAGATTTGTCGACTTTGACCGCGATCTATGGAAACATGAAGTGACTTTAGGTGGCGGTGGCGTAAGTAACCACTCTAATCATATCAGTTTTAGTTTTGTTGTCGTTGTTTGTTATGGACGCATAAAGTCAAACGCACACTTTTGTTTTCGATAGAATTGGGAGTTTCAATGGTATGTGGACGATCCGAAAAATTCATTTGTAAAAGATGGGAAATTGGTGCTGCGTCCAACGCTTACATCAGTGGAAATTGGCGAAACCGCACTGGAAAGTGCCCTTGTCAAACTGAATCCGTGAGTTGATTGTTTGCTTGAACTGGTGTTATCAGATCGATTTACTGATAGTGGCTATTTATAAATTGTCCCTATTTTTTATAGTTGTACGAATAATCAGTGGTTTGGCTGTGAGCGTCAAGGAACTAAGACCAATATTATCAATCCCGTTCGAAGTGCACGTTTGAATACGGCCGGATCATTTTCATTCAAATACGGTCGAATTGAGGTGATTGCAAAACTTCCCATTGGCGATTGGCTTTGGCCTGCGGTAATTCCATTTCCAAAAACAATTTCTAAAACAATGCAAATCATAGAATTTTCAAGTAAGAAGAAGATTATTGTGTTTATAGGTGTGGTTACTTCCTACTGATCGAGTGTATGGAGATTGGCCACGATCGGGTGAAATTGATTTAATTGAAGCGCGTGGAAATCGCGAGTATCGAAACGGCGAAGGAAAACATATTGGTGTCGAGCATTTTGGATCGACATTGCATTTTGGACCACGTTGGGACCAGAACGCCTATTGGGCGGCCACATTCTCAACACGTTCACCACCCGGTCAAGGGTTCAACAATGGATTCCATCGTTTCCTAATGGAATGGTCACCCCATTGCATCACATTCTGTATCGATGGCCGTGAAATCGGAAGAGTGCCGGTCAATGATGGCATGTGGGCGCGCGGTAAATTCACAGGAGAAAACATTTGGGCGAATGGCACGAAAATGGCTCCGTTTGATCAGGAAGTGAGTGATTTTACACATTACGAACTGGCAATTCAAGGGCTGTTCCACCATTTCTTTTTTTCCCCACGAATTTTCATTCTAATGTGTTAATATCATTCTAATCTTTCGTCAGTTTCACATCATATTGAATTTGGCTGTTGGCGGTACGAACGGATACTTTCCGGATGAAGGAAATGCTAGTCGAAAACCATGGTTGAATTCATCACCGCAGGCGGCGACTGACTTTTGGAAAGGTCGCAACCAATGGTTGCCTGGTTGGAATCTCGACAAGCCCAATTCAACGGATGCATCGTTAATTATCGATTCGATTCGAGTGTGGGCGCTTTGAGTATCCTCTTATGCAAATGTATACGGTTTTGTTTTGAAACATTGAATGTAAGAATAGCGTTTTTTAAGTGATGATGATAAACAAAGGGAGAAAAAGAAACAATGCGAACTATGAAGATTAAGTGCAAACAGCCAACTGTTGTAATTATACTTTTTTGCACTATTATGATAATGGATCGTAACGTTTTTGCTTCATTTTTTCTTTGTCCCGTTGTGTATATAATCAAAATAGTTTCGAGAAATTGCAAGAATTGTCTGAATTTCGATTTAATCACTGAATAAAACACGTGCCGGTTGTGTGATGATGCAAGTACATCCTTTCTTGTACTTGTACTTGTAATTGTTTTGCTATATTTTCTTCTGTATGTCCCAAATTGCACAAATAAAATGTTAATTGTCATCGCCACGAAATGCAAATATTTTCTGCACAGCAACGAAAAAAACATCTCGACAGATTTTGGCGATTTTCATCTTTTTTGCACCAATTGCAAGTGCGATGAACGTCAAATAATTGTAGCGATGAAAGTTAGATAGAAAAAGAGACTCATCAAAGCAACGAAGTTGGTGTATAAAAACGCGCCTAATTAATTCAATGGATTGCACTTGATTCTGTAAATAAACGCAAAACATCAAACGCGCAACACACACACACAGTATTTACGTAATTGTTGATTTATAGAAATAGACAAGCCGCAGCTTGTTTACAGTGAAGTGTTTAAGTGAGTGATTGAGTTTTGTTGGTATTTTTCTCGTTATTTTTTGTTTTTTTTTCTCGTTTGCAGCACGACACATCATCTTGTAGCGAGTGATAGCGCGCGCGAGAGAAAAAATGAATAAATAAGAAGAGTGTTGAAATGAATTGAACCAAAGTGAAAATCAAATAATTGTTTTTCTTTCATTCTCGTCTTACCTTTAATTAAATGCACGACTCGTGTATGATTCAAAGTTTTGGCCTCTTCACCATTCACCTGCAAACAGAAAGAAAAACATAGTTGAAATCAGAAAACACACACAACAATACAATCAACATCAAATCAAATAAAGCCGGAAACATAAGTATGAATATAATTATATTAAAATAAGCGTTATTCACACCCGTAGAGAGTGTTTAACGAATGATTCAAACGAAACCACATACAAACTAATATATTCGTATAATTCTTTTTGATGAGCTTTATTTGCAAGCGATAAACAAAAACATACCGAAAATACAGTATATATAATCACTATGAAATTTGAAAAGCTAAAAATATGTGTGTGCACATCATTGCCACTCCAGAAAGTGTGTTCAAAACAAACAAAAAATAAAATAAAATAAATAACAACACACAGTCAGTCAGTCAGTGAGTAGCACAGAAAAAAAAAATCAATTCTTTAAGCCGGCGCACATTCTTCGACACCAGAGCGAAAAACACTTCCGGCGACGAACGCCCAAAGATTCTCGTATGAACAAATTCCAAACCAACGTGTGTGCACTTCAATTTAATTACTCACAATGAAAAAAAAAAAGAAAATCAAATCGATTGCATTACAAGAAACAAGGCAACTAGTATTCTAGCTAGAGTTTAATCCTCCTATTTTTACAATCATGCAATTTAAATTGGCCAATCAGTATCTGGTTTATTCTATTTCTTCTGTTTTGGTTGCGCTATTCTTTCTTTTTCAATCACACATTTTCCTTGTGAATTTGCTGCTCATTTTTAATATCTCCCTCTCTCCGTAGCAAGAGAGAGAGAGAGAGAGAGAGATTGCACAACATCAAAAAACACATACAGAAAATTGCGAGCAGAGTTCAATTTCCAGCTAGTACATGCAAACGTTAAATTAACACAATTTTTGGTGTTGTTGTTGGTTTCGCGCTTCCCACTCAAATCTAACTGAATATTTTCGACTACTTGTGGCAATAAAAATGCAAACCATCGCCACCGCCGCCAATTTAATGTACCGAAAGCGCGTTCGATCGAAGATAATTATTATCTGTTTATATATTGATAAATTGATTAATTTATTCGCGCAATTCACCTAATTGCCAACTTTTCAATTTTCTTTCACTATTCACGCTAGCGAACAGCGTGTGCGCTAGCTGCTGCCGTCATTGTCAGTTGCTAGCATTAGCGGGCGTTTTTGTGCATAAGAAGTGCTATTTGGTAATGCGGTTTTTTGTTTTGTTTGCGCTCGCACGCGCGCGCAATGTTCTCTCGTCCTCGGCAATGTTTTTGCGTTGGAAAATCTTCGGTCTTTATTCGATTTTTATACACATATAGTTTATTTGTTTTTTTTGTGTGTGTGTCGTTGTTGTTTGATAGTGTACTCATCGGTGTTTGTGCATCATATAGTGCACAAAAACGAGCCAGAGGAAGAGAGAGAGATAGAGAGAGATAGAGAGAGAGAGAGAGAGAGAGAGCCAAATGCGTGCATTTAACGTATAGCCGTTACATTTGTGATTCGCCTACCTTGACAATCATATCACGTTCCATTAAACCAGCCTTGTGAGCCGCACCTCCTGTCTTGACGCTTTCGACAAAGACAGGTTTATCACCCGATACCTAATAAATAATAAATTAAATGTAATCAATTCAAAATGAAAACAATAAAAAAAAACACAGAGAGAAAAGAAAACGAAAATCAACGAAAGAAAGGAGAGGAGAGGAAAGAAAAGAAAAGAAAGACATAACTATGAAAGAGCGCGAATTGCAAAGAGACACACCGACATAGAGTGAAAAATTAAATTGAAACGAGTATAAGTAATGTTCAACAGAAGCACAATTCCACCGAAGCCAATCAAGTCGTGTCAATTAGGATTTTTGCGCAAAGCTTTTTCGCCTATGTTTACATCGTGTTGACACAATCAATCGATCCGCAAACGAAAACATTTATGCAAACATTTCAGTTGATATTTGAATTTCCTTCCCGTCGTCGTTTCCAAATTCATTTTCGTTTCCGAATTCAGAGAGAGAAGCAGCAGCGACAACACAAAAGATCCCGCCAATACGCCGAATCGAACATATGCCTCGCATTACATCATATACATATAGATGAGTTATTTTAAAAGAAGAAAACATTTTTGGATGTCAGTTCTTACCAAATGAAATTGACCCGCACAGGTCAAGAGAATTTATGCATCTCCAAAAAGATTATGTTTTGTAATGTTCAATAATGCTGCAGCAAGATTATGCGTCAGACTTTTTCGTCTTGTTTTCTCATTCGTGCGAGCAGTAATTACCAAAGGAACGACGGCGTAGAAGTGCGCGATCGCACACGCACACATAACAACATGATCGAAGATGCGAACGAAAATTCCGAGGGAGCGAAAGAAATTAATAACAAAGACTAATCGTTCGTTTGTTGACGAATATTTGTGCGTTTGTCGCATGTGCATATGTGAAATACGTAGTAATAAAATGCGTAATATGGTGCAGAAGAGTGTGCGCGCGCGGCTCTGGAACACCACAGAAGAGAGAAAGAAAACAAGAACGACATGAATGCGGGAAGTTCAATGCTCGGCAAATCAATTCTTCATTCGAGAAAGAGAGAGAGAGAGAGAGTGCGAGAGTGAGTTTCTTTATTATGATTTTTTTTTCAATTTGAATCGCTGCTATTTTGTGGCTCAAAGTTTTGTGAGTATGTGAGTCATCGACACGCATGTCGTTCATATGCCGTGCATATTCGATCGAATTGTTGAGAGAAGTTTTGATGAGAAAAAAATGACTACAAAAAAAATATGAAACTTTTTATCACATACACAGAGAGAAAGAGAGACAGAGAGTAGCCCATGAAGCCTAATGCTTTTGTTATGAGCGCTACACGCACTTAGTTAGTGCCTATTGAGCGTGTAGTGTGTGAATCAACATGAGAAAAAGTGAAAGCGATTAAAATGCAGTCATTTTTATGGTCAAAACGTCAAAACCGATTTAGAAACGGTCAATATATGGCTTTATCGATGACATTCCAAACGCACTTTGTTATTTTGTTATCTTTTGCGCCCCACCGAAAGAGAAGAGAGAAAAAAAAATATGTATGAACAACTTCATTGCAATGGAATGAGGTCAAAAATATGAAGTTATGTGTTTCAAAGAGAAAAACCACTGAATTCACTCTTCGGCCGAAGAAAGATAAAATGTTATGGATAATTGGCATTTTTTTCCCTATGGAAAAGACTTCATTGCAAATAAATCGTCATGTTGTTCTCTTTTTTTTGCCATCGTCGAATTGGCATTTGTCTTTTTTTTCTTCATTTTTCTATTTCGGCCAGATTACGAAACGCCTATAAAACAAATGGTTGAAATATTTTACCGCGTGAAAAATGGTTAATCAGTCGATTTGACGTCATTTGTATACCGTTCATTCAGATGATCAACGACGAGAAAATATTTTGATTTTCGATTCACTTGATTGATTACGCAGATATACATACACATGGATTGTAAGCACAATATGCCAATATGTGCAACACTGTGTAAACATTTCGTGGTGGCATTCCATTCCATCGGACGAAGACAGCAGCAGCACATTTTTGCCCGACTCAAACAATGAAAAAAATACAAGCAATGTGGAATATAGAAACCAAAATATATGAACAGAATTGGATGTTATTGTTGTTGGAAAGGAAAAACAAAAAGAAAGGAAAGGAAAAGAAATTAAAACGATAAATAAAAAAAACAACAACAAAATACACTACCTTCATGCCATAGCCAGAAGCATCCTTTTGAATCGTTATGGTTAATTCGATTTCATCAATTTTATTGCGTTCAATTCCTACCGGCGACATTAGTGTTTGTGGACGTCTATGACTAGCACCATTTAAATAAGTTCCGCCGCCTTGAGATCTGCACGGATTGTTGTTGGTTTTGTTTGTTTGTTGATTCGTTTGTAAGTAACAAATGATTGTCGAATGAGTTTCATTTCTCTTCTTCATTTTTTTTTCTTTTGTTTGTTTGTAAAATGGGACACAACAGAGAAAAAAAAATTGCGTTATCTTTCAACAATGTTCAAGTGCACGGAATTTTCCCTCAAGGTAAAAAATGCCATTGACCGTATGTTAATTTGTTTCCGATAAATTCCATCGCATTATGCTTTTTAATACAGTTCGTGAGTTTTGCTTTTTTTTCGTGTGTGCATTCTTTTCTTTTGGTTAAGCGATTAGATAAAAAAAAAACAAATGCTTGTCAAATTTTGTGAATGCTCATTCACTACCAACGTGCTGTTATTTTTTTTAAGCTAATTTCTCATAATTACTCTGTTAGACCATTCAACATGTTGTTGTTTTTTTATTCTCATGATAACAAATTACATACTCTTCGGTTGAATTTCGATATCACTTCCAGTTTCGAAGACCACAGATTTGTTTGAATGAAAAAAATTTCTTCGTACTGGACACAAATTCAATCGAAATTCAAATGGAAGCATTGATTTTGGTTTTGAATGAAGCAGATTTGGATGATTTTTTCTAAATGACATTTCTAAAGGAAGAATCGATTTCCATTTCTAAGGTAAGAACCAATTTTGCTTAGAACATTAGATAGAGCAAATTCTATCGAAAACCGAAAAAAAATTTAACCGAAAATAAATCTATATTTTTCATCTCATCAAGTCAAGTTTGTTGAAAATTCGAACAGAAAGAAGATATTTTTGCATAGAGATTGACTTAAGATCAAATCTAAAGACGTTTATTACTCTCTCTCTTTGACTTTTAATATAATTTATTATGAATAAATACTCGACGCGACCGGTTACAAAGAGATGAAAGAAAAAACAATCTCAAGAGTCAAGTTCATGTTGAATTGACCCACATTGAATTGAATAAAAAGATGCATTGCTTGATTGACTTGATGCTATCAGTTTTACACACACAAAATATATTTCAATAAAAACAATAACAACATTAGCATTTTATCGTAAACGATCAATTATTTTTCATGCGAATAATTGAGAATTGTTTTTTTTATCTCTCTCTCAAATTTCAGTTGATTTTTACGGCAATTCATTACTGTTCAAATATACAAAAACGAAAAAAAAATCGATATAAAGCCAATATTTGGCCAATGGTTAATTTTGAGCAAACGAAAAAAAAATGTTAAAAAAGCAATATCTGTACACTATGAACAGAATCTATCTTTAGATTTAATAATCGCCATCGAAAAAGAATTTAAAAAAAAAACATCATCATCATCATCATCGAAAAAAAGAACAGAGCAAAAATTTTAAAAACAACGCACAAAAATACGTGAAAACATACATTGAACAATATTGAAAGCAAACAAATTATGCGTAAACTGTTATGCCAGCGGATTTAACACTCACCTCTCCGGCAGTCCCGGCTGTGACGCGTTATCCATAAATTCTTAATGGTCGTTTTGTGTGCATACACAATTGAGCGATCGTCGAGAAAGCGAGCGAGCGAGCAAGCGCGCGCACAAAATCCTATAACCAATCGCTGTTTTGTTCTTCTGTTGCTGCTTTTTTTTCTTTCTCTTGTTAATTTTTTTTATTATTATAGTTGTTGTTGTTGCTAAAAACACGAAAAATCCACAAAACCGAGTGAAACGAAAGAGTAAGAAGAGAGAAAAAAAGAGTTATTAAAATCGACGAAAAAAGACATGAGGAAGGTGGGAACGAGCGCGAGAATGGCATAGCGAATAAATAAAGCGTGAAATGATGTAATATTTAATTAGAGTTCCACATGCATAAAGAGACATCAGTTTGTGCGAGCGCAAACGAGTCGTACACACATGAATACACAGGCATTGGCATTTTTCACGTCGGATCATCGACGTTGTCATCGTCGTCGTATTTTTTTGTGTTTGTTTTGTTTTATACAATTTTTATAATTCATTAAAAAAAAGCATCGATATTATTGGATACGGTGTCATTCGGTTGTTCGAATACTTTCGATACACGTTTGATGGAATCGTGTTGTTAAAATACACAGAAAACCGAATGTGTGGCGCTGAATGTTGCATTTTCATCTCCTACTGTCCACCAACTGCATTCGCAATACCTCGTTTCATCCGGGTTGAAAAGCAAAAGTGTGTTAAATTTGTCTAACTACACGCTGGTTTTGCCTCTTTTGCTATTTGGTTCGTTTAGCATCAAACTCTCATTAATGACCAAATACCTGTCATTGAAACCAATGTGGTCATCATGCAAATTTTTTTTTGTTCAGCCAAAAATACAATGGCCATTGTTTTTTTCTTCATTTCTACCTTTGGTATTGTCATACAACCGAAAATACAGTATAGAGAGACAGAGATAGGGAATTAAAATATTTGATTTCAGCACAATACGGCTAAAATTAAATGGGGCTTGTTTCGTGGTTATGGCCGTTAAGATATGACTTCATTCGATTAGCATTTAATGCAGCACATGTGTTTTCAGTTTTTTTTCTTCGTTGAATGACAGTCGGATTGACATCTATAGCTACAAAAGCTAAATCACACATTAAAATCGCTCTCTCTCTCTCTCTCTCTATCTCTTTCCGCTGATTTGCGGTGCACGAATGCCAATTAAATGCGTGTTTTCACGATCACAGAAGAAACGAAAAAACAACAACAGCACAAGAAAAATTAAAAAATGTATTAAATGTTTTCAAACACAATGTTCTTTATATTTCTATCGTTTATTTTTTTTCTTCCAACAAACACCGATTTTATGTTTTCGGAATGTTTTTCATGCACATTTTCTGTGTTATGCAACACAGCGAGCAGATATTACCGCTAAAACCACACCGAATGGATGTTCTAATACCAAAAAAAAGAACGAAACTGATGCTATTTTTAGCAATATTTTTAGTTTTATTCGGTGGAAACTCAGAAATTGCGCTCGGTTTTATCGGTAAAAAAATTTAATGGTTTTTTTTTGTGCTGTTATTGTTGTTGTTGTTGGTGGTGGTGGTGATGCTTTGATGGTGGCCGCAATGTTATGAAATTCATTTTGGTCAGTCACAGAAAATGCCATTTTCACTTTTATGGTTTACTTTGATTGTTGCAACTTGTTCGCAATTTCATGTGTTGATCGTTTAATTTTGATAATAAAACCATGACTTTTAACTATATTCGAAATTCGAATAGTGTTTGTGTGTGTATGTGCTGGCCGTTTCTTTTTTGGCAAGTCAATCTCATAAATTCAACACGCCCGAATTTGAACGAATGAACCAACCTTCAGGTTTTTGTAATGTCATCAATGTTAGTCGAATGGCTTTTTCATACTGCGACCCCATGTACTGGATTTGTTAACGTTTTTTTTTTCTTCGTATATGTGTGCTCGATATACAAGCTCACCTTTTTTCAGTCATACTTCAGTTTTCAAACTCCTGCTAAATCAATTTTAATGCAATAAACCTAAAGTGTTCTGTCTCTAGTTATTCAGAGTGAACAAGTGCACTTTGGATTAAATAAAAAAAATACGCTTGAACATTGTGTATCGTGAAGGCGAAGTCGATGAAAACTTGATTTATTATCACGTATACGCGATCGAAATATGATCGAACTTCATTGTCGGCACAAAACGGCTGATTGCAATGAATTAGCGCACAATTTTTGAAACATGGCTGAACATGAGCATGACAGTTTGGGACAGTATTCAGTCGCTGTGCAAAAATGATATTGAAAATGCGTTGTAAGACTTTCAAATGAACCGCACACATTCTTCTTCTTCGTTCTTATTTTTTTTTCTTCGTTGCGGAAGTGCGATGAGATAGCAAAAGAGTCGAGAGCCATTCTTTCAAACGAATTGATCACATTCTGCCTAGGCACATATCAGCAAACAACATTGTTCTCATGTCGACATCGTCATCGTCGTCGTCGGATGTTTTATGTTGTAACATATATGACCGCATTTTTTTTCATTGCTATGTCGCCTCAACACCATAAAATCTTTAATTGCTGCGTGTATGTTTTTTTCACTTCATTTGAAATTCATCGAGTGAACCAGCAAGATCAACCAATCAGGCAATTGGATAATGACATGAACCGATGCCCTCTCTTCACTCGAAGAATTTCCACACGCTTCTCTTTGTTACAATTTTATTCAAATTGGCTAGCGCCAGTCAGAGTTGGTCACATTGCAGCCGCTTTTCTCTCTCTCTCTCTCTCTCTCTCTCTCTCTCTCTCTCCCTGGGATTATAATAAGTGGTCATATTTCGTATTAGACGCATTCCGAAACACACAAACACACTTGGACACATAATATTTGCCACGCAATGCAAAAAAAAATTCTTACATACACGCCAATGTAAACGGAACAGCGGAAAGACGACAAAAAAAACCGTAAAATTCAACATAAATTTGGTGTAAACAACGGAACAACACAGGAGGAAAAGAGTTATATTTGTCATAACTCATGCATGATACGCCGAAACAAAAGGTCGGGCAGTTTTTGATCAACATGCACACTAACACACATACACAGCCAACAATAACAGCAGTACAAACCGACGACAATTTTTCGGTCACGTTTTCTTTGTTTCTTTTTTTCCGCCAATATTTAAATTATTAGAAAGAAATTTAGAAAATGTACCGAAAAAAGTGTTCCGTTTCGTTTTATTGCTTGGCTGTTGGCTTTTTTTTGGGTTTGCAATGTGTGTGTGTGTGTCGAGTTCACCATTTGCCCGTTTCGTTTCGAGAGAAATATAATAAAAACGGTGAAATCGGCATGTCTAGCGAAATGGCAAGACGTGCAATTTCGATTGGGCGTACATTTTCTTGTCACTCACTGATATATTTTTTTCATTCATTTCATTTCGAATATGATATTTTTCGATATGTGGTTTCTGGATTGGTATACCAATTTAAGAGCATATAAGCTCTTTTTTTTCTTTTCTTCTTCTGCGGTTTTCAACCGGATTACAATTGACTTGTTATAGTCTAATTGTCGTATTTTTTTTTCGCTGTTATTGTTACTGCTGTCGTGATCTATCCATCTCAATTCATCGGTGATCCCTTCGTTATGGGCGCATGCCGTTTATTTTTTAGTATTGCTTCAGATCATTCGTTTTTATGAATTCATTCGTTTGTAATCAGCCGCATTTATCTCATAACGAAAAACTAACGCACTAATGTTATTTTTTTTCCAAACGAAACACTAATTTACATATGATTTATTCCCGTAATTGTTGGCGGTGTGCTGGCAAATGCATTCAAATGCGTTTACCGAAATAGAAAAAAAAAGGCAACAAACGACGCCAACTACAACAACAGCATTAAAACTGCAAGCATAATGAAAATGCAACGAATGTAAAAATACGCAGAAAATTGCTGCTCTGGAATAAAAATGCACTGGCATTCGCTCGAATAACGATTAACAAATCCGCGCGCGCGTGCGCACACACACACTCACATAAGAGTCCGGAGTGCGGAGTGCGTATTGAAAACAAAAATTAAAGTGAAAAAAAATGTCGAAACAACAAGAACGAATGAGTCGAATGGCATTTTTTTCATCGTGTGCACTCTATGCCATTAGCATGTTAGTGAGTGCGAATAAAACGTTTGTATTCAGAGCATATTTTATCGACATACATTTTTTTTTCGTGTGTTTTTATCGTTGTTATTATTGTTGTTACAGCCTCAGTTCGGTTGCATTGGCGCTGAAAAAGAGGTTGACCGTCGATTTGTTGCTTTCAATGCTCTTCAAATGCAGGATGTTTCAGCCCGCAGCAGAGAAAAAAGAGCGTCTATTACGCGTTTGAGGAAAAACATTCGAGCTGTGCGAATTGTTTTGAATTTCTTTTTGGCGCAGGATTAGTGCGACAGCACTAAAGAGTGAAAAAAGAGTGCACTACAAAGAGACGGGCATAAAATAGGTCGTTAAAAACAATGGGCAATTCAGTCGAGTGACAACATCCAATAAAGTATCGAATTTCAGCATCGTTGGAGCTATATCATTCTGTCACTTGGAAATACCCAAAATTGAATGAATGCAATTTTCCACACATACACACACGAAGAGAGAAGAAAAGAGGAAGAGAGAGAGAGAGAGAGAGAGAGAGAGAGAGAGATCGATCAGTCCCCGAAAGAAAAAACAACAACAGAGAAGCAACAATGAATCGTGTGTAATCAGTGGTATTGTTTCGATGGTTCACAATTTTTGCCTTAGTTTCGTGCTGCATTTAGATAGATGAAATATTCATTCAGTGCAGTTCAAATAACGTACGTGCCCACCCATACAAATGCATCGACCAGCTAAAACCAAAATATCACACCAACGACGACGTCGACGACAACGATACCAGCAACACGACGGAAGAATGCATCAGAATGCATTCGGGTCTCGGTTGGGCATAGTCGTATCGTTAAATACGGAGTCGGGCGAGAGATAGATAGAGAGAGAGTGAATGAGTGAATGAGTGAGTGAGTGAGTGAGAAAGATCGAAGCGAAACGTATTTTATTTGGATATGGGATATCTGTGTGTGGTTTTTGGGTGCAAATCATGGATTTCAATGTTCGATCGGGTTTTTGTTGTTTAGACTGGCAAATGCTGCTTGCGTTTGCCCCGCTCTTTCATTCTCTCACACTCTCCCTCTCCCTCTCTTTCTCTCGCCCGACTCCGTGTTTAACGATACGACTATGTGTCTATGTATTTGACTGCGCGTCTGCAACACACAATGCGTATTTGATGAGTTTTTCTTTTCTGTATTTCTACGTTGTGTCTACTAAGTTGTATCTTGTTTTCATTTATCTCCAGCCACAGCCGAATGGGAATCGAGCAGAGAATTCAGGAAAAAAAAAGATCAACAATATATGAATGCGGCGACGAACCAATTTTTTTTTCTCTCCTTTTATTTTTAATTTCTGTTTATTTATTCCAGGCAATTGAAACGGCTAGTCTTTGGATTTAAACATTTGTTTATATTTTCGGGGCGCGTTGAAATGTCACCGTCTTTGCCCACTGCATTGATTTGAATGTGTAAATTTGAGCATCACAACACTAAAAACAATCCTCTCTTCGTTCACTCATTTCTATTTCGTTTGGATGTGTTGTTCATGTGCTTGTGTATGGGTGAGTGTGTGATAGTTTTTTTTTACAACTCTTCCGAAGCGATAATAAATTTTGCACTTTCTTGGAATTTGTAAACAATATTTCATCTTTGAATCACTAGTATGGCTTTTCGACTCTTCTGTATAGTTATTTATAAATTTTTTTATTTACGGCCCGTTGTTATTTGCGGCTGCTATGTTGTTTTCCTTTCTTGCAACTTCTTGGCTTTGCCAAATCGTTCGCTTACACATGTGTTTCATTGCAGCAGCAGCAGCAGCAGCAGCAGCAGCAGCAGTAGAAGAAAAAAAAAATAGAAATTGCACTTGAATATGCATCGTTATTTTTTTGTCTTCTTCTTCTTCAAAACGACAACGTCAATGAATGAATAAAAAAACTAACTCTAACCATGCACAGCACACTGTACTACATCGAGTGTAGAAACTAATCTTCAAGGAATCCGTATCGTGTTCACTGTTCTTTGCATTTTATGTAAAAGTGTATTGTTTTTGTTGGGTGTTTTGTTTTGCTCTTCTCGGATTTTGGGTTCTTCTGCTGCTGTTGTTATTGTTATTTGTTTTTATTTTTCATTCTTGGACGAACGACGCCGTCGCCGCCGCCGTTATCGTCATTGTCGTAGCCGTTTTTCTTTTCTTCGCATGTACAACTATTTCTGTGCACCGACCGCGCGCTCTGCACAATGTTTACTAAATTAAAGCCAGCCGAACACCACGAGAAAAAAGTGCAATATACGGATATGCAAACGCCGAATAAGCAGCCACGGGCAACTACACCCTTACGCGTTCACTGTCAAAATATATGAGCATAGCACACGGTGCGGCATGTGCATGAAAATTGCAAAATGGTCGCACACACACGAATCCAGAAATGAGCTGCAAAACACATCAACACATCGCACTATATACTCTCTTGTTCTTCATTGTCGTCGTCGGCGGTAGCGGCATTTTGACGATAGTTTTCTCGATTAAGACCGAATTTTGAATGCTTCAGCACACGAGTTTTATTGGATTTGCTGCTTTTTTTTTGCGGGCGTATTCGCCACAAAGACAATTAGAGTGCGGCAATCTACAAAAGAACATACACACACACTTATACGCATACACAAATAAACGAACTTCAGGAGAGTTTTGCCCGCATTACAGCCACACTATATTTCACAATGAATATCGATAACACCGCAATGTGTAGCCGAAATGATAAAAAAATACGCTACCGATCACCGTTTCGCGCATATATCGATGACTGTGATTGTTGATAAAACAGAAATAAACGAATGTGATATCTTGTCTCTTTCGCTCCCTTGTTTGATTTATATGTTCTGATATCGATTTATTGTTATTGTTGTAATGTGTCACATTTTCGTGAGTAGTTCGCTTGCCCTAAATTCGCATTCCATTTTTCGCTCCCCGCTGATTTATGAATGAACTCAAATAATTCGCACAACAATTAGATTATGATAAAACTCTAACTCACGTACCGTTTTCTTTCTATTTATCTTCGGTTTGTTGTTGTCGTTGTAAATTCTACGTTTTGTACGCGTACAAGTTGCTTTTGTTATTGCTTCGATTCAAATGGGTACACTGTAAAACAATTCACATTTTTATTGAAACTTTCAAAATGATACGAGTATTACTCATTTTTTTTTTCTTATGATTTAGCACTTAAGATTCTGATTTTTTTCACATTCTTCTTTTTATTTATAGTATATGACGAATATTGTCTCTGGAAATCTCTAAGCAAAAGATAAGATCGTTGTGATGCGTAATTCGGTTACAATGAATTTGGATCAAATATTTTTATAGTATGTGCGCATATTAACCGACCCCTCTGACTTGAGTTTAAGGTGATTTCTCTCGATCATTACATGGAAAATTAAATGGAAATTTCGGCATTTGACAGGAGGATTGAAACGATACCTTCAATTTGGCTGATCTTCATATTTTGAAATCGAGGTATAAATTCTTTATACTTTGAAATGAGCCAAATACACACCAAAAACCACAATCACACATACACACACACAGCAAAAATCAATAGAGTTTAACTCTATAAATTGTCATGTTATCAGGTCATCATTTCAACCATTTGATTCGTATCGAATTAAAATTATCATTGATTTTTAATTGAAATCGCATTGATCGTTTAGCCAATTTATACATACTCAGCATTGCGTTGAAAGTGTATGAAATGCAAAATAAAACGAAGGAAAAACAACAAAATAACCTTTAAAAAAAAGAGTGATGTTAAACATTGAGAGTCACTCTCTGGCGAATCTTGTAAAAAGAAGGAAAAACGATCGAGAGAGAATACTAATGAAAAGAACAACAAAAAACTGACTGAAAAAAATATACACACACAACTACACACAGACACACGTAGAGAGAGAACGTACGAAAACGAAGAAGAAGAAGAAGCAACAGCAGCAGAAGGAGAAGCTATACAAAATATAATCATCATGTTAGATATGCTGTGTGTTGTTGTTTTGGTTGTGTTGTGAGAGGCTTAGGTCATTTTTTTTCTGGCTCTTTCTCCGTCTCGCTCTCTTGCTCCCCGTGTGTGATTCATTTGGGTACGAATCGAAAATCGGGTTCCACTTCTAAGTGATGGTGTAACAATAATTGGCGTTTTCGATGAAATTTTTCACAGATCTTTTTCTTCCCTATTTCATCGCCCCGATATGTCTCTCTCTCTCTCTCTCACACACACACACACACACACTCTTGAATGCAGACACTGAATGATCAAATGGTGTGATCTTGCATTGATCGCATCAAATTTGTTAATTGATTGATATGATCGCATCCAAACGTTTGTTTTTTGCAGCAACAACAACAATAGAAAACAACCGAAACGAAATAATTTCCATTTTTTTTTTTATTCGACAGTTGAAATATTTCATATTTATTTCCAACAATAATGCGATGATAAACTCTGTCAAGGGGGGGTCAGTACATAGGCGAGAGAAGAAGAAAAAAACCAAACAATTGAGTATAAAGGAAACGAAAACATTATGAAGTCACGCGTGTGTCGAAAAACCTATTTACAGACGATCGAAATGGGGAAAAAAAGAAAGAAAAACGGACCCAAATATTTACCACTTGGAATTCGATTCGAACAAAAATTGTTCATTCGCCAAACCCTTCCTATTCCGTTCGAATTTCGAATTGTTTTTTACGCTTTGGGCAAATACACAAATTCGTCAATTTGAAGTTCATTGCAGAATTTGAATTGCGATCGCCAGCGAATGAACGAAAAACAATTACATCAATTTGTTTTCTTCTGAGAACACGCATTCACACAATTCACACACGTTTGTGGTGTCTAGTTCATGGTGTGTGTTTTTTTTCCTGTTGCGAGAATGTTGTATATCCGAAACAATTGCATGCAAGTCCTTCAATTCCGAATTCAATTTGTTGTCGATATATTTATTCACTTTTCACTCTTTTATTATTGATCACTTGAATCATTTCTTTGCATCCAATATTTTGTTGTTGTTGATGTTGTTGTCGCTGTTATTTTGTATAATTTCTTATGATTGAAATGCGCGAGAGAAGAATGAAACAGACAAGGCACTTTCAGTCTCTTTGATTCGTACTTGATATATTAAATAAAAAATATTTTTGTGTGTGTTTTCGTCACGAATTTCTCATTGTTTTATGATATTTTATATTTTGTTTCTTTCGCTCTGTGATGATGTTGTTGTTCTATTCAAATTGTTTTTCATTTATATTTCTTTTCACATCTTTTCACACTCAATGTTTGTTTTCTATTTACTTTCTATTGTTTCGTAGAGCGGTTTGGTTGGTGTGGCTGTTGTTGTTGTCTTCGTCGTCGTCGTCGTCGTCGTCGTTGTCTTTTTCTCGTTTTGTCAATTCAAGCCCGAAGAAAAAAAACATCGTTCATCACTCGACGAAATAATGAATAAAAAGGCAAACGATTACCGCAACTCTCAACTCATTTTTGGTTCAATTTTTTTCTTCTTTTCTTTCATTCTTTTCGTACATTTTATTTTTCTTCTTTCCAAAAGGAAACGCACACAGAAATAAATGAAACAGATCACATCACACTGAATAAATTGCAACGAATCGAGTTTTTTTCTTCCTCTTCTTCTACTCTTCTTCTCTTCGGTTTCGGTGTGTTTATTTTGTTTTAAAAGAAATGAATAGACTTGCATATAAAAAAATTAACGAAATTTTCTAAAAAAAAAAAAAACTATTCCAGTTTTTATGCTCAAAAAATTTAGAGTTCAAATCAATCGGAAGAAAATGCAAAAATTAAAATGAAATGCACAAAAAACTAGGAAAACAGATTATTGTTTTTCGCTGTTGCGCGAACATTTTTCACAACTCAAACACTCTCTCGTTCTGTCGTGCATATCACAACAGTAAAATCATTGTTGCGGACACACATAGAGTCAAGCACCAGATCCAGAGCGAGAGAAAAAGCAATACAGAAACAGCAACAACAACAGCAGTCACAGAGCGGTAGTAGTAGCAGTGCTATAACAGCGACCGAAAAAAATTCCAACAAGTGTTCGCCATATTGTTTTTTCCATTAAAAACCTCGGGTAGCGTTTTTTTTCCCTTTCTTGTCTCTTGTTTTTGTCATATTTCGATCACATATTAGCATCTCTTTTTGGAGTTTTTTTTTCATCTCTGTGTATGGTCGTTTAGTCTATATCTATCTCTCGCACCCATTCAATCACTCACGCACGCATACACACGATGGCACCATGCTAGCCGAACTGTGTGTATGTGTGCGTGTACGTGTGACGGTGAACAAAAACAAAGCGAAATGTTGCTAACACGATGTAAGTGAGACAGAGACACACCGAGCACTCTGGATTCAATTACATGGAAAGTCAGTTGGTTGTGTATGAGATAGCTTGTGTGTGTGTGTGTGTGTGTTTGTTGGTACGTCAATCGGAACGCATCGTTTCAAACAAATGTTCACGACCGAACGACCTGTCAAACTCAATCGCCCTCTGCATTTGCAGTAATCATTTTTATGCTACGAATGATCACTTTGTAAATGTTTCATTTTATTGAAGATTTTATCATTTTTGTTTTCGATTTGAATGAAAATGCAATTTTTCAATCATTTTTTTTCAGTATGAATCTATGCTTTACCGAATCGTTTTTTATTATTCGAATATTTTATTCAATAAAAGGAAACAATCGCAGATTCGGCATTAGTATGCTCACACACAGATGGAGCTACCGTTGGTCTACTTGAATCAAGTAGCTTGAAAGCAAAACAAACAACGATCGGTTAAACGTAAAAGTGCATCAATCGCTGTCATCGGCGCATCAAATTCATCGGATTCGTTTGTTTTGCCAAATTGTAAATAGTTGGCTGATAAAAATTGCCGGACATCGCGTGATGGCACAATTTTGCACATTTGTTCATTTTTTTTTTCTGACATCAACCAAGAGATGTGCCATTACGCATGTGCCTAAACTCGATTGACAATTGCGATTGGAATAACAAGTCTTCTTCCTTCTTTTTTTTTTGTGTATACGTGAACTGGATTAGCATTCTTTTTAAGACAGATATACAATAGAGGAATAAAAAGCGAGAAGAGGATTTAGTTTTTTTTAGTGTCCAGCGAAAAGTGTGCTTGAATTTTTTATATTGGAGTAAAACGAAAAACGAGAGTGAGAGAAAGACTTTTAAGCGTATTGTTTGCATTTGCAAGCAGCATTGAAATTGTGGCCATCGGTCGGAGAGACAAGTGAGAGAGAGAATATCCGCAGGAAGCCAAGCAAACGTTGATGTCTTCTCATCATAATTTGCTGTTTAATTTTATGTTTCCATTTGGAATTGACAGTCGCCGACGCACATTTTCACATCAATGTTGACTTGGTCGTCGTTGTGATATCTTTGCGCTTGCATCGCGAACCATTCAAGTGGGCAAACAATTTGCTTAGCACAACCAATAACCATCCACATTTTCATTTCTTCAAGAAAATCAAATTCCTTTTTCTCTCTCTCACACACAAACACAAATATACACACTCAATTTCGAGGCGCGATCAAACAATCAACAATAAAATAACAAAGTGCGCGAATCATTCGTTTTTAATATAAACCATTGCAAGAAGACGAAGAAGAAGAAAAGAAAAATAACCAAAACTACAACCAAGAAAATTTTGTGCTAAAATGAACGAAACGACCATCGTCACACATCTGCCCGATAACATATTAGAAGCAATTTTTTCTTACTTAGATTTACGTGATTTGCGAAATTGTTCGCTGGTGTGTAAAAACTGGTATAGATATTTAAATGATGAGAATAACGATGTGTGGCGAATGCATTGCATACGAAAATTGGCCGAAGATGCCATTAAATCCGATTTATTGTCATCAGTGCCAACGTATAAGGCGAAATTACGTGCATTCTTCCATGCATGGAATCCAAACGATTGCTCCCGTAATGTATATATCAAACCAAGTGGATTCACATTGCACAGGTAAAATCGACGAAAAAGAAACTCATCGCTGTACGGCCGATTTATCCAATTAGGCAATTCGATTAACGCAATTTGTGTCTTTCTGTTTCTCTCTGTTCCATTCATTTTGTCAATTCATTAGAAATCCGGTGGCACAAAGTACGGATGGATCAAGAGGTAAAATTGGATTTCGCCAAGGGCGTCATGCATGGGAAGTGATGTGGGAGGGACCGCTTGGTACAGTGGCCGTTGTTGGCATATCAACACGAGAGGCATCCCTTCAATGCCATGGCTATGTGGCGCTGCTTGGTGCCGACGATCAAAGCTGGGGCTGGAATTTAGTTGATAATCATTTATTGCATAATGGTGATGCAATTGGTAGCTATCCATTGCTGAACAATGCGCCAAAATATCAAGTCGGCGAACGGATACGAGTCATTTTGGATTGTGATGATAATACCCTGTCGTTTGAAAAAAATTACGAATTTCTAGGTGTCGCTTTTCGAGGTAACCACACTTTTGTTTTGCTCCTCATTTTGGTCATTTCGCAAGATTTCCTCGAATTTCGATTTGCACTACATTCATTTTGAATTTCTTTCCAGATTTACCTGACAAAACATTTTATCCAACTGTATCAGCTGTATATGGGAACACCGAAGTGTCAATGGTCTATTTGGGTCATCCGTTAGACGGTTAAAACAGAAAACAAAATGCCAGCAATTTAGATTGTATATAACGTTGGCGCGCTTTAGGAATTTGTACATAAACACAACACTCAATTCAGTTTTGGTTTCTTTCTTTCTTAATTGCGCTCGCGGCAGAAAAAAAAAGCAAACAACAAAAACAGAGCCCGTTGTGCCATTTAGCGTAATTTACACGTTTACGCGCAAGTGACCAAAGAAAAATGACTAGAAGCAAAACAAATATGTTCATTTGTTGACACACAACTACAACAATCAATTAGTTTTAATATACTCACAATTTTCAATAGACCATCTATACTCTTATTTGCCACCAGCCGTCGTCAAAAATTCGATCTTATTCCTTGAAAATTATGTGTTAGAAGTGGATGCAAAAATGATTTAATTGAAACAGTTTAGGAAAGTTATCAAAGTTTCGTCTAAAACTGAAATGGGAATCATCGAATGAGTGAATTATACATCAACCGGGGAATACATTTAGCTTTGACGCCGCAAACCACAACAGAATATGCCGCATTCTGGGTCATATTTTGCTAATTTAACTTGTGATTTTGCTCATTCAAGCATTTTACGTTTGGTTTGCGATCCAATTATATTTGCAGTGCGAAATGCTGAAGTTAAAAAGTGAAAAAAAGGAGAAAGAAGCATCTCAAATAGAGTTCTGTTCCAAATCAAAAATCCACTATTAGAAACGTGAACATTTGATTACAACTTCATCTGATATTGTTCATAATTATGCACAATGATGTTGGGCGGCCAACAACAATAAAAACCCGTGTTACTTAAGTTCGTGACTGTTGAAGTTGAATGAGAAATGGCACGAGGGAAGAATTGTGTTGTTGGCAAATGTTACGATTTAGGCGCCTTTTGATTTAAGCGGTGTGATTAAGTTTATACTAGAATGAAGCGGCAATCGAGATTTAATGCATTTACCATATGATTACTCAGGCGATCAAAATCCACACCAGGGCCGTAGCGGGGATTTTTGCCAGGAAAGGGTGGTTCCACTTTACCAAGTGATAGCTTGCCCCAAAAAAACAACTATTTCGAAAAAAAATCTGGGGGTGCTCTTGGAAGTTTACGGAGTTATGGGGCAAAAAGGCCAAAAATCACGAAAAATCAAAGTGGTCCGATTTCGATGAAAATTGGTACACGGGATAAGTGAGAAAATATAAGAACTTTGGCACTAAAACTGGTCCAAAAAACTGGTCCGAACTGGTCCAAAAATTTATTTTGACATTTTGGACCAGTTCGGACCAGTTTTTTTGGACCAGTTTTAGTGCCAAAGTTCTTATATTTTCTCACTTATCCCGTGTACCAATTTTCATCGAAATCGGACCACTTTGATTTTTCGTGATTTTTGGCCTTTTTGCCCCATAACTCCGTAAACTTCCAAGAGCACCCCCAGATTTTTTTTCGAAATAGTTGTTTTTTTGGGGCAAGCTATCACTTGGTAAAGTGGAACCACCCTTTCCTGGCAAAAATCCTCGCTACGGCCCTGATCCACACGATTAATTGATTAATCATCAATCTGAAACGTATCATTTCAAATTTGGAATATTAGTAGCCATGTATAACTTCTCTCTATCTGTCTATGTCTTCAATTTTTCTATCATATAACATTCCATATGTTTAGTGAATTCGATGGATGAAATCTCCATGAACGAAAGAAAAAAATCATTCCATTTGTTTTTTTCTTCATTAATTGTGTTTTTCTTTATTTATTTTTAATTTGCAATTGTTGAATGGCCAAAGATTATATTTAGAGTATTGAAAAAAAATGAGTCTCTTTTTCAAATCGAAGCTCGATTGCTATATGTGTGGAGGAGCAATGTTTAGTTAATGCAATTCGGTATCGAAGCGGTGAAAGAAAAGCTTTGGATTTGCCTTTTTTCCAAAAAAAGGGGGAGGTTAGACGTTAGGGTGTCTTTTCTCAAAAAATCAAGTGTCAATATAATTTTGATGCAATATTACGTAAAATGTAACAAAAAAAAACACAAAACCAAACTATAATGTTGAGTTACCAATAATTGTACAATTTCCTTTGTTGTTGTCATTCACTTTTTAGCTCTTATAGCCACCCAATTATTTTTTAAAATTCAGTTTGATATTTAGGAGAAACGAAATGGAAGAGAAATGGTTTCCGTCTTTATTTTTTGTTTGAACGAAACAAAGGAACAAAGAAATTAAATGTAATTTCAATTTAAGTTCGAGTCATATTCAAATAGACAAAAAAAGCGAACGGTGTTTGAGTTGAGTCTTTTCTTTTCGAGAAATAAAAGGAAAAAAACCCGGTCGTTTTGTATTTTCCAAAGATGAACGAAGGCGAAAAAAATAAAAAAAATAAACCACAAAATCTCAATCATTTTCTTTGAATTTCTTGTTTGAATAAAAAAAAAATTATATTTGAATAAAGCGTGTGTCAAGTGGCGCCAGTCAGTAACGGTTATGGCCAACTTCACAGCGTTCAAATCGAGGTAGCCATCTTTCTTTGTTTGAATTCTTTTGGTTGTTACAGGTCGGTCAATGAGGTACGTGTTTCTTTGAGTGTGCTAAAAATTTCATGGATTTTTTTTACAATTTCACGCACTTTTCGATTTATCGCATCCGGTAGTTTCTGGTTAATTTAATTTAATATATTTTTTAACTCATTTTTATCATTAGAAAAACAAACAAGAGGGCAATGAGGGTTTGACGCTAGTTACTATTGATATGCCCACAATTGGATCAAAGCAATGATCAACAATTGGAACTTCAACAACAACAGCAACAGCCTGCCGACCAAGAGCTAAAAACAAATTCAGAAGAACAGCACCAAGAACATTTGGATAACGAACAGGTAAAGAGAAATCGATAGAGAGAATGAAAAATCGCGCAACGCGAATCATAGATCAAATCATATATTATAACATATCGATGTGTGTGTTTATTTGTAGAAACTCGCACAGGGTGTTTCGGTGAGCATGCCAAGTTTAGACGACGATGCGGATGGAAATCAACCGTCAAGTAGTGATCAGGTGCCGATGGACCTGGAAGACATTCAGAATGCGGCCGAAAGTGGTCAAATTAAATTTATATTGGACGAAAATGGTCAAATGATGCAATCGAATATCCACATTCTAACCACCGATGCGGATAGTAATCAAATTTTTGTGCAAGATAGCGTTTCAGTTCCAACAGCTATTGCAAAATGTTAGCGTATTAGAAGCGTCGAACGGTGATGGAAAAAAATCGATGGATGTGAGAGACAATAAGACCGAAGATAATGTAACAAGCACCTCCGACGACGAAATTAGTTTCTACCATCCAAATTCCAATGGTAACAGCGGTAGTTCTGGCGGGAATGGTGATAAGGGTGATGCCGCTTATGTTAGGATCACTGATGATCACAATGAATGCGTAAAAATTGGTTTGTTTAGATCGGAGATAAGAAGAATAGATACAAAAATGACACAAGTTCTTGAAAAATGTGTAACAAAGGATTACTTTGATAATCAGATGGGAATGTTTATGGATGAGCTTGACAATCTGATAAAAACAATTATGACGAGACTTAATGAAATAAAAAGAGTATATATAATGAATGATATTCAATAAACATTCAACCATATGAGAGGATAGAAAAAAATTCTTAGTTTTCAATGCTTGCACCCAACTTTCAGTTGTCATTTGAACAAAAAACAATCTGATTTCCACATTAAACAACCAACACCATTTCATTAATACGCATTCAATGGTCAACAACTGTAAATAAGTCTGAAATGAATTCAAATAAAAGAAGACTGTTCTTTGTGGCGTCTTTTTTCTTACTTGGTAGAATAAGATTTTTGGCTGGTAAATGCTTTCATTTTTCTACACTTAATTTTCTTCATGACCTAAGTTACTTTTCTTGACCATTTGATTTTGCCCAATTTTTCGAAACGACTAATGAAATCAAATATTCTAACGAAACAAAAAAAAAAACAAAAAAAATTTACTTTCCTTTCATTTTATCGGATTTTTGTTTGTTTCAAAACATGTGTGTATCGTCAAAATTGTCGTCACATTTAAAAATTGGAGCGAAAAGTGGCGCTATCTACGAACCAATTCAAAACATATAAATAGTATGCTCGTTTGTTAGCTGTCAAAATACTTGTCATAAGTCATACACCGTCGATATTTATGTAACGAGGCGCAAAGTGAGTTTTGGAAGAAGAAAAATAATCTTGTTCTTCAAGGGTGTACATACATAACATAAATAATATAAACAATCCAGCCCATTTGGCTGATTGACACATTTATTAGATACGGTGACCGTGCGTAGTGTTCGGTTGCACCAAAATAATCAAGTGTTCTCTAAATCAAATAAGCTGTGTTTACTGCAATAGAATTTAGTGTTGTGTTGTAATAAGCGATTTGGTTTTGCAAAATAGAAGAAAATGGTTTTAGTATCGATGCTTCGACAGACAGCTGCCAAGCGAATTCCTCTGATAAAATTCCGGCGTCAACGGGAAGAAGAAGTGGTTGCTGCTCGGAGTGGTTCGTTACAAAGTGGTGATGCAAAAGGAAAATCATCATCACCAGCTGCGGTATGTTTACCTATCTGTAGTGTGTTAACGAACAAAAAAAAGCAGAGAGAAAATGATGTGCTAAATATTGCACCTTCACAACCTGTTGAACTGACCCATAAACATACATCTCTTTTTACAGGCAATTAGCTTACCAACTATCGAAGATTGGCAATTGCCAAACCGATATCGTAGAAAACCATTGGACGCATTCGAAATCGAGTACATCAATCGAGGCGGTCCAGCTTAAGTCCATCAACCGAAATCGTTGCCAGAAGAATCCATATAATCTTATTAGGTGTTGCAAAACGAGTTAATTTTACACGAGAAAACGCAGAGCAAATCGAAACGGAAAAAATATGCACAGATAAAATAAACGAAACATACTTAACATAAATAGAATAATGAATAAAAATGTATCTCGTTAGAAATCCACCGGTTGTTTTAATATCTCAATGCTAAGCAAATATTTCCGTTTCATTGTCTTGTTTATTGAATAGTTCAGATTTAACCACAGATTTTATTTAGGAAAAAAAGAAGGTCAGAAACATAAAATTCCTTTTTGTTGGTTTTTCAATAAATTAAACAGTTAATTTGCTGGACACTTTTGAAGCTTTACAATTCAAATTCGAAAATCAAATGGAAGAAAACATAGTTTTGCTTGCTGTTATTATTGTTGTCGTAAATCTCTACTCCACGCAACGATAAGTGCATTTCGATGCCTTAATACTCAATTTAAATAAACAAAAAAAAATTGCTTAAGCATGTTCCATTCACAACTTTAATGTTCTTCTTCGTAGCAAAGATCTTTACAAAATTTCCAAATCACAATGCCGCACTTCGGGGAATTTTTTCTGTGGAAAAACGAAAAGCATAAACATTTGAATGGATTCAAACATTAAAATTTCCACTTTAATTTTAATCAAAATTGTCATTTCGCATTGCTTACCCTCAATTTGATTTCAATTCGATCGATTTCCCCGCCCATTAGATCAACAATATTCTCGCCATGTTTCAGAATAAACGCTTCTAGCTCGTCTACTGTCGTAAAAGTTTTCACTTCCTACAAATAACCGAAGAAAATTGTCATTCAAATCAAAACCGTTTAGCGACATTTGAATATTTGTCTCACCTGAAGAAGTTGATTTAAGTCCTGCTTTTCTAAATAATATCTAGTGAGCTCTCTGCCATCAAAATCGAGTTCAGCCTACAGAGATAACAAAATGCCAAAATTCATTTCATTTATTCATATGATTTTGTCTCGAAATCATTTACGAAGCAACCTACCTTATACCGCACTAATGAACTGCCCATATCGATACCTTTCACATCATGAATAGCTCGAATCATAATGTCTTTTTCCAGCTCAGCATTGATCTTATCCAATTGTTCGGCCGGTATTGATCTGTTAAAAGCAAAGAAAATCCATTGTTAATCGGAAGTTCAATTAAATTTCATTTCTCACAGACGAATCTTATGTAATTTGCACATAAAATTTGGCAAAATGTATGAATATAGTGTAAAATGTGAATTTTCTTTGCATTCTGGATATGAGTGCGCGATATTTCCGAGTAATTTTACACCGAATCTAAATGCACACAAATTTCCTTAATTCATTCAAGTGTATACGATCGAAGGGCAACTCATAAAAAAGTAGCCGTCGGAGTGCACGTTCTGTTCACGTTACGTTAAGGCGTACACATACAACTGCGTTAACGTGAAAGGAGTACAGCAATAAATCGTGTGCTGTGATACAATATATCGCTGTACTCCTTTTGCGTTAACGCCGTTGTATTCGTCGTGCACTCCGACGGCTACTTTCCCATGAGAATAGCAAAAATTTGATCGAATTGCTCAATATCTCGATATAAAAATCATACGGACCGTCCAACAAGTGCTTGGACATTTGTTGAGATGATGAATGACGCCACACCACCAAGCATACATCCGACTAGTAATGAACCGACGGCATCGGGTGTGGACGATCCCGTGTATGTTGACAGGCCCATGCAGCTGGCGGCAAGTATGACACTGGCCACAGCGGCAGCATCTTCAAATAATACTACATTTACTGATGGATCTTCACCGCGCATCACATATTCACGAAATGACATATTTGCCAATTTGGCCGATTGTCGAATCGAATTTACGGCAACCAAAAGTGTGGCGCCTTCGGATAACAGTGAACCGCCTAGAATGCAAAATGCCCAGAAGAAATCTTCGACGGGTACGGTTGTTAATAAGCCCATGATTCCATGATAAAACGATAGGCCAGTGCCCACGCAAAAGATTCCAACGCCAGATATTAACGACGATACATATTTCATATTTGTGTAACCATAGGGATGATCCGGATCAGCTGTCTGTAAACAAGAAACAGAAATGGAAGAGGTATTCAACCAGATAAGGTTATTATTTCTTGAATGAATAATTTCTTGAATTCTACAAATGAAGGTCATTGCTTTTTTGTCTGTCATCAAACCGCTTTACCTGTGTTGATTTATGAATTCCATACGCTAAAATTAACTGATTTGTTGTGTCGGCCAACGAGTGTATGCACTCAGCAAACATACTATGTGATCCGGTGTACAGCCATGCAAATAATTTGAAAACGGTATTTACGGCATTTCTGGAGAAAAACGAATCAAATCGAAATTGTTAGCAGAGGAAAAGTAAAGAAATTGAGATAAAATCATATGACTCTGGAGGATGTGTGAATTTTCATCGAGGGGAACACAATCGTAACTTACATAACAATAGCGGTTACAACTACTCGACCGGATCGGCCTCTTAGACCTGGTTCGATATTGACTGTCGTTCTATGGTCCATTTCTCTGCGATAATCTCTGAGTCGTCGTTTTACCGTAAAAATATCTTCAGAAATACCCAGCGCCATGAATGAAAATATTCACCAAATCGATAAAAAAAAGGAAAAAACGTGAAAAATTTCAATAAATCGAACAAAAAAAAATGCCAACACCTTTATTGTTCTAACAAATACTCACTTTGTTGATGTTGCTTCCGTTCGATTTCACGTTTCAAACATTCGCGCAGAAGACTTTCACGTGAGCCCCATACTTCGATTGCTTTGGCTTCAACATCTTTGCGCCAGTATACAATAATTGGTGGTTCTTGTTCATATGGTGAACGTCGTTTTGTTTTCGGTAACGATTCCAAATCGGACATTTTCAGTAGAAAATCGGATATTGCACGTGCTGGCGTTATAAAATTTCGTTCAAGCGATGATCGACTAAAGTCAACACGTTCTCGTCGTTCCGGTTTTGATGTTGCAGCTGCCGATGCTCGATCGGCGCCAACACCACCAGCACTATCACCCGGCGATGCCTTTGATTTTGACTCATTTTTCTTGGTTATTTGTTCTAACACAATGTTATCGAGTTTATCGTCTTTTGTGGTTGCGTGCACCAGAAGCGTTCCATTTTTCGTGAGAAGTTCAATGGATTTTGGTTGCTGTGCGGATGTCAATTGATTTGGTGCTAAATTGGCTAATGCTTTTTGTGGCTCTTTTTTCATATCTTCAACGGCCGATACAATTAATTTGCCCGCTTTGGTTGTCACTTCCAACGGACTCTTTTCCAGTGATGCTTCAATTTTACCGTGCTTTGACACCCCAGTTCCAGACAATTTTATCACTTCACTTGACTCATTTGATTTTGGGATCGGCTTTGAACCCTACGAATTAGCAAGAGACAAATTGACAAATGAATGAATGAAATATAGACTCGTGCCTACTGTCTTCTGCTGGCACAAAAAAAAACTCCACACTTGAAAATCAATCGAAAAAGGTAGGAAAAAACACAAATTGCCAATTTTTCCAATCATCCATACCATTTGATCATCATTTTTGTTACAGCCATTGATTTGTGATGTCGAGAAACGTTGCAAGTTACCGAAAATTGTATCGAATCGTCTATTGGTTAAAAGTAATTCGCCAAATATGGTTTTCATGTGTTCATTGCGGTGGAGGGCTTTGGTCAGAATCTGAATAAGAAATAAAAATTCAGCCAAATCATGTCATTAATTGGAGAATGTTTGCGGTGGTGACGGAACAAAAAAAAACCCACTCCAAATCGAGCCTAATTTGTCAAGCGATGCACACAAATGTGACAAGTCATTGTTTTCACATCATAGAATAGCGGAAAAATAGGTCATATCATCAGGCACTAATGCCTGACACGCTCAAAATAAACTCAGACAAAATTCGATTAGCTTGGCGAGCTGGTGGGGCCACCAGTGGAACTTACGCTTTTTCGAGTAATATTGTGATAATCCCGAATGATGTACAGCTGTCGACCGTTATTGATTGCCAGCCGTATGATGTCGTGTTTGAATATCATCATGGTTGGTGTTGTTGTTTTTGTTTAATCTAGTCGGGAGGGATAAAATATTCAGAAGAGAAAAAAAAAACATTCGCATCACAAAACTGTCCACACATGATTGCAATTGTATCGATTGGGTGGCTGACAACGACAAGGCAACGCGACAGCAGCAACGATGGTGGTAAAAACTTACGTGTTAAATTCAGTAAATTGGAATAATTTTCGATAATGTGCATAGTTTCTCCGATCACATTGATGAATCGCGCTACGTGCATTTGATATGTGCGATAGCCGATAGTGAATTGTTATGATGTTGTTTGCTGTTTGATGTTTTGAAGATTCTTCTACGGTGTAGCGCAATCCATTCTTTGTAAAATTGTGTATCAATGTAACAAATGACGTTTCCTGCACGGTATTTTTTTTCTCTCCTTATTAACCGTTCCTACTACTCACTTGTTATTTATCTTTTTTCTATTCAATTCGATTATATATATAGTATATATTGTGGGTTTTTCTTTCTATTTGGTCGAATGCACGATCTGTCAAACTACTACTTTCATAAACAATATATCGTTCCATCTGCTTGACATTTGTCATTAGCTGCAACTTAACACCGGTTGAAAGTCCGCTTTTAAAAAAAAGTATTCAACGAGAAATGAGAGAAAGATATACATTTATTTTTCTTCTCTTTTTTTTAGTATCGTGATAATTGAATGAACACCTTGATTTGTTGGGGGAAAAAATCTATTTGAATCCATAATTTGGAAAGAGATTGATTTATTGAGAAAGTTGTGTGTGCAAAGTGTCGAACCGGCAAATTTCAAGTGTGGTCTTGATTTAAACGTTCTCTCTTTCGAAATTGACAGCTCAGTCGCGTGTAGTGCTCAAATCTGTAGCAAAATAAAGAAAGTCGATTTGTGTTTCGTTTTGCGCTGCACAATACAACATTTTCGTTTGAAGTTTATTTTTTGTTGTTGTTTTTAGTTTAAGAATCCATTCCGTGACCAAATCATTCGAAGAGAATTTATCAAGTTAGTCGTAAATTGTAAGAAAATTTCGCGTGAAAAATGTCTGGATTTTCATTTGGAACGCCACAACCAGCAGCGGGCACAGGTTTTGCATTTGGCGCTTCAAACACACAACCAGCTGTCGCTTCACAGGCACCCCCATCGTTTGGTTTTGGAACACCAGCAGTCACAGCCATTCCAACGCTGGGAGCGACTCCACAGCTTGGCACAACACCAACACTTGGATCATTCGGAACACCAACACTTGGTGCTCCGGCAGCAACAGCAGCAGTAGCACCAACAGCATCAGCAGCCGCCACTGGAATAACATTTGGTACCAGTGCACCACCGTACGGAGCAACTCAACAGTCAACATCAGCTGCCGCACCATCGTTCAGCTTTTCAACGGTGACGAGGTAATTTTTTTCAATGGAGTTTAAAAGGAGTCAATGGTTCGGAAATTCAGTGATTATTCAGGGCATTGAAATACGAATAATGATAAAATGACTGAAATTTACCTAAAAAGGAAGAGAATCGTACAAATTCAAAATATACGCTTAGATTATTGCTGAGTGATTTTCGTCACATTACGAAATTGGTTGATTAAATGTTTTCTTTTTAGCAATGACAATGCAACCCATTTATAAAACCTATTTGTGACCATTTGATTAATGTTCAATATTTGAATCCATACACACATAGTGCACCAACGCTTGGTTTGTCATTCGGTACACCAGTGACAGCAACAACGGCCGCATCACAAGCACCGACTCTAGGAGCATCAACGTCGGCAGTGGCAACGACGACGGCGGCGGCGCAAAACGTTGCCCCAGCATTTGGTGGATTTGGTGCGAGTGCTGCAACTACATCACCATGGATCGGCGGTGGATTTTGTTCAACAACGACAACAACAACCGCAACAGTATCAAATAGGTAAAACCAATCATCATTAGATCCAGTCCATTGAACATATTTGCTATAATTTATAATTTATAACTTGGGAATTGCCATTTTCTCTCTTTTTCACCCCCACCTTTCCCCACCTCTCTCTCTCTCTCTCTCTCTCTCTCTTTTTTTTTTATCTCGCCTTATTCTTTAGCAGCAGTACACAGAAAATTGGTTTGGGAGGTGTCGACATAAATGCGGCCCAACCGAAAACGATTGAGGGTCAAACGGATAGTGCCAAAGTGAAGGAAAATCAATTGCCGCAGGAAATAATTGCAACAGTTGATTCGCTAAAAGCGTATACCAATCAACAAAAAACAATCGGTTCGGATATTGTGCGTGCATCATCGCGTAAAATCACAAATGTCAACAGTGAATTGGACACATTGAATTGGGCATTAGCCGAGATTCATTCAAATGTCGAATCGAATTTTGCCGCAATCAAGCAATTACGTGCGGAAACAAATAAAGCGCGTCAAGAGGCTGAAATTGCACAGCGAACCCATGAAACACCGGCCGGTTTACAATTTGAAAATACCGCACCGCTACAATACTTTATGGAATTGGTGCAAAAATTCGAATCCGATATGCTAACCATACGTAAGCAGCTCGAATTAACCGAAACCCACATACGATCACTGACCAATCCGCAAACATTTACGGCTGACGATTTAAAAAAAGGACTACAGCAAATCCATGAATGCTTCGTTGCGTTGGCCGGCCGTTTACAAGAGACTCATCGTGCGGTCGAAACACAAAACGAGCAATTCATCAATTTGATGAAACATCGCGGTCGCGATAAGGTGAATATTTACGATGGTGGTAATAATAGCGCAGCTGATGGATCACAACCGATCATCCAACAAATTGCATCCGGATGCCGAGCAATTATACCGAATGTTGCATGCGGCCCAACGCCATTCTCATCATTTCGCAACGAACCAGCACACGGTATGTTCCGAAATTCCGCCGATCGAAAAGAATTTCCCACACAAAAATTCTGAGGAAAATCAATTTGAAACACAAAAATATAGACAAAAAAATAACATATTTCAAATTTTGTACGATTAAATACTTACTTACGTTGTTGTGAATAAAGCGAACTCATTGATTCCATTTAACATGATGCGGCCCTATTATTTTACATGTTCAAGTCGGCATATTTTGAGTACAACCTACTTTTTTGTTGTTGCTGTTAATGCTGCAGAAAATATGTATGTTGTCCATAGAATGCACTCTTGTTTTCTTAATCTTCTTCTTCTACTACTTCTTTTCCTTCAAAGTTGACATGAATTTTGTTGTTCCAAATAAAAAGACAATACATTCATTCTTATATTGTTGTTATTGTATTTGCTCGTTACCGGTCATCAAATAGAATTACATGTTTTTTTTTGATCTAACACATTTACATCCATTTTACAGTAAAACCATACAGCTTTCACTTGATCAATTTTGTTACATGCTATTGAATCCCATGTCAACTATTCATTCATAATTTAATTTTTTCCTCGGCTCCGTTTTCATTTTTTCCACATTTCCAGAGATTGTCATAACGGAATAAATTTTAATTTTAAATTTGGGATGGATAAAGGGTACTTTTGTGTGATGTCGTTTAGGGTTTGGGTTTTTGGGATTATAAATGGGTTTTGAATAAATTTTCAATTTGGTAGCTAGAATAAATTTCATATTTTTTGTTGTTGTTGTTACATTGTTTCAGTCATTTAAATTTGGAGAAATTGTTTATGTCAAAGCTGTATTATTTTTTTCTTTTAAATACTAAATATACAATTACTTTTGGTTTTGGTTGGGCTGAGGAAATCTCATAAATATATATACATATATATTTGGTTTAATTCTGTTAAAAATACATATTTTTTCAGTAAATATTATTATTATTTTGGTTTGTTCTTACAATTGATTTAAATAATGTTATTGTTGTTGTTTTTTTGGTTCAAGTTAATTTTGATTATGTATTTTGGACTTTGAAATTGTTAGAAAAGAGTAAAAATTCAGTAAATAGAGATGTCTAAATAGTGTTTTGATCGCAATTTACAAATTGCCATTTAAATTCCACATTAAATATACGATAGATAGAGGAAGTAACTAAATAAAGAAGAGCTTATGAGAAATGCAATTGGATGCCCGAGCACAGCTAGCATCGAACCCAACCAATTTTATGCATTCAGTTATATTTTTTCTTCTTCTTCTTCTTCTTCTTTTATCCCATTTAACTCACTCCTAACACCGTTACGTATATTACATTAAGACTTGTTTATTCATAAAGATAAGATTCTAAAAGAGGTTGTTGATTTGCTGGCATTGGTGTGTATGGCTTTTTCTCTTGCTTCTTCTCTTCGAGACGAGCATCGTTTGTTCGAAAACGAGCACTTTTTGGTTTGCTCGATGTGAAAAACCGATTGAGCAGAAAGAACACACATCTGATGAGCAACAACGATCCATTCTTTTGTGTGCTTTTTCACGCTATACGACTTTGTGTATGTGTGATATATTATATGTATATTCCCAAATGTGCGTGTTCGTTTTGATGCCCCGCGCGCATTATTCATTATTATTATTATGAAATTTTTTGTTTGTTCTAGTTTTGAGATTATTTAATTAATCGCTACGGTGATAGATGACAAGAAGAACATTTTTTTTCCATGAAATATGGATACAAAATTTTTGGCATGTGAGAGAAAGACCTGAACATCGACAATGCGCATATTTTCTGTACGATGATGTATATATGTGATGCGAATAGGATTCATCTCACGATGACATTATAATTTCAATTTTTATTTTTCGCTATACGAAACAGGTCCATTAATAAAACTTAAGTGTTCTTTTTTTCGGAGCTTTTCTTGTAGTTTTTTTTTCTGTTCATTTTGCACACAACGATGTTCATATTGATGTGTGTATCGCAGACGAATATTTTTTATTTTGGTTTATTGTTTGAATGGCATAATTTTTTTTTGCAATCGATTGCAATCGAATTAAACATATTTTAATACAATATTGGAATTGTTGTCATAGCTGACATTAAATGATGTTGCATGTTTAAAATTTGCAATTCGATTGAGAAAAAGCATTTGTCTATGTTCCCGCCATTGTTGGCCCAATATAATTGGGGAATTCATCTGTCTGTTTTGAATTGGTAAGCCTTTTTTTATGTGGACACAGAAGAATAAATTTGGATTTCCTACTTACGATTATCCATCTACAGTATAAATATATTTAAATGTCATCAGTTTTGAGATATAATTTTTTTTTTGTTTTACTTTCAAAGATTACAAATATATAGTATCAAACACATTTGATTCTCTCACTATTTTGTATCCCACGTACAAGAAGAGAAAAACACGTCCGGCACTCGAAAATAAGTATATATTGAGGGGGGGAAAAAACCCGCGAAACATTTGTCGAATTGCAATGTTTTTGTGTATGTGCTGAGCATGTATGCTCAATGTTCAATGTTCAATTTCAATTCACAGTCACAGTCTCCCACACAAAATCATTATGCTTGGTTGTCAAGTGCAGTGTCGTCGTTTACGAGCTGCCCATTCAATTCAAAGCAAATGAGCGACTTTTACTCTTTTACCCATTCGCTTTTAAGTTTGAACAGATTTCAGACACGAGCCACATAGCTCAATATACTTGGTGTTTTCTTGTATACAATATACTTTTTTTTATCATTATTCATTTTTTTGCTTTTTATTTTAATTGCGTTAAGTAAATAATTTTTATTTTGTGCAAATATAAATTATTTTGATTTTTGGTTTGCTGCGTTTTGGCAAAAGCGCACTTCACGCACAATCATTTCTTCTTTACGTAAATATACTGATTAATTACTTTTTTCACATAGTTTTTTTTTTGTTCTGTTGCTTCTTCTTGTAAATACCACCTACACATACATACACGTTTGTTTGTTTTATCTAGTTTTTGTGAACGGAATAGAGGATGAGAGATAGTGAGAGTGAGATGACAACGAGATCGTAGATGGAAAATTGGAAATTCCACTTGAATTAATGGGAGGAATAATGAGAAACACAGGAAACACCAGAGTTCAGAGTGTGTTTCTCCCACTCGGTATTTCTCACTCACTCTCTCTCTCTCTCTCTCTCTCTCTCTATCCATCTGCCGTTCACTCATCGTCATCATTAAGCAAGTTGTAATTGAAATTGAAAATAATAAGCGAATTATTTGCCATTCATTATTATTGTCGATGAAGGAAAATTAGAAGCGCATTGAATTCCTTTTATTGATAGATGTAATTAAGTTCAATGGTAAATCTTTCAAAAGCAATTTGAAGCTGTGAGGCGAAATTGTTTAACTGGTTTCATCATTTACCGATACCAGTTGAATGTGTGGTGGTTTGACGGTGAATCGTTATAATTTCATACGAAAGGCCGAATTCAGCGCGAAGGAAATGTGGACATTGTTTGAGGAAATGAGAGTGATTTTGTGCTTCATTTTTTCCCCGTCTTTTTCTGCTTCTTCTCCGTAATATCATTGAGGAATCGAACGATTCAATTGAATTGCGCAATAAATTTTCGCGTATGGTTGATGGAATGGATGCAGGGGGTGAGGAGTTGATGATCTTGAAACCGGATAGAATGAAATGTGAGCGAATGGCGCGCGCGAGGATGGGGATGTATGTGTGTGCTTCATCATTTTATTTATTTATTTTTCGCTTCGGATTTGATTTTCTTTAAAATGTCTCGCTTCGTCAATGCAAATATAAAAATCTACAGGGACTAGCCATGGGGAGTGAATGTTGTTTGTTTTGCTTTGTTTTGCTTTCTTGCATGTGTCTTTTGTGTTAAATATTCTCTTAAGATAAAATGCATGAATTACGCTTGCCTCTCGAGTTGCGCGCCTGAATTTGTTGTAAATGTTGCAACTGCAGCGGTGATGGTACATGAACAGTTGATGGCGGACAACTGCCCGGTTGACTGTGCATCGATGAACCGGAACCACTCTGGTTTGGGGGCAACGATTGGCGACGACTATGGTTTTTCCGTAACGTTGGACTAAGTTTGTATGCAAGCTTCGCTTGGAGTAAAAGCTCCTTGAAAATCTATTGTGCAATCGAATGTGTGTGAGAGAGAGAGAGAGAGAGAAAGAGAGAAAGAGAGCGAGGCGGAGAAAGAACAAAAAAGAAATGAAAGGATATGGAAGGAAATAGTTAGCAATTGTTGCGATGATGATGATGATGATGATGTTGTTGTTACTGCTTGTTATTATGACACAATAGTACGATGATGTCAGGTAATCATTAATGAAATGAACACGCAAAATCACAAAATGAATTGTTCAAGAAATTGAATGGGCAATTTTCCACAATACCTTGTTAACATTCTCATTTTCCTTGGCTGAAGCCTCGACAAAACCATTTTCCCAGTCCACACTAACTACGGATTCCGTTGTATAAGAGTCAACCTGTGAATGAAACGGTAGAAAAGAGAGGGAGAGAGAGAGGGAGAGAGAGTGAGAGAGGGAGGCGGCAGGTTAGCACAACCGGATTTAAAACTTCGATTTCGATAGAGAAACATATAACGACTGTGCTCTAAAAACATAGTTTATCGTCTCCTATAAAACTTTAAACAAAAGCATTAATAAATTTGAATAGAGTCATTGTCAAGCATTCGACAATCCTCTTAACGAATATGACACACAGAGACGAGCGAACACATAAATGCTGAGCAAACAATAAAAAAAAATCATAAGACGAACTATCGAGCAGACGGGGTTGTTAAAGTGAATAGAGCAGTAAGAGAATTTGAGTGTGTTTGTACAAAACTTACCTCCCTAGTTTCCGAATCAGCTAAATCGATCTTGTTTCCTACCACCACTATTGGTATAGTGTTTGTTTGCCTCACTTTATGAATATCATCTCGTATTCGACGCACTTCTTCGAATGTTTCGGCATTAGTGACATCATAAACTAATATAAATGCATCTCCACGTTGCAATGATAAATTGCGCATTGCTGGAAACTGTAAATGCGAGTGTATATTCCGAGAACACATTTTTCACGTACGCGCGAACCAACGAACGAAAAAGAAAAATAGAAAACACAGCACAACATGAGTAGAGTGAATGTCAGCGCCAACGCCGGAATGAGTGAGCGATCGTCGTGCAAACGATGTGAACATATCGGTAGAAAGGAAGAGAGAGAGAGAGAGAGAGAGAGAGAGAAAGGGCAAAAAAAGAGACAGAAATATACCAATTCAGTAAAAATTAGATTTCTCGTTTCAGATACATACGCTGCACATGACTCTCATAATTCAATAAATTTGATAAATTCAATAAAATGTAAGTATAAAATTTTATGCTTGGTACGTCCTTGGCTTATAGTGTCCTGATGTCACATCACATCGCACCATCGTCATAATGCCATGATTTAAAACACACCGTTTTCCATTTCTCTATTCATTGTCGGCGATGTTTTTGCTGCTGCTGCTGCTGCTGCTGCTGTTACTGGTGCTGTGGCTTTGGCTGCAAATCTTTCTGCGATAGTGGTGTGGTAATGCATTTGAATCAAAAGCAGCGCACTATTCCGTGCATTAATGCAAACCACAAATCACTGGTTTTCCACTAGTCTTTTTTTTCTTCATTCTTTTTGTAAAAGCGCAACCAAAGACACACAAACACACACACACCGCAGCACATACCAAACAAATGCATGGCATATAAGCCGATATATGTTTATATCGTCTTTGCTATTGTCATCGCCGAGATAAGATAAAAGAAAATCAATAATTCTAATTAGTCATTTCCATACTAACCTCATTCTTGCCAGATGTATCTAAAATTTCTAGTTTAACTTTGACACCGGCCAGTGTATATGTACCGAAATTGGTCTGTTCGCTGGTGGCTCTGTGCTTTAATGGAAAGTCTTTTTCCAAGAATCGACAAATCAATGCGGTTTTACCGACCTTTTCCGGGCCCAACACCACAATGCGGTAGGGTTCCTCACGTTTGGCCGCGCTTTCAATGATGGCCGCATCGATTTCATGTCGATCAAATCTGCCGATGGAAGAAAAAACAATACGAATTGACAATCTGGAGGTTTTAAAAATAATTCATTTACGCAGTAGTTCGTCTCCTTCATTGCTTGCTCTTTCAAACCACAACACACATGAACTGCTGAGAATGTTCGTTAGACGTGTTTCGATGCGTAGTTAAATGTGGAACTTGGAAAAAGTTTTACGAAAAATCGGGACAATTGTTGTTGTAATCACGGCTTAAATACCGTGAAAAAATTATCTGGAATTGTCACTTTTGCGTATAACTTTTTTAAGATTGACATTTAACAATAAATGGAGGCACATCGAACGAATATGCTCAGCAGTTCATATACACACATGTATCAAACCGCATTTATTTATAACCATGCTACTTTTTTGCTCAATCAAAATTGCTTCGACTCGCACTCAAATATTCCGAACATCAGACGATTGTGATGATTTTCATTGGGATCGTTGTTGGTATGCAACGTTCACAAAATATGCCCAACCATTTCCATTTTCATTTCTTCATTCGAATCGAACCAAACCGAACCGAGCGATTCAAAAGCCCAGATTGTTCAATCAAACATAAACAAACGAACGAACGACGGAACAAACGATGGAAAACGGCAAAAGTGAATGTACGTCGGAATAAAGAATTTGAAGAATTTCCATAAAATTAGCTGGAAATGCATGAGACTCGATAAATAGAGAGATGGAATTTCTTTTTGTATGTTATGTTGTGGCGGCAGTTGTTGTTGGTATTCCTGAAGAATGGGGACAATCTATGGCGTACGCCAAACCACCGATAGATAATAGATAAAAGGCCAAGACAAAAAACATACATAAACACACACATACACACACACACACAATACCAAACAGCATATAATTATGATTACTCACTTATCACGCTTCGGTTTATCGTCGGCATTGTCATCCTTCATAAATGAAGGTTGCAAACTGAACCGTCGTCTTAAATGTTTTCCCATCATATTAATGTAATTGTATTCGTACGTATGGCCTACGCGATTCCGATAAATAAATTTACTTTGGGTGATATGACTTATTGCTTGGATGCTTGATGCTTTTGTTTACGTCTGTATGAACTCTTGATGATGTAATTCACTGAATTTTCAATTGGCTATTTTCCAATTGGCGTTTTTCTTTTCTCTGTTGTTATTATCTTCCCTCCGTGTTCGGTGTCTTCTCGTTGCTCGTCTTTGTCGTCGTCCACACGGCTCAAGACTCACTTACACTCTCACTCGCTCTCTCTCTCTCTCTCTCTCGCTCGCTCGCTCACTTACTTTCTTCCACTGTCTCAGATCATGCTCTTACGTTTGGTTCGTTCAATACTTGGATTCAGAGCTGCTATCTGCATTTCACAACAACCCCCCGAGATAGAAAAAAAATATAAGTAAAGAGAAAAAGAGACGGAAAAAAATGACAAGAAAAAGAAATATTTATTATTAACACTTGACTGAATCTGAATAATTTGTGTTCGTTGTTGATGATATTTTGAATTCGGAATATGTTTGCATTTGAATAATCGCTATGCCAATGGTTTCTTTCTCCCTCTCACTCTCACTCCCTTCATCGCACGACACCAAATGATTTGCTAATAATCGAAGAATCCGTGGGATCGCAGCCAATTTGCAAAATAATCTATAAGTTTAGACAAGTGCCCTGTCATTTTGAAGAAAAAATGTATAGTATTGATATAAAATATAATGGGGTTTGATGACGACTGCGAGAGGTAAGTCTACAAAATATGATGATTACACTTTTTACATCGCTTTTTTCACATCGTCGTCGTCGTCCTTTTTTTCCGTCTATACTTCTGTGATCAAAAGCGATGGCCCTTTTCACTTGGTATAATTTATATGTACCGTTGGAGAGCCTCGTGAATGCTGAATTGTGACACCGCAAAAACCGCAAATTTGCAATTATGCGACAAGCTCAACAACACAGTTTATGTCAGATCAGTTCGAGCTATTACACTGGAGTGTTCGATAATTTGCATTGCAAGGGTATGGGTTATCTCTGCCGCATTAAAATGTAAATTTGACGTCGTGTATTTTCTGGAATGCGAAACAACTGATGGAACGGAAAGAAATGGAGAGAGAGAGAGAGAGAGAGAGAGAGAGAGAGAGAGAAAAAAAAAGATGTCGCTTCTTCGTTTTTTTACCTTCTTTTTTGCTCACTCGCTAGCTCGTTCGCCTGATACACATTTATGTTGGCTTCGGGTTTTTTTATTCGCCTGTCGTTTTGGCTCTTGTGTACCATTATATTATTCTCACGCAGGGAAAACGCAATGCCATCCATCAATAAACCACGTCACCAACTGAAACTGACACACGAAAAGTGTGAATCTGTTTTTGAGCAACAGTAGTAACGAACGTTTTTTGTTCGTTCCAAATTCCTCGAATTACAGCACAGCCGAGATTTTTCAACAGAATAAATGGCGCACCCTTCACTGCGTTTCCTTGTGTGAGATTGATGTATTTGTGTCTGTGTGTTATTTATGCACTGACGGCACTGAGGCAATTTAATTATGGATCGGGTAATTTGAATATTTATCGAAATACAAAAGTTGATTGGAAAAAATGGGTACAAATCAGCAGCCATTCACAACAACACACATACACCCGCTCTCTTGCACAAACATGACTGTATCCTGTGTGTACTCTCGTATATATACGAGTACAGGAAGCCGATGAAAGCTTTTGCCTGGCCTGATATTTGAGTTTGCCATTAAGTGTTAACCTAACAAACATCGAAAGCAAAAAGATAGCTTAAGTAAACATTGATTATAATAGACCAGTTAGTGTTTCGGCACAAATATACAATCGATTCTTTTTTTGTTACTTCTCTACGGTTATTTCTGTGAAAAATTGATTTGTCATATGATTTGGAACCCGTCCGTGGCCCTAAATCAACATAATTTTTACCGCAGCCATTTTTTCTCTCTCTCTCTCTCTCTCTCTCTCTCTCTCTCTCTCTCTCTTCCTCTGGTTCTACGTCTTCGACAACTTTTTCATTCGTCGCATTCCATTCGTGCAAAAGGTGATGATGAATTCGTGGTCGGGGTTGTCATATGGATTGTACTCTTTTCCATTTCGAACAATTTTTTTTTCATTCGTTGCTGTTGTCTGGTTGTCATTTGGATCTTTTCATTCTTTTGGTCGGTTGTCGTTTGTGTTCGGGATATACCGTTTTGTGAGTGTCAGTGTCAACAGACAATAGAACTGACACATTTACCACAACGAAAATCGTTTGGAAAAGCCATAAGCCGACAATGAGCTCGAATATAATTGTAAAATTACGGTATTAGTGGCCATAACAACGTTGGATGATGGTGGTGAGTTCAGGGTAAAATATACCAAAAGAAGATAAATAACAACCATGGAAAATACAATAAAACCAACAAATCAGCACGACGACAATGACTGAATCAGTATTACTCACTGGGAAAAAAGTACGAATATATTTTTGAGTTTACAACTGTAGAAAGTTATTAGAAAAGCTCAGCAGAAACAACCGAACAAAACAAAACTAAGTTGAAAATACGATTTATTAGTTGGTACTTGGACTCTCTCACACGCACCGACCGATTTTCTTCTCTTTTTAGCACTACATGAAATGTAGAGCTACTAATCTGCTTTTTTTTCTAGATACTTTTTGAGTGATGAAACGAATTATGGTGAATTTGAATTGTATGCTCATATTTAATTTAAACCAAGGGCAGTAACGACGAATTAGTGCATAATATCTCAAAGCGCCAATCAAATTTTTATTATCAAATGTTGTTTAAAAATCACATTAACTTTTCGTATAATATTTTCTGTGTCTTGAACAGAATTAAAGTGATTTTAGATTCTATGCTCATATTATAATATATAATAAATAATTATTTATTTAATCTAAGCCAAAGGCAGTGTATTTCAAAAAAGAAATAAAATCAAGATCTTGTAATTCATTTTGCAAATTACTTCAAAGTTACTTTGATGAAATACATTTCATGTAGTGCGCCAAAAAATACTTTGTTGTGAAATAACAAAATAGATTAAGTAACTAAAAACTCAAGAACGCAGAGCGGAGCGAAGCGAAGCCCTGCGGTCTTGTTTTTCTATTGCTGCTGTTTGGTTTGAAAGGGGGAAAAGTTACTGTGTGACGGCCCGAATCCCGTTCAAACATTACAACATTAAAAAGAGAACCGAAAAATATGTACCCCAACCCCCATCACACATAAATTATGTGAGAAAACGCATCCAAACACATCTTCGAAGAATGGCTAAGCTTCACAATCCAAAGGAGATTTATTAACTTGAATGCTTAAATGTCAAGTTCATTACAATAATAAGTTCAAGTGGAGAGTCGAAAAGTGACAACACACAACCGAAAAAAAAATATATATCCAGTATAATGGATAAAAAGACGACGACAACGATGATGATGACAAGAAGAAGACAATCATAATACCAAAGTTGTGCTCCCTTCTCAGCATATTCACATCTAAACGCGATATCGTTCGACAGGATATCGCATTGTGTGTGTGCTGTATCCTTTCTACGCTTAAAAAAGGATGTAATTTTGAATAAGAAATACGGAAAATATACGAGCAACGCAAAGCGAGACATCGAGCGAGAAAGAGAGAGCGGACGAAGTATGGAACGATGTAAAAGTATAAGACAAAAAAAATCGAATCAAAAGCTCGTTATGTATAACCGTCCATAGCATAGTTCGATAGATGTTGTTGCATAGAAATGAACATTTTAGAAATATTGGCATCGCTCGTTATGTATAGTTTATGTGTTGCTTAGCTGTTGTTGCTTTTTTCACTTTCTTTTCTCTGTTGCTTTTGTATATTTGGATTGTGTGCTATGAGTGTGTGGCAAGCCGACGTTCGCAGCTCAGGGCGAAAACGACTACAAAAACAAAAAAGCCAAACAGAACGAACGCAAAGGAAGAGGAAAAAAGAGAAAAGCGAGCAAAAATTTTACACTTGAATTAAGTAGTAACGGAAGCGAGAAATTCATTTCCATGGTGCTTCGAGCTCGTTCTTTTGCGTTTTCTCTCTCTCTCTCTCTCTCTCTCTCTCTTTTTCTCTCGCTCGCTCTCTGTTTGTCTGTCCAACGTTGAGCAGAATGAGATCCATGTGCCTCTCTCATTTTCAAAACAATAAATATAAACAGACAAAATACCGTTTCAAAAGGATCATCAGGTTTGTGTGTCTATTGCTGCTCACACAGCCCATACACACAGACAGATTGCAACACACAAAAAAAGATAAATCGAATTGTTATTGTTCGGAATCTATTGAATCTTTGTTATCAGGTGTCATCGTCGTCTATGTAAGTCTTCTTTTCGATTCACTTTTTTCGCTTTCTTTCTGTACGAAAGTGAGCGAGGGAGAAAAAAAAATATCAACAAGCAGAAAAAAAATGCAGTCAATGAGATCGGATTAACTTACAGTTTCACAGCATTTTTTCGATCGTCGTCGTAGTCGTTATCTTCTTTGTATCTCTTTGAGAGCTTTTTTTCCTTATTTCACTTCTTCGTTTTCGTACACGCACACACGACACAAAATGCACCGAGCAACGAACGAAAAAGAAGAAATTGGCACTACACGACTACAACCAGAAAAAGCAAACAAAACAAGCCAAAAAAAGAAATGGGCAAACACTTTTGACAAATATTCAAATCTCAAGTCGCAAGTCTCAAATGAGTCGTTCTTTTAATTCCCACTGAATATATTTTCACACGAAATGCAACAAACGAAATTTGCAGCCACCAAGTGCTTCAGCTTCACCGTTAATGTTCGCTTTCCACTTTTGCGCTGGCGATATATTTCTCACTCACAAGAGCTTTACCTCGGTGTTGTGTGTCTGTTTTTTTTTTCGCTTTCTCTCTCCCTTCTTTTCGTTCGCTCTTCTCTTCGTTTTCTATTGCTGCTCAATTACTTATGCTATGTGTAGATTGTGACCACATCAAGGAGGCACACGCAACTGACAAAAACACACAACGTTACGCACAAATATCTGATCGCAAACTGTTTCGTTTCGACGAAAATGTGAAGACTGTTTGTTGTGGTATTTGATTTTGTGGTGTTGTTATCACACGAATTTGCAAACACGTTTCATCAACGGCCCGGGGAAAATGTTGGAGAGCTTTGGCAAAATCAAAACTCGGTTCGTTAGTACAGCTGCTGCTGCTGCTGTGTGCCAATCGCAATCGTATCGTATATCTCAAGCGTATTGTAGTCCACAGTGGACGAGTCGACACGTCGATGTGTAGTGTCGTCTCTGGCTCGCTGTATCAACGCGAGAGCATGGATAATGTGAGAAAGAGAGCAAAAGGTGCACAACGGCCAATAGAGAGAACATTTTCGGGAAACACACTCATTCGATACATGCAGTTCTTTTACCCGGTCTGCTGCTGTTGCTGTTGCTGTTGCTGCTGCTGTTGTTGATGATGGTACTGTTGCCTCTCTGTTACGAACGATATCGGCCGAACGATTACCTTTCTTCTCATTCGATTTCGGTCGAGTCCGCGCTTTTGCTCTCTATCGCACTCATCGCGTGTGCTAAGCGTGGCGCATTTAACGAAATTCCGTCGTTTGCCAAATCAACTTCATTCTATGTGTATTTAAGCTCCACCAGAGCCGTATAGAGAGACGCAATTGACGGTTTTGCGTCGTCAAAAATGCTACTCACTCGCTCACTTCGACCACAATGCCGTCGACAGTGAGTGTATGTGAGTGTATAGTATCCAGTGTGTAGCACAAGCTTTTCAGTCCTGCAATCTCAACATACATATACACTGTGTATGTTGTAATACGTGATATGCGTGTCTCTCTTATGTCCATACCAAAGCCGTTAGCTCTCGGTACAATTTTCCCTGATCTGCTCATCGTGGAAAAATATTGTGCTGAGATTGTGAAATTACAGAACGTTTCGCATTCGGCTGTCGCCTCCATACGGTTCGCATCCTCTCGTTCACATTCACTCCACTGGAAATGAGTCAATCGAAAGGAAAACATGAAAGAATCGAAGCGTTTAGCGGGGAAAAATGATGCTGTGCATATATTTTACGTCGTCGTCATGTTTCACTTGATGTTGGATATAGTATTTCTCTCGCAGTTCATTTCTCTCTCTCTCTCTCTCTCTCTCTCTCTCTCTCTCTCTCTCTCTCTCTCTTCCTCGTTCTCATACATTTATATTAGACTGTTCGTTGTTCGTTGCCTCGGTGGCCCGAACCGTTTACTCCTTTTTCGGATTTATGTTGATGTTGTGCAATGCAGAGAGCATTTGCAACTTTGCGAATTTCAACGATTTCTTCTCTGCATCCCCAGCATAAAGGAGCAGCTAGTAGCATTCAACGTTCAACAGCATCATCATCATAAGCAGATTGGGAGCAGCACCAGCAGCACACCATGGTGCGAATGTGAACACAATCACTTCTTCATTTTAGCTAGATAAATAAGCATGGCCCCGCTCTTCGACAACACCTCGTCAACATTGCATGCGTTCGCTGTTTTTTTTTTGCAACATATCCACTTCGTTTGCTCCATTTGCGAGCAAAGATTTATTGCGAGCGAGAGGCAAAGGACGCGCACGCCAGAGATTCTCATAAGGGAAAGAAAAATCATAAGGAAAATGAAGAAGAAGAAGAAGAAGAAGAAGAAGAAAGAAAGAAAGTAAGAAAGTAAGAAGCGAGAGTAAAATGATGATTTTTCATCACGTCTGCAACAGAAGCCTGTCGTCTTTTTTTTGGGCAATTCAAATGTAGAACTTTCTTCTATCTGGAGCAGGCAGCAGATAAGGGAAATTTGAATTTTCAATCGCACGAATATCGATCAAGAGTTTTTCTACGCTTCTCGTAGGCAAACGTAGTTTCATTTCAATCCAATTCAATTTGCGATCAAGTTTTTTTTCTTCGTCTTCTCTTCATTCGCTTTCATTGCTCATCTCTCGCACTTTTTTCGTATCCCCAATAAAAATCACGACGCATCACATCGAATTCAATGAAATGCGGTTCGTATTCGTATTCTTTTCATTCTCTTTTCGTTTTCTTCTCATGATTTGCGCTATTGGATTTTGAGGCAGTTTTCAAGCACATTCATTATTTAAATAAGAATGAAGAAAAAGACACAAAAAATGACTGGAAAAAATAGAGAGCGAGAACGAGAACCAATGCGAAGCTTTACACGACGAACGTTCGTGAATTGTTGCTAGTAATGCAAACACCAATCCAACACATATATATATTTATATATACATTTTAGAATACCTTGAGGAAGTAATTCGCGTTTATCAATATTTAAAATAGCGCATCGAACTGCTCTTTCCGTTCCGTTGTGCCCAAACCCATTTTTTCAATTAGTATGTGCGCCACAGCCAAATTGAATATGTGTAAAGCATGTGTGTTGGGCGCTTATTCACTCACTTTTTCACATCTATCTCGTCGCTATTCTCACTCACTTCCCGAACTTGAGACTCAATTCATATATACTGTGGTCGAAACGAGCACAAATTTTCATTCAATCTATGTTTTCTTTCTTCGTGAAATGTTATGCACGGTTTCGTTTTCTAACGAACTGCAAACAATTGCTTCGCTCGTTATTATTTTACCAAAGGGATGAAAATCATTTACATTTACATGCGACGAGTTGATAAAATGCCATTGAAAGAATTTCCTTTGTATTATATATCGTTGTATGTGTGTGTGTGTATGTGTTCTTTATTTTTTACGACTACTCTCTATCTAAGAAGTCTCTTTCAAAACAAACAACAACAACAACAAACAAAAAACTATACAATATGTATTTTGTGATTGTTTCTTCATCGTCTGCGACAAATCTCGCCTTTTGTCTTCGTTACGTACATGCATATATACCGTTTGAAATTTTTCGTTTGTTGCACAAACTTTTGTACAATAGGGACACATAAATCCCGCAAAAGTCTCACCGAAGGCCACACAAACACATACGCGCACACGCACACCATTTTTGCACTCTTTCCTTCTCCCTCTCCCTCTTCCTCTAACATTCACAAACGGATTTCATTGACTAAAATTCTATTTCGCAATTTAGTACAATGCAAAGACTCACATAAAAAAATATGCATGAAATTTATCGCGAAAACATCAAGTAGCAAAAGCAAATGTAAGACTTTTTAATTAAAAAAACAGACATTGGGCGGAAGCAGCTCAAGAAAATTTATCATTCGATCAAAAACGAACGATATAGAGAGAAACGAATAAAATAGAATGCAAAAGTAAAAGTGAATAGGAGTCAGTGAGAGAGAGAGAGAGAGAGAGAGAGAGAGAGAGAGAGAGAGGGAGAGAAGAACAAACCATCTGTGCATATGGTAATGTTGTAACGCCAATAAAAACTTTTACAATTTTCATGTGACGTAAATCAACGTTCATTCCATTGACAGTTTGAAAATCTGTTGAAGTTTTTAGGCAAGTTTACATGCATGAGAGTGAGCGTTTCACTTGATTTGAGTAATTTCGCAAATTCAATATTCAAAAGTTGTGTGATCAATGGTTGAAATAAGACATATATTAAGCGCTAATGTTAGAAAGAAAAATACTCAAGCGTTCACAGAAAGCGTATCGAAAACGAGTCGCACAAATGTGAAAGTTACCGATGATAAAATATGTAGCATGATTACGCGGAAAAAATGACGAAAAATCCATCAAAAACGGATATGTATAGTATACTTATGAGTGTGTGTGTGTGTGTGTGCAGAGCAGAACGGGTCGTTTCAATAAAGCGAAGCGAAATTTCATTTCCGTTGAAAATATCCGCCTCGGAAATCGAAACAAATTTCTGCTGAAAATTTAAAAAAGGAACGACATTCTAAAAATACGATTGATGCTTTACAACTAACTTGCTGGGAAAAAAGAGAAGAGGAGGTAAAAGAACGAATCGAGACAAAAATAAAATGAATCGAAATGAAAATGCCAGTAAATTTTTGTACCAAAAATAGATATCAATCAAATCATTTATTGTTCATCATTGTAAGAGGAATGTGAAATCGGTAGAAAAAGCTAATTGAAGAGGAAGAAATTGGTGTTAAGCACTTCGATTGTATGATAACAATATAGGCTCCGCGATTCGATGTGCTATTGCGGAACGACGGCGGATGTCGTTTGTTGAATAGGTTTTTTCTTCGTATGTAACATATCTAATTTCTTGATTCATTTGAGCGAATGAATGTGTGTATTGTGTGTGAATGAGTGAGTGCTGTCACCTCCATCCATCGTCGTTGTCGTCGCCGTCGTCGTCGCCATCGTCGTCACCTTCATATTCTTCTTCAACATTTTCGCTTATTTCGATTCGGCAAAGTAGCCGGCAAGAAGTTTTTCCAATTTTCGCGCGTCAACAGCAAATTTACGAATGCCATCTGACAGCTTATCCGTGGACATTTGATCTTCGTTCAACAGCCAACGGAATTTAGCTTCGTCGAGTTCCAATTTTTCGATTTTGGCCTTTTTCGCATCGACTGGATCTAATTGACGGGCAACTAGTGCATTGCTGACAGCCAAATCGGCCAACAATTTTGGGCTTATGGTAAGCAAATCACAACCAGCCAATGCAGTCACTTCGCCGGTATTACGGAACGATGCTCCCATCACAACCGTTTTATAATCGAACTTTTTGTAATAGTTGTAGATTTGTGTAACGGAAACAACGCCTGGATCTTCATTTGGTGCGTATTGTTTGGTATCTGTATTGGCAACGTGCCAATCCAAAATACGGCCCACAAATGGTGAGATCAATGTTACACCAGCCTCGGCACACGCAACAGCTTGTGCAAATGAAAACAGCAAAGTTAAATTGCAGTGGATGTTATGTTCCTTTTCCAAAGTCCTTTTTTTCCCATAGGTTTGTTTGTTAAAAAAATTCGATGAGGGAAAAAGACGAACAAAAACACAGAGAGGGAGAGAGGGAAAAAAGAAAAGAAAAACAACATGTTATTCGAAATAAATTTACCCGTTAAATTTCACGCAAATGGTAAAATAAAGAGAGGAGGAGGCGGTGGCGGTGGGGACAGAGATGAATAAAAAGACGATGACACTTACTTAGCTGCTTGGATTCCCTCCCACGTCGATGCCAATTTGATTAGAATTCGGTTGCGATCGATGCCCAACTCTTCGTACATTGCAATCAATTTCAACGCCTTGTCAATACTGGCTTGCTTATCGAACGATAGACGGGCATCCACCTCGGTTGATACACGGCCTGGTACAATTTTCAAGATTTCCACACCGAACAGCACAGACAAATAGTCGAAAGCCTCGGCGATTTTCTCGTCAACGGTTCTGCAAATATATAAAAAAAAAATAAAAATACAAGGCAAATGAGCGAACGAGAGCCGAATAGAAAATACCATCATGGTGAAATGTGAAAGAGAATCGAGAGGCAGGTTAATGAGATTTCTGAATTACAAATTACCAAATTCGTATGAATGTTTTCTCTCTCTCTCTCCCTCTCCCATTCGACTAAAATCACAAACCGAATGAAGCCACAGAAAAAAGCAAAACAAATAGAACGGCAATATTGAGAGATACTTACGTTCCTGTTTTGTTACCATGCTTAATGGCACGTTCGATGAGATGTTGATATTGCTCTTGTTGGGCGGCTGATAGAATCAACGATGGATTTGTGGTGGCATCGGTTGGCTTGTGCGCTTTCATAGCTATAAACGAAAAATGAAGGAGGAAAAAAAAACAAGTTGAAACCATCGAATTTATGGGGATTTCACATTTCGGTCATTAATTTATTTAATTGCTATCTACAACAACCAGAGAGAGAGAGAAAGAGAAAGAGAACAAAAAAAATGTATTCAGTTTGGTTTTAGTGAGTTAATGCGCTTTTTGTGCGGTATTGAGGGTGTCTTGATATTTCACAATTGACAAAAAAAAAATCCCACTGATACGCAAAACGATTGGCGTGAGAAAGGGAGCGAGCGCGAACGAACGAATGAAGTGATGTTCGCGCCAAACCAAAAGGACAAACGAACAGATTTAAGATTTACGCCGCCAAAATAGCCGACACACCGAGTGAAAGATGCCTGCGGATTGATTGTTCATTTTAAGCGTAACGGAAGTAATTAAGTGCTTTTGAGGCACGGGGATGGAGCTTTTATTTGCAATGCTCGTTAATAGCTTTATTCGTGGTAAATGCGGCGTGTACAATGTCTTTTTCGCATTTGCTTCATTCGTGTTTCTTTTTTCTGCATTGCCCATTTTCCCCATTATCCTGAGCATTCTGTGTGTGCTGTATGTCGATGTTATATTGATGTGATGTTTGCGTGCGCGTCCAACACTCTCTTTCTCCCTTCTTGCCTCTGTCGACGATCTCTATCTCTCTATCTATATCTGTGTCTGTTTGAGTCTATGTGCATATGTGTGGGTTGTGGTAGTAAACATTTTCGTAGCAAAAAGAAAGAAACAGAATTCGTTTTTCCTTCTACGCTTTTACTACGCTTTTCACTCTCCACTATTTACACATTTGCTATCTTATCATTGGCGTTAATATCTGGGTAAACCTTTCTCTTGTCGAATAGAAAATAGCATCGAATAGCATTAGTTGATGTTGGGTTTATGGGTGTTATAGCCCATTACTATGGATTTCTAATTAGAAAATTCTTTCTTATCTTGAATACAGCCGACAGCGTAGATTGTTAGATGCGAACGATGACGACTTACCGACCGACCCGTTCGTTCGTTCGTTCGTTCGTTCGTTCAGCCAACGGACAATCGCATGCATATACAGTCATGGAAATTTAATTAGGACCGGCATTGAAATTTCAGTTTTTTCCCATTAATTCTGTTATTTTACAAAAAAATATTCATGAAATGATGTTTATGAGAATATTTGAAGTTTTTATAAATGGACTAGACTATCAATTTCATTATTTTCGGTAAAGGATATCATTTATTGATGAAATTGCCCAAAAACTGCGGGAAAAATAATTAAGACCTTCCATACAAAAAATGACAAATTTTTTCGAAAAATCGGAAAATTTATCATTTGTTTGACAAAATTCACTCCACCGATGGTCGTATTTAATTGAAATACATTTTTTCCACATTACCATTTAATAGATTTCAAATTTCTTAACAAATTCGAAAAGTTACAGACCAAACTAAACTTTATAGCATTTTTTGTATGAAAAATCGTGGAAGAATCATAGTAATCATTTCATGAATTTTTTTTGTAAAATAACAGAATTAATGGGAAAAAACTGAAATTTCAATGCCGGTCCTAATTAAATTTCCATGACTGTATGTGTTGGGCGGCGAAATTCCTTTCAGCGCAAAATAAACATTACGAACGACCATCTAAGACAGACCGCATGAAATTATCACGTAAATGAGGGAAGAGGTTTTGTGTAAACGATACGGCTCTTTATATACATGTTTTTCATTTTTTTTGGCTGCTGCTACCGCCGCCATTTTTTCTCCGCTATGATAAGTGTCGTTGGCGGGGTTCAGTTGTCGTAACTGTTGTTGATTCGGTTTTTGCGGACGTCGTTTGTTGTTCACGTAATGGTCAAATGTTTAACGATAACCTTTTACTTCTCATGTGCAACGAGATTTATTTGCCATGCAATCGTGTGTGTTTTTTTCCTCACTATCGTGTTTGCTTCATTCTGAATTGCTCCCGTTCCAGATAGTTTGAATGAGAGACAAATGTTTTTATGGCATGAGCATGCTTGAAGTGGTCGAGCCGCTACCACCACCATCACCAACACCATCGCCACGTGCAACGCTAATCTACGAGTGGTATGCTTATCGGTGCCACTGTTGCTGTCGCAACTGAAACCATGTGAAAAATATACGAAATTTGCCGCAAATACAACGACCAACTTCTAACAAAGTTTGCAACTTTTTATTTTATTCGTTTTTGCCTCCCCAACATGTACATTGTGGTACACACACCTGATCCCTGGAAGGTCTTTATTTTATTTGATTTTATTTTCCTTTTCATTCGAAAAGTCGTTCAGCCTCTCGTTTCAGCCTCTCTTCAACAGAGTGCCCGTCAAGTATTCCATTGAAGTTCTCACGCGCGCTCCATTCAAATACAATCGAGAATACACGAGAGAAGAAAGAAGAAGTTTAAAAAAAAAATAACAGCCTAAACTTGATTTATTTATGGGTAAACGATAGATTTATCAAATTGTGTTTGTTGTCTACGAACACACAAATTGTTCACACTCAATACGCACGTAATGTGCGTGCAGTGTGTGAATGCCAAGGTCAAACGCTCAACGAATTGCATAATTCAATGACTAGAAAGTTTATTTTATTTGCGTCTTTACTACGGAACAATCTGCGTTCGTGTGTAACACACTCCTATACGATATATTACATGGGCAATGCAATGGTATATCATAGTCAAATTGGTTTGATACAAGCAATCATGTATCGAATAGAACAAAAAAAGGAGAGAAATTCAACAACATCGAATGATGCGTAGTATGTATTCAAATGGATTGTTTGTATTTGGTTTTTTTTCTCGCATAAAAACGAATTTCATTGGCTCAATAATGCCAAAGGGTTAAAACATCATGGGTCATTTCATTTGATATTGCTAACATTACACATACCCTCAAAGTCACCGGTATCAGCCACGATGGTCGTCATCGTTTTCAATTGGTCCAATGCAGAGACAACTTTGCTCTTTTTCACTTGTGGTTCACTCATTTTGGTTGATCGATTGTTTTTTTTGTTCTTCAAATCACACACAAAAAAGGTCAAAAAAATGTCCAATTCGTTGACAACAACAACAACAACAAAATAAACCAAACGAAAAAAAGAAACAATTTCGTTGAAATTGAAATTACAGCAGCACCAACTAATCCGGTTCGAATAACAGCGCTAATCGGAATAAATTACGTACAATCGACAAAACACGTATCAAGTACAAAGCGTGTGCGATTAGGTACGCACATTCAACCAGTAACGTGATACGCCAAACGCGAATGCATATACACACACACACATGCAGTTGTATGGGTCTGTCTCACTGTGTCTCGTATGTTATATGCCTAATCGGCATGGCATGACATTACTCCCGTTCAATGTATGCGCGCCTGTGTATGTGTGTTTTCAGATTGTCACACAATAAAATCAGTGTAAAGTTTTCGGTCGTTTTTCATCAAGTGTTTTTGAATGCTCATAGTGTGGTGTCATGCAGTCGACTCGTAAAGTGTATGGATGGTGTTGACATGGTAAAAAAAAATGACATGTTAAATTGAATTAGCAACCAAAGGGAAAACATCATCAGATAATTTTGCAACAAAACCATTTTCACAACGAATATACGGAATTTGAAATAAACCACACACAGGCACACACACATATTGGATACACAAACACACACACATATACATACACCTAAAATGCACAGCGAAATAGAGACAATGTAATCGTTCTAGACTGAGAACTGTCAACGTCACACACAACAATCGCGAATCAATGCGGTGTTATCGTGTTTTCTTCGTCTTTTTTCTACATGTAAATTCTACGAAACGTTGTTGTTCGTTTCCTTCTTCTTCTTCTTTATTTTATTATTATTATTTTCTTGTTTTATATTCGCATATAATAACACACAACATTCCGTTTGAGTTAATTAAAAAGAGTTCCATTTAGTGGTACAACCTATATGTACACAAGTATCCAATAAAAGTAGAAAGAAATTTGATTTTCGAATAGATTAAAAAGTGTATGGTACTTTTATATCAATTGAATATCGTGTCAATCACATACAAACCAATCAATTGGGTTTTTTTTTTCGTTAACAGTGACACTTCCATTTTTTCATCGAAAAGCTGAAATAAATTTTCGATGCAAATTATTATTCAGTGAGTCTTGTGTGATTAATATTAATGAGGAAAACGATTATTTAGATATTAGTGGTGGACTTGGATATAAGCGAGATAGAAAGGCAAAGGGTACCACCGCACAAACAAACAGTCCACATTTCCGTTTCATTAAACTGATGCACTGAATGGATTTAATAAACATTTCCACTAATCACATAGCCAACTAGCACGACTGCCCACTTTGCAAAACCATGGATGAAGTTGATAACATAATTATTCATTCATTACGACAAATTGGATGGTAAATTTACGATTTTTCTGCATTTGATGAGCACAATTCTTTGTTTGTTCCAATCGACTACATTATTTATTATTTCTCGTTTTGAGCAGCAAACTTGATGGCGAAGTGGCAAGTTTAGTCGATTTTACGCCCGAGCTATTGGTGCATTGTACTGCGAAATGTTTACATCTCATTCAACCAGATCTTGAAGTACCTGAAAGTCTTCCACCAGGTATGTTTGTTAGCCAAACCATTTTTGTACCGGAAATTGGCCAAATTGTTAATTTACCCAAAAAAAAAAGAGATGGCAATCAAGACCATTTTCACAATGCATTTAATGGACTTCAATGGAAAGTAAATGGTAAATTTGTTTTTTTGTGATTTTTTCAGGTATAGCACAACGTTACAATGTGACCACTGCATTGGCCGAGGCATGTGCCGTAAGTAATAAAGATAATTTTTCTTGTTGTAAATGAATATTTTGCGCTTACAAATCACTCACAAAAATATTTTATTTATTTCAAAACAGTCAGTGGGTTTCCGTGGCGATATCGGGTATCAATCGTTCCTTTATTCAAATGTGACGGAAGTGCGTCGTGTGTTCATGTTTTTGATTGAACGGCTGCCAAAAGAAGCCGATAAAGAGCATTTAGATGAAATTCACACCGATCGCAAGTCACTGCTGGATCATAACCTTCGTCAAAGTATTAAAATTCAATTAAATGCCGCATGGACACCGCAATATTGTAAACAATTTGGTGCACGGAAATTTGGCAATCTAATTGCCATTCAAGCATCAAACAATGGATTTTTACCACAACGCCTGAATGTGCCGCATGGAACAACAACCACTAAATGTCAATCGAATGAGCTTAATGAATATTGGTCAAAGCGTTCGCCGACCATTTTTCAACAGACCAACAGCAGTAACATTTGCGCATCGTTAATCCATAAAAATGATCAGGATCTATTGAGCGGCGGAACAGTGATTACGACGAATTTAAGCAATGAAAATCAAACATCTGTGCCAGCATTGCAACGAAATTTCCGGAAATTGATTCAAATCCAAAAGTCAATCGTTGCCCCATCGTCGTATGTGAAAAAAGACAATTTACGGAATGTTACATCGGTGCAACAATTGGCACTGAACAATGTCGAAATACCGAACGAAAACGATATCGTTGTAATGCCCGAGATTCGGGAATCGGACGCCATTCGATTTGAAATTGAGAAAGTCAAGGGTGAAATTAAGAATTTACTTCAGCATCGACAAGATTTACAGTCACAAATGGCCGAATGCAAAACCGGCATGAAAACATTGGCCGATCAATTGCCACAGTTGCAAAGCGAGAAAAAATTAAAGGAACGAACACATTTATTGTTGGAAAATCCAGATGAAAATATTGAAAAAATGACCAAAGTTCTGGCCACCGCCCACGAACGAATCAATAAACTGAATGATCAATGGGATGAACATCGAATTCCATTGCAACAACAAATCGAAGTTGCACGAGGCTCTTCCAACTCGAAATACGTGAGTGATTTTAAGTAAAATTTTGCTTTGATTTTGCAATGAAACGTGGAAGGCGAAAATGCATAGATTGTATTGTTTTTTTTCTCTCTGCTTTTAGTCGCACACAAAGCAACTTCTAGACGAAATCAAATCAACGAAAGAGGAAGTCGAAGAATTGGCCGATAAATTGAAACAAAAAGCCACACTACACGCAAAACTAGTCGATGAATTCGAGAAAAATAACCGCAATTTAAACAGGTTTGGATGATTTTTTATGGACGCTCTCTTTAAGAAAAATGCGTTCAAATTTTTAACCATGTTCATTTTTGTCCGCTTAGGAATTCGTATACATCACGTATTTTAGAAATTATTGGAAATATTCGAAAGCAAAAAGCCAGTATCGACAAAGTCCTGAATGATACGCGTGATATTCAAAAAGAAATCAACACGATAAATGGCCAATTGGACCGACAATTCACAGTGACCGACGATTTGCTGTTTAAGGTAAAGAAATGAAACGTCCAAGTTGAGACACCCCACTCGATTTTAATCCGAAAATCGGTTCAAAATTAATTTTTTCTTTCATAGAAATTGCAATAGAAAATAACTTCATGCAAATAACAATTAGGTACATAATATTTTGAAAGACGATTTAATATATTGGGTTTCTTCTTCCGTATGATTCCAGACGGCCAAAAAAGATGAGCCATCGAAAAAGGCTTACAAACTATTGGCGACGTTGCATTCAAATTGTGGCGACTTAATTCAAATGGTGAACGAAACGGGGCAGGTGGAGCGTGAAATTCGCGATCTCGAGGATCAAATTGAGAACGAACGAGACCGTAACATTCCCGATAATCTCAAGCGCATCACAAACGATTTGAAACTACTGGAAATCGAAGCGAAAGAATTACAAGAGAAAATTAACGTGCTCAAAATGCAGCCTTCTTAGTTGCCTACAGCTGTTCTAGATGTAGATTCAGTAAACAATTAATGAAAAGATAAAAGAAAAAGCCAGTTAATTATGGGATCACACTATTTAATGATTTTAGCCAAAAAGAAAAAAAAAACAAACAAAAATTGTGGAGCAAAGTTTTACGAGTACAGATGCCACGATGTAGTATTTTTTCAAACACACATACACACATTATTCAATTGTCCGGTGTCTGTGTGTTTCGCAAACAAAACTGGATATTATCATAGAAAAAGTGTTCTTGTTAACATTATTACATGCAATTATTAATGAAAAATAAAAGAGACAAAAGACTCATAGGAACTTAAATGTCTGTCTGTGTCTGGGCTGAATTGCGTTTCATTTCTTTTCGTGTATTCTACATTAATTCGGCATGAAACCACGATGACTGTTTAATAAAAAATTGAACCATGATGACCGTTTGATGGGCGTTTAATAAAAAAAAACTCATTTCCTTTGTGTATTTTTCAAAATCTACGTCGATTTAATTATAAGACCTATACAACAATATTTTTAAAAAATTCTGTAGTTCACATGAATTGTATCGAGGAAGAGTTTTAAATAGATCGTCAACAATGATCTTAGTTTCGTTTGCGACTGACTTCGGGTGGTATATACGCATCGTCGATAATTTTCTGTTGACGCCGTGAAACCTTTTGCGTTTTTACGTGATCCGTTGAAATTTTTTCTATCTCCAAATCGATCTTCGTTTCATTTTCAAAGAACCATAACTTCTCCTCTTCTTCGGCCATCTCTTGCAACAGCAAATCAACCTTTTCGAGCCGGTTGTGTCGATCCACTCGGTTTAATTCATCTTGTAATTTAGTTTCGCGTATTTGTCCCCATAACGCGTAGATCTGTGATAGGAAGATAGGGAGATAGATAGGATAAAAGCGATTAGAGTGGTTGACCTTGACAACAAATTTGCATAGTGCAAATTTCGCGACGCAATACATACTTTGGTTTGTTCTTCGATTTCCTTTGTTTCATGTTCGTTAACAGTGGCGGTTGCCAGGCTACGGATAGCATCTTCAAGCGATGCTGATTCAAGTGATGCACTCGATTCGGCCAGTTTGTCAACAGCAGTGCGGAAATGTTGGTAATTTTCATCCTTATCGCGATCCTTAATCTAATCGAATGCAAAGACAACAATGGATGAATTTTATGATAAATCAAAAGTGAAGTATTCATCATGAATAAACAAACGAAAGAGAAAAGAAAATTTCGACGCGAATATTTGTTACCTGTTCTAATTGCTTTTTCACAATATCCACCACATCTTTATACAACTGGTTAGTATTGTTGAGCGATTCAATGAATTGAATACCTTCCGTATATTTCTCATAGAAAGTGTAGCCGAGTAGTTTGACCGAATTACCGATTGCACCGTCCAAATATTGGCTAATTGCTAAAAATGTTTTTCCAACTAAATGATGGCTGTTCCGCAAATCGAAGTGATCGTCAAAATATGGATTACGTAGATAATTGATTCGCACTCGAATCTCCTCCTTTTTATCACGTTTCTTTTGTTTTTTTCCTGCTTTCGGATCGGCAGCACGCATTTTTTCGGCAATTTCCGATGCTAGATCCGATTCAGATTGTTGATTTTTCACTAAATCATCAAAAGATTGTGGATCGTCCAGGTATTTGTAAGAAGCGTACAATGATAGCACACGATTGATTGGATTCTCGAAATTCTCTTGTAACATTAAGAATGTGGCAACTTTGGCGGCCATTCGATAATTTTTCAATTTAATCAATTTATCGAGACACAAATTGGCCGCATACGAATCCAAAAATACACCATAACTCAAACGATCGTCCAGTATATAGATTAAATTTTCCAAATCCGTATTGCTAAAATCCAAATGATGCCGTATGACCGCATGTGATGTTGATGCCAGTGTATTGCTCGTTTCGGCCGTTAAACGCATTTTATGAACCAAATCCGATAGCTCATTGAGCAATGCATTATCATTAATTGTATTCACAAAAATGTCCAAATCGACGGCACAAATTTTACCATGCTGCTGAAATTTCCGATCTAATTCATAGTAAAAGAGATCGGGCCGAATTTTCTGCAGCACTGGCGATTGTAAGCGACTTTCCCATGCCTCCGAACATTTGTACGCTTCCGATAAAAAATACCGAACATTGTTGGCTTTTACAAGGAATTTATTGCGATACACTTGCTTCCACATCGTCGTCTCGGTCTCTTTCTCTCGCTCTTGCTCTCTCGTCGTTTCACGAACAAACAAAAAATCCAATTGACATTAACACGCAAAATGCGTCGAAAGTAAAAAGAAAATGCTGCAATAAAAATAGAATCGATTATCAACCGGTGCCAATAGAATTACAATTACACGGACAAAAATACAACTCTTCTACATTTGATTGCAATCGTTCCAGAAGAACACACACAACGAATGAAAGAAAAAAACTGCAGCGCAATATGTTATCACCTTTTTTTTGTTTTGTTGAACGATATTATCGGCACAATGAGAAGTGGCGAAGAGAAGACCATTCGCAAGTCGCATACCAGTTGTTTTAATGGGGTTATGAAATGTTCCAAATGTCATTCCATTTTTTACTTTGAGCACACATGGATTTGACAGATGGGTGTCGTAAGATGAGCGACATTCACTGCATGCGCAGGGTTGAATAATTCAACAAGTCTCTTTCACTGTAGTACGAATTTTACATTCAAATTTTTAAATAATTCACCAAGGTTGAAACGATTTGCCTGAAAATGAAAACTCAACGAAGTTACAACCATTCCAAATGAAATGCTCTTTTTTATTGATTTTTTTTTCTTCAATTATTTGGTCTTTATTTGCTGAATTGTTCAGGGTAAATTACAAGTTACAAAATAGGTTATGAGATGTGTGTGCAGGATTTTATTTATTCGGCCAAACATCACAAAATTCATTGATTAAGCTGCGGATACTTTTTTTCTTCTGTTTTTTTCTTCTTCGGGTTTTTTCCCATTGAATTCTTTTCCATGTCAATGCAATTTTTGTTTGTTATTAATATTTTTTTTTTGGTTATATATTATGTGAACGATAGCTATAATCAATCAGGGTTATTTTGTGTGTGTCTTTTGTTTATCTCTTTTAAATTTTTTTTTCTTTGGAATAGCTCTAAGAATTGGTCATGAAAGTAGTTTCATATAAAAATGGAATCGCAGTGTGTACACAACTGGTGTCCATATAGTGTAATAAATTCAAAGATTCAGAGAGAATGAGTGTAAGCTTCAGTTGTTATGGTTTATTTTTTTTTTTTTTTTAAATTTTGTTTTCTACGTTGAAATTTTGATATTTTATCTAAAAGAACCGAGAAAAAAAAGAAGAAGAACACTTAAATCCGTTATTAGATATAAATTTGTTGCCTTCAAGAGGATTAATTAGATGGTTTAAGGTTCAAATTGCGAAAATTACGATTGATTCCAAATGTGGTATGCCATCAAAAAAACCATTGGATCCACCATCGAAATTCTATTCGATAAAATTCGAACATATCTAAGGGTTGTGTGTATTTGTGTGTGTGTGTGTGTGGATAAGGGCTTTTGAGTTGTTCAACCAATGTTTTGCTCCAATAATCGCATCAGGTGATTTAAAGGTGAATGGAGTGAATGTATGTCTACGAGAGGTATCATTTTTTATGTGTTTATGATTTGCAACGATATGTTGGATGATGATGATGATGATGTGGTTGATGGGTTTGGATGAAAATGCTTGATGACTTTTTAAAATAAACGATTTTTTGCGTGTGTATCTGGATGTCGAGCAATAATATGTATTTTTTTGTATTCATGGTAATATAGATCGTTAGATGGGCATTGGTAGTATATGATTCTGATTGGATGTGTATGTGTTTGTTTGTGTGGAAATAATCCACTCTACGATTTTCCCATTTAAATAAATTATTCTTCAGCTACCTGGTTGCACTCTAAATAATGGCTGTATGTTGCCTTCAATAAAATTTATTTATTCACGTAGTGTTTTGTTTTTAACTATTGCACAAAGTTTTTTTTTTGTTTCTCTTGTTTGTTTCTTTTGTTTGTTTCTTTTGTTTGTGTTTCCATTAAAATATATCTATTTGAACATGTTGTTGAAAATATTAAAAGCTGTCGAGTATAGAAGTTGTATTTCGAGTGTATTTTGATGGGAGAAGAAAAATGAGAATATAATCAACAAACTGCTAAGTCTCCTCTATAAAGTTGCTTAAAATGTGTGTGTGTGCGCGTTTCGCACACAGCAATGATTACAAGCAGCAACAAATGTTGAAACATTTTTTACAATTTCTAGTTGGTTGAACTGTTTCAAACTCGAGACTATATTATAAACTCTGTTATCTATTGTGTTAGTAGACATTCGGTCTTTTAGGAACTCTTTTTTTCCATTAGATTAAATTCCACTACGTGAACTTTGTGAACCGTTTTGAATACGGCCTGATATTTTCGCAAAGGATTTTTTTTGTTTCGTCGCTTTTTCTTGGAACGAAAACCAAAACGGTTTCATCCTTCTTTGGAACATTGTTGGATGGTTCCTCTATCAAATTGACCAATATTACCATGAGCTAGAAATTTGAATCACTATTGTGTTAGTTTATTGTTCCATATGTTTTTTTTTCTCTCTTCCCGTTCTCAGTTGCAATGCCCTCGTTTAGTATATATGTAAATATGCAAAAGTATTTTTTTTTTGCTGTTGAATATGAATATGATTATAAGTGATGTCTTTTGGTTTGTATAAATTAATTGTTTCATTTCACAACAATATGATTTCATGCGATAATGTTATAAGTGTTCTTAAGTTGTGTCTGTCCGTTATTTTTTTTTTTGGTATTTCCTTTGGTAGTTTGAAATTTTGTCATTTATTCCCGTACAAAGTGATGATTAAATATATGCTAATAATTCAAATGGTTTTCTTTTCTACTTTTTGTTAATGATTCAAAGAGATTTTATTATAGATAACTTGTTGTTGAAATTTTTCTTTTTTTCTTTATCAAAATGTTCGTTTTTATTTAATGTTTATTTCTTGATGAATATACGAAGAGATCGATGCGGCAAAATATTCGCAACCATGTTTAAATGATCGATGATCTCGTTTTGACAACAAAAAAAAGATTTGCTACGTTAACGACGGAACTAAGTTCAACACTGTGTACGAGAGTTAAAGAGTTGTATAGATTATCACAATAAGAATGACGGGTAAGTAATTCGTAAACGAAAGGAAGCAGATAGATTTAATTGAAGCCATTCGTTTGAAAGGAAAAAAGAGGTTGACGAGTAAATGATAGTTTTGGGTGGAGAAGAATAAAGTGCGACAGAAAGTGAGGCGAAAAATGGAAATGAATCTGAAGTGGGAGGATGCATGTAGTGTCGAAGTGAGACGAAAGATAGATAGATTTATAGACAGAGTTTATTTGGGCTTAGAATTTGCCATGGTGAAAAGTTTCAGCAGTGAATAGTGAGTGCATCAACTTCAAGATCAAGTCATTGAAAATGAAGTCGCGAAAGTATGGTTCTATAGGGTCGTTCTTTATCATTTTTTCTGTTATTACCACTTGTTTGGATTATTTTATTTCCATAAATAGATTACTATGTAAAAAGTTATCATAATTCGACTGTATTTTATTCTTTTATTGTCCCTTAACGCGATCGATTCATTTTTTGAACAGAAAAAAAAAATTGAAAAGCGCCACGATCATTTTTCCATACGATTTTTTTTTTTGCTGATTAATTGCCTTTGACTGATTTATTATCAAAAACAAAATAATTAATCATGCGCTTTTTGCATGCGTCTTCTCATAATAATGTTTATAATTGTCCATTGATAATTATTAAATTATTATAATAATTAGCAAATATAGTGGAATTCTTTTGTCTTTCTTCAATTTTTTTTTTGTTTGCGGTCGATTTGATTTGTGTTTGTCAATGGAAATGTAATGTAATTTGTCCATAGGCCAGGCCAATCAAATTTCCATGTATTGAGATACTTTTTTCTTGTGTTATCATCATTAGTATTTCTGCAATTAAGTCCAATGTTGCCATTAGAGACTAACATTTCTTCTTCGTGTGTATCACACGTCACATTTAAAGGTGCAAATTAGCAAAATGAAACGAATCAAATGGATAAAATCCAGAAAAACCAAAAAATGAATCCAAATAGTCTGGCCTTTTTCAATCATTTCTTCTTTCTCCCGTGTTGATGCTTCGATTTGCAAATTGATTATAAAATCAATCGAAGTATGTGTCAAATATTTTTTTCTCTTCTTTTTACTCTCTGTCGTGACCCTAAATCTAAATAAAAAGAATAATTTATTTTGATAAAATAAAATAATAAAAAATAAAATAAAATTTAAAAACATATAGTTGATTTATTTCAATGATCTGTGTGTGTGTGTTTTTTTTATAAATATCTTTTTTCTCTTTTTTAAGTTACATAAATACAATCTTTTTATTTCATTGTCTCATAATGTTTTCTTTTTCTTTTATTATCTTACACAAAAAAAAATGATATCTTTCAATCTGACACGTTCAGTTAAATTCTAAGTTGTTGCAAGCAAACAAACCAAAAAATGTCTTAAAAACTAATTGGTTGTTTGATTGATTCTTCTTCAAAAAACAATTATTTGATGTGTGTAATAAAAAGCAGCTTAGAAATCATTGACATTGTATGTTGTTGTTGATTTGCGCGGTTAATAATCTCACAGACAAAAACAAATTCCTATAGCTTTACAAGAGCAAAAAAAAAACAATTAAACATTTTCTATAAAATATAATACAAAGAAGAAAAAAAATTTAAAATGCAAAAGCTATAAACAAAAGCAAGAAATCTGTTTCAAACCGAGCGCAAATTGAAACTGAAAGTTGATATTTATTTCTTTTTCTTCATCATCTTCTTGGTGATCGATTGCCAATTGTGGCTGGATCACAAAATTTACTAAAATATTTTTCGTCCTCAAATTTCTATTTTGTTCTGAAATAAAACCATTTCTGTTTTAAACTAAATCATTTGTTTCTATGGTAATCCTTGAGTTTTGGATGGGCCAAACCAAATATGATGACTGCTACTGAAGTTGGCCGAAAGAAATGTTTGTTTCAATTTTTTTTTTTAATTCTTCTTTCATTGACCGAATCATCTTATCATATTTTTTTGTGTGTTTCTTTCGTGTTTTGTGGACGTAAAAAACTAGGCAATTTGGACAATGTTCTCTTATTTAATGTGCAGCGAACATAATACACGTAAAATATCTATTTAACTTAATATCTCAATCAATTCTCAGCTCTTCATCTTCTTCTTCTTCTCAATTTTTTTTTTTTCATTTTTGTTCGATTTTTTTTCCCTTTCTTAATGTAAAAAAAAAATACACATAATTTAAATAACAAAAATGCGAAGCCCATGGGAATAGAGTTGCAGAGATTTACGGTGGATGTATGTGTGTAATTGAGTGAGTGAGTGGCGAAGCTGAAAGGGCGAAGAAGAAAAAAATCACGAGCGAATTAAAAAGGAAAAGAAAAACGGCACAACAAAAACAACTCAAGAATTAATGTGCGTTAATGGATTTAATGCAACTTGCAGCGAATAAATAAATACCTAGGGGATTCATGCCAAATTTTATTTAGCAAAATCTATTTGTATTATTTAAATCATGTAAAATTCACGCTAGATTTCAAATATTTTGTATTATTTCCCGAATGCGTTGTTATTGTTCATATTCACCTTGAACAATATGTTCTGGAAGTGGGTTTTGGTGGATCTTCAGGATGGATCAGACTGGGTTTGACAATGCCCTGGCCCATCCTGAGGATCCACTTCCAGAACCAGGAGCGGTTTTGAACAATCCACAGGATCCACCAAAACCCATTTCCAGAATTTTTGAAGCGATAATGACGACAACAGATTGGACATGGTTCTGCTGACAGTCGGTTTATTGAACAAAATTGAGCAAAATTGAAATTATGCATACATATCTGTTTAATATGTTGAAACATAAACAAATTCATATTATTTGTTCATATTTTAAATATGGAAATTGGCGTGAGTCCCCTAGATAAATACTGAATCATAACATTCGAAAAATAAATAATATCGTAACGAAATTTTTTTCTTCAAACAAACATACTCGAAAACGAAACCAACGAAAAAGCAAACGAAAAATAAAAACGTGATTAGACATCAATTAAATCGTGTGTTAGTTTGTGTTAATTGTAATAAAATTTTTGCTAGATTTTCATCTCTTGTTGTTGGCAAGAGCGTGAAAGAGGGCGAAATGCATTATTATTTCTCTCAAATATTTGTTCGAGTCTTTCTTGGGGTGGTTGAAACGATGTGCGCCATAATTTCTATGTATTTAGAGAAGAAAAAAATGGTGTAAGCGTGTGCAACTGGCTGGAAACGGATGTGTTGAGCTGTGCACATTTATTGATTTTTATTCGTTGTAAACTAAATCTAAGGTAGATAAAGAAATACATTGCAAACAGATTTGAGGAAAAATCGAAATAATATGCGAGCAAACAAAATAGATGTGTGTATGTGTGTGTTAAAATGGTTAAAATAGGGGCAACCAAAAAACAACAAAACACACGAACACAAACACGAGATTAAAAATAGTTGTGAATTCCAAAAGTAAGATTGAAATCCAGCGAAAAAAAAATAAATAAATTGTGTGGCTTTTGCATAGAAAAGAGTAACACAAATCACTTGGTGGGTAGATGTCGACATAAATGATGAAGTTTGCTTAGTTTATCTTTTGATCTTTCGTGGTCACGATCTGGATGTTAAATGACCATTAATCGCTTTCTCGGATGTTGTTCGAATCGTTTCCTTTCGCCGGTCGTTTTTTTAACGTAATTCAATAGAGAGGCAAAGAAATTTTAATTTAAAACGCTTCATAAACTAAACTAAACGCAAGAGAACTAACGCACAGATAAAATCGGAATGGGTTTTTGAAGAAAAAAAAACAATATGGGTGGAAAAAAGCATTATATGTAGAAGTATTTGAATATTCTTGAGGGTGGGTACTGCAAGCCTGATATAAACTGTTTTTTTCGTTTTTCTTTTTGTTCTTGTGCCTATTGCAATGCTTCGTCTCTGATCGAACAAAAATAATCAAATCGAATCGATATTTTTGTTTGGATTCGGAAATTGTTGTTGTTGCTTTTTTCTCTCTCCGATCGTTGTGTTTTTTTTTTCTCGATTACTCACTCAATTTACAAACGTTTATGCGATTCCGATAGGATGCGGAACCATCTGCGCGCGCTATTCTCATAGATCACATCATTGGTTTTTGTCAACACCACCCGCTAATTGTCATACGAAATCCATATCTGTTTTGGTTTTGTACATGCGTTGCTCCATTGTGCGTTCAAACCATTTCTTCACCTCGGACACAATGAACACGGACGATGTGAGGGTCACCAAAAATAGTAGATCGTATGCGGTCAATGCTTCCGTTTGGAATACCATTTGTAGCGGTGGAAAATAGATCACGAGCAGTTGACCGATGAGTGAAAAGCCAACGGCTAACAAGAACATCTTATTGGTCAGCAGACCAATTTTAAAGATGCTTTTCGTTTGCGAACGACAACTCAGCGCATTGAACATATCGAACAATACGAAACAGGTGAATGTCATCGTTGTATCACGCTTTGTTCGGCCCTCAGAACCATCCAGCATTTCACGTTGAAACACCCAAAGCGTGCCCAATATTATGATGCTAGCGGATAACAACACATTTATTATGACTGATTTGGTTATCATCGGCTGTTTAACATTGCGAGGACGTTGACGCAACACATCTTGATCCACGGCTTCCACACCAAGCGATTGAGCTGAAAAAGCATGGCATTTCGAAGAAGAGTTTAGTAGATGAATTCAGAAGAATGAACTTGAAATTGGCTTTGTAATTGCGAAAATCCGAATTCGGATGAAAGTGATCCCTACCTGGCGGTCCATCCATAATAATATTGATCCAGAGAATTTGCATGGCATTCAATGGATTTGGAATGCCCATCAATGTGGATAATGCGATCAATGACAGCGCAGCGATTGATGTACTCAATTGAAACCGTACGAAATTTCGAATGTTATGGAAAATTGCTTTGCCCTCTTCAATTGCAGCACTGGAATTACATTTCAATAAGATGTTAGATTTCGAAGTAAAAATTCAATTCGGTTCGGACAAAATTATTAAATTTAAATTGATTGAAAAGAACGGCATCAGCTCTATGATTTGAATTGATACTTACATGATCGTGTGAAAATCATCATCAACGAGAATCATGTCAGCGGCTTCTTTACACACATCCGTGCCATTTTTGCCCATTGCAATGCCGATGTCGGCCCGTTTCAAGGCAACGCCATCGTTTACACCGTCACCCGTCATACCAACAATATTGCCATTGCGTTGCAACGCTTTGACTATTTGCAATTTATGCTTCGGTGTGACGCGATAAAAGATGCTCACGCTGCTAATGCACTTTTCCAGCTGGACATCGTTCATTTGATCCAAATCGGTGCCGGACAAAATGATATGGTGCACGGTATCCAAACCGATGAGATTGGCCACGGAAACAGCCGTTTCTTGTGAATCACCCGTAACCATTTTAACGCTGACACCACTTTGGCGTAAAATTTCAATGGATTCGCGGACCAATGGTCGCGGCGGATCCGTAATACCAACAACACCTAAGTACACTAAATCCTGTAGTGATTTACCTTTGGCCAGTGCCAATACACGCAAACCCTTTCGACCGACTTCATAGGCTTCGGTCAAAAATTCCGATTCAATTTGTTTGGTCAACGGCACAATTTGGCCACCGAACTTGTAGCGTGTGCATTGTGGCAATACCATTTCTAAAGCACCTTTCACGAAGAAAATCTCCTCTTTGTTATTACTGTATTTGGGCGCCACACGAACAGCCATCACTTTTTGCTCCGAACTAAATGGATACTCTTGCAAGCGAATGTATTTATCGGATGCGGCATAGAGGCCACATTTCATGCCAGCTGCCAATAGTGCACCTTCGGTCGGTTGACCAAGTAATGCTTCCTCTTGAATGATTGCATTATTGCACACCGTTCCCACTTCCAGTAAATTTGTAATGCTCTCCTTTGCCATTTCGGTGCTGTTGCATTCACGAATATGAATTTCACCTTGATCATTGTAACCGGCACCAGTAACATCTGCCATATACCCGTCCGATGTGATGATTACCGTTACGGTCATTTCGTTCTTTGTGATTGTACCGGTTTTATCGGAGCAGATGACATTGACACAGCCCAGCGTTTCGACTGTTGGCAACTTCTTAACAATACAATTTCGCTTGGCCATTCGCATCACACCCAATGCTAGGGTAACGGTAACAACAATTGGCAATCCCTCGGGAATAGCAGCAACCGCCAAACTCACACCAATCGTGAACATTTCGACAACAGCACGATTCTGTAGCCAACCGAGGAACATGATTATGCCAATGATGCAAAATGAATAGAAACTAAGCTGTGCACCCAAAATGTCCATGGATTTTTGTAATGGAGTCTTTGGTGCCTCTTCGGCTTGCATCATTTTGAACACTTCACCGAATTCACTGCGCTCGCCGGTGCTAACAACGATACCCTTTCCGCTGCCACATCGCACCAACGTACCCATGAATGCAATGTTTCGCATTCTGGTGTGATCTTTTGTGATGCCATTCGTTCCGTTCGTACTGTTGTTGAGCGACGAATTGAACATAACCTCCGACGTTTTTGATGCTGGCTCTGTTTCACCCGTAAAACTGGATTCATCGATTGCCAAATCAATCGTTTCGAACAAACGACAATCGGCAGGCACACGATCACCAACATTTAACAGAACTATATCACCCGGCACCAATTCGCGAGCCAAAAATGACTCCACACGATTCTCTCGCCAACTAAATTGAAGGGAATTGGATAAGAATAAGGAAAAAATGGTTAAAATGATAGAAATTGTATTTAAAAATAAAAAAAAAACATCGTTGACGTGTGAACTGTGAACATACCATCGACATTCTGGTGGCACCAACTTTTTCAATTCTTCCAAACTTTTCTCCGATCGATATTCCTGAATGAATGCAACTGTGACTACAATGATTATAGCTATCGTAATGCTGGCCGCATCATCAAATTGTCTCATAAATATACTGACTAGTGCCGAACCTAAAATATGCACCAGAGTAAATTTATTCGTTTAGCTTAAACTGATTATTATTGAATCAAGTGTCTGATTGAATTGTTAATGCGGCTGATATATATATATATATGTGTGTGTGTGTGTGTGTATTTGTGGTTGTGTTGCTACCGTCGCACCATCAAAACCGCACACAACATAAGGCAAAGCTGTGTTAAATAATTTAACACACGACACTAACCCAATAGCAGTAAAATAAGTGGATTTTTAAATTGATCAACGTATTTCTTCCAGGCTGGTTCATCTTCGTCGGCATGTAATTCATTGTATCCGATGATTTTAGCGCGATACTTGGCCTCTGACCATGTTAAACCGGTTCGAATGTCTACACGTAATCGTGCCGCCACTTCGTTAGCTGCATGGATCGATGAGTCAGCTGTCGATGGCAGCATTTCCAATTCTAACAATGAACTATCGTCTGACGACTGCAATGACAACACAATTTTCAATACAATTAATTAAACGCCAGGAAAAAAAATATACGATTTTAATGAAAATTATTAGTCTAAATCAGTTAAATGCGGTTATTTTATTTTTCACTCTTATTTACGCTGATGATGTGGGGGAGGAAAAAAGCATACATTCAGAATAAATATTTTACGAATTTAATGATGTACGGAATAAAGCTGTAATTGTTGCTAGCAACCATGTGCCCCGAAACGTGATAATAATTAATGTATTTTATGAATCACGAATATTTTGATGAGAATAAAAAAACCAAACAGTCCACGTTTACCGCGTACTTTATTTGTTCATATCAAAATTTAATATTACTACGCTGGTCCCTCTCTCTCTCTCTCTCTTTTTCCTTCTCTGTCTCTGTGCAAATGTGATTCGTTTCTCTCATTAAACACTGAAAATCTGTATAATCAATTTGTAACAATGATTATTGTTTCTCAGTTTGGAAATTGAAACACACGCGTTGTGCTGATGCCAAATCGAAATCACTGTCGATTCAGTCAAATTGTATGCTATCAATGCCACCTGATGTACAAAAATTACCGCTCAATTTATCCACTCGAAAGATAGATAATTATATCAAATCGCGCGGATCGGTGTGGCATGGCATGGCTCAGCCATTCAATTAACAACTCAAATTATTTTATTTTCATATACTCTCTGTACCTCCGATTACTTGTTGTTTCAGCTATTTTGAATTGGGAATTTAATTTGTGCTAATAAAAATTCTTGGCTGCGTTTGTTTCTAATGAAATACTCGATGCCGAAGTCAGCGGACTTGCACAGGAAAACACAAAAAAAATGCAAGCGGAGTGAAGGAGTGAATAAAAAAAAAACTTCAAATGCGATGAAATCGAAAGCAATTTTCGATTCGAAAAAGTTGCATACTTGGCACAATAAAAGCATGTAACTGAGACCCAGAACTAACAAACTCAAATAAAAATCACATAAAACGAAACAACAGCCGTAGCAATTCGATATACATGAAACATGAAAAGCACACTCACTCACACACACACACACACACACACACACACACTAAACACAGATTTTGTTGGAGTGAAAATATAAAACTAAACCAAAATCGATATGTGAAAAACACACAGCAACAACAACCGAAATAAAAAAAAACATATAGTTTATGTAAATTGACGACGAATCGCCTGTTCCTGCTTCACCACTAAACAACAACACAGAAATATACACACTAAACACACGTCAAGTAAATTCTTTTCTGTGTTTCGGTATATTATTTCACTTAACCTGGATATTTATATAATATATTTTTTTTTCGGTATTTTCTCCAGGTGGACTAATATTTATCACATTGTTGTTCGTCCAATAAAACCAGAGAGAGAGGCCTCATTACCGGTAAAAAAAAAGAGAACACCAATGTACGCGTTCGCCTTCAATCGATTTTGACAGCACAGATGAACACAGAACAGCGTGATAGAAACAACACAACGCAACAACCGGAGAAGAAGAAGAAGAAGAATACCCAAGTAACATTTATGTAATGCTTTTTACCGTTAAATTAAGTAATGCTTTTGCCCACTTCAGTGGTGCATTTGACCATTAATTCACATACAATCCCGTCCGAATCGGATGAAATTCGGGTATCATCCAACTGTACGCTACACTCGAATCACATCCATTTGTGACGGTAATAATGGGTGTGAAAACTGACTGACTGACTGAGAATTATATATGTACAACATCTTTGAATCAATTGAGAAATCAGAACCGTTGTGCAACATTTTCAATTGTAAATGTCACTTGAAATCTTCAAACTATTCATTAGCTCTAGAAATATGCACGATATAATAATCATTTTCAGTATAAAAAACTGTCGAAGCAAAAACATTTTGCTTCTCTTTGGAGATTTCCCTTTCTGTCTCCAATTCGTAAAACAGCAGTTTTGACGCAGCAACCGTCACGCCAATCAAATGTGGTGTTCAAAGGATGAAACATTGAGGCCGAACGATTCGTTTTGTAAATGTCACTCAGCACAGCGGCTCATTGGTGTAGGAACATTGTCAAGAAATTGACGCACATTTCTTTGAGTGAACATTTAACGAAAAAAGGCAATTTTTTTTGCGAAATAGTTGCTTTAATTGCGAGACTAAAACCCTTTTACAGGTATGTACGGCTAAGAATAGAGTTTTTGCACAAATTAAATTGTGGATTATTTTGGAAATTGTTGTGAAATTGTTATTTCGTCATACCGGTTCACATTTTCATGTTCAATGACATGTTCAAAGCGGGAAAAATCGCAATATTCTAGACCGATTGCATTGATTGACGCGAATAAAACAATATAAATTAATTCGATCACAACAAGTTTTCCCATTTTTTTTTGTTACCAATTACAATTAATGGATTGTGGTTTTGTTTTCCAAAGATTATTTCGCAATTTTGAGGCGAGATTCGCATTGAGACAGGGAGACAGAGAGCAAACGAAGCCTGATCTATTCAAAGTGGACTTATTATGACCGAGGTGAGTTTAGTGAACGTAGAAAATTGCAACAAATTAGCG